AAACCAAATTAAATTTAATTAAACCAAATAAAAATTAATAAAGTTAATCTTAATAATTAATAAAACAAATAAAATTTAATTGAACAAAAAAAAATTTATTCGAACTTAATAAAAATTAATTCAAATAAAATAAAATTTATTTGAAAAAAAAATATTTATTTGAACCAAATAAAAATTAATTCAAACCAAATTAAATTGATTTGAACAAAACAAAATTGATTTGAACAAAACAAAATTTATTTCAACAAAATAAACTTTATTTATTTGAAGGAAAAAAAAATTTATTTGGAAAAAATTTATTTGAAGGAAATAAAAATTAATTCAAATAAAATAGAATTGATTTGAACCAAATAAACTTTATTTGAACCAAATAAAAACTAATTCAAACCAAATAAAAAGTAATTTAAACGAAATAAACTTTTCTCAAATCAAATAAAATTTATTTGAACGAAATAAACTTTATTTGAACAAAATAAAAATTAATTAAAACCAAATTAAATTGATTTAAACCAAATAAAAATTAATTTAAAATAAATAAAGTAATTCTGAAGCAAATAAAATTTAATTGAACAAAAAAAAAATTATTCGAACTTAATAAAAATAAAATCAAATCAAATAAAATTGATGTGAAAAAAAAATATTTATTTGAACTCAATAAAAATTAATTCAAACCAAAATAAATTGATTTGATCCAAATAAAAATTATTTCGAACCAAATAAAATTAATTTCAACCAAAAAAACTTTATTTAAACCAAATAAAAATTAATTTAAAACAAATAAACTTAATCTGAAGCAAATAATAAAATTTTGTTTGAACAAAAAAAATGTATTCGAACTAAATAAAAATTAATTCAAATCAAATAAAATTTATTTGGACCAAATAAACTTCATTTGAACAAAAAAATATTTATTTCAACAAAAATAAATAAAAAAATTAAAGTAAATAAATAAAAATCAAATAATCAAATAAATAAAAATTAATTCAAACCAAATAAAATTGATTTGAACAAAACAAAATTTATTTCAACAAAATAAATTTTATTTGAACCAAATAAAAATTAATTTAAAACAAATAAACTTTATTTGAACAAAAAAAAATTGATTTGAACTAAATAAAAATTAATTCAAATCAAATAAAATTGATTTGAACTGAATAAACTTTATTTGAACCAAATAAAAACTAATTCAAACCAAATAAAATTGAATTGAACCAAGTAAACTTTATTTAAACGAAATAAAAATTAATTTAAACCAATTAAAGATCGATTTCAACCTAATAAAATTAATTTAAACCAAATAAAATATATTCTAACCAAATAAAGTATATTCTAAGCAAATAAAATTTATTGCAACCAAAGAAAACCTATTTGAACCAAATAAAATTTGATTTTTTTTAATGAAAAATTTGTTACAGAATAAAGTTACAAAATTTACAGAAGTAATAAATAAAAATCACTGATTAAGACAAGATTCACTGTTTTGGTTCGAGAAAAAGGAAAAAAAAAAAGATGAAGATAACGATAAAGTCTGACAATGACTCAGAAATTGTATTTAGGAAAAAAAATATATGGATCCTACCTTGCGGAACAAGCAAAATTTACGTCTACTACATCAGATGGGATATCTGAAGAGATCCCTTTAAGAATATTTCTTCGAAAAAACGGAGAAATTTCCGGAAATTCCAAAAGCGACTGGCGCCAGAATATCCTTCATTCTTAAATATATTATGTTGAATTCTGGCGCCTCTGGAAGGAACCGTTTCTTTTGCTACTTTTTCAACATTCTCTTCTAACATTATCACACTCAATTAAAGAGGAAAATTTCCTTCGTCCAACCAAAGTATAATAAATTTTAAACACAACAAACATATATAATATTCTCAATGAAAAATAGAAAAATTCCATCTTGATCTAACGATTGAAATATTTACTGTTTGTGTTTATAAATATTATTTTATTTAGAAACAGATTTTCTTTATAAAGAAAACAAATTATGGGGATTGCAGTTATTTGCCGAAACATAATATTTTATTTTTTTTCTTTATTATTATTAATTTTTCTTCATTTCTTTATTTCTTGTTCATTATATAGTATTTTGATACTTTGTCTTGTAAAAATATTTATTTTTGCTAAAAGTTTTTCTAATTTATAATTCACTCATTTTCCAAAGTAACTTGTAAACTGATTCTCAACAGATTTTCAACAAATAGAACCAAAAATGACGATTTAGTAGGTACTAAAATTGGTACTAAATTAGTACCTTTCTCCTTTTACAGTGTTAATTACAATTTTTATTTATTTAAATGTCTTTTTTCTTATATTAGGTATATTATTTATTTATTCAAACAAAAATTATCCTCTCGATAAATAGTAGTAAAAATATTAATTTTTGCAGTGATTTTTATTAAATACAGAAAAAATACACTGTAAAAAGAAAGGTACTAATTTAGTACTATAATTTTTGATACTAAATCGTAATTTGGTTCTATTTTAATACCGAAATCAGTTCTAATTTAGAACCTTTCTTTCCAGTGTAAAGTTAGAAACTATATTGATCTTAAAATTAAAGCGATTGACAAGTAGACTAGTTTTAAGCTTAAGACTAAATTAAGTTAATTTGATGTTTTAAAATCATATTCTCAAGGCTTAACAATTTTAAATTAGTAAACTGAATTTAAGACCCAATGTTGCCTTATTTTTGCACTGAACCTAGAAATGTAAATTTCCAATTACATTTATTATTAATATTTTTATTAACAATTGACAACAAGGAGATGAAATAAGAACCTTTTTTTTCAATCGTCACATTAATGTGATGGTTTTTTAAGGCAGAAAGAAAATCTTAAATTAAGATGCAACATTTTTAAGACAGTGAATGTTGAAGATATAATCCGTTTCAGACTTCGTATTTTTTGAGTACAGCATACTTTTATTCAACTCAAATAAATTATTATATTTAATTTAAATAACTTTCTCCTTTAAACTGTTGTCTTTAAAAATATATTTCACCAGAAATTAAGACTTTCGTTTCTCTTAAAATCAACCATTCCTTCTCACTCGAAAATACATTTTCGAATGCACCTAGAAAAAAGATATATATTTGCCTCGGAGCCAACTAGACTTTTTATTTGTTTCAAACAAATTTTATTTGGTTTAAGTAAAATTTTATTTGGTTCAAGTAAAATTTTATTTGGTTCAAGTAAAATTTTATTTGGTTCAAGTAAAATTTTATTTGGTTCAAGTAAAATTTTATTTGGTTCAAGTAAAATTTTATTTGGTTCAAGTAAAATTTTATTTGGTTTAAGTAAAGTTTTATTTGGTTTAAGTAAAATTTTATTTGGATCAAATAAAAGATTTATTTATGTCGAATAAAATTTTTATTTACAACAGATAAATAACCTTAGTTGTCTCTAAGACAAATATACTTTCATTTAACTCAACCAAATTATATTTGGTTTAAATAAAATTTCTCTCTGTGTGTGCTGGCAACCAAAGTAAACTTTCTTGAAAACCTTTTACATTGAATCGAATTTCCACCGATTCTTGATTTCTGAGAAAATAAAAAGAAGAAAAAGAAGAAGATGCAATGCGAATAGTTATTCATCCAAAGTGCACTCGAATGCATTTCGATTGGTTGGAATCCTCATGAATTCAGAAGATGGCGAGGGGGCCGGAACAAACTGGTTTCGCGAGGGTAAAACCGCGCGTCGACCATCGAGAGCATGGATATAGGGAATTGTGTGCGGGAGCGTGCGCTCTAAACTCTCTTTCTCTCTCTCTCCCTCTGTATGTGTGTGTGTGTGTTTAAATCAATAGATTCATGTGTGAGTGGATAAAAGGAAAAAAAATACTCTTTGGTCCCGCCTACACTTGGCTTTATTCGTGGCAGCGATGGCCGCTATCACATCTCAGATTCACATTCTACAGAGATGGAGACGCCTTTAAATTTTCTCTCTCTCTCTCTCTCTCAGTGTGTATTTATTCTTTAAGGCAATCGCGAGAGTCATCCTATCTATCTCTCTTCACTGGAATCATAAATTACTCTTTCTCTCCCCCCATCTTTCAGGGACCATTCTCAATCTGGATCCAGATTGGTCCCATTGGTCTCACCATCAGGACCAATCAGTGATCGCTCACAGCATCCGCAACCATTTGGGTTTTAGCAATTTTTTTTTTTTGGCAAAAAAAAATAATTTTTCGGTATGTACGTTTGTGCAACTAACATTTTCCCTGCAGTTTAAAATAGAAATTTTATTTTTGAATAAGAATTATGTTCAGAGTATTAAAAAAAAGACTTATTTTACATGCAGAGAAAAGATAAACTAAATAAAATTTATTGGAATTAAATAAATTTTATTTGGACTATATAAACTTTAACTTTATCTGAACCAAGTATACTTTATTTAAAGCCAAAGAACATTTATTGTAACAAATAATAATTTATTTTATAACAAATAATAATTTATTTTATAACAAATAAATTATTTAATAAATTAATAGACACATTATTTCACTGTAAAGAAAAGGTTCTAAATTAGAGCTGATTTTCTGTATTAAAATAGAAATGACGATTTAGTACCAAAAATTGGTACTAAATTGGTAAAGAAAGTAACTTTCTTTTTACAGTGTTGTTTTATTATTTTTTTTACTATTATTAATAAATTATTTGTTCCATTATTATTATTCTTTAACCAAAGAAGATTTATTATAACAAATACAATTTCTTTGACTATAGGACGATAGTCCTATAGTCAAAGAAATTGTATTTGTTATAATAAAATCTTCTTTGGTTGAAAAACACAAACAAATTTTATTTATAGCTTAGAAAAACAAATAAAAAACAAATAAAATTTCTTCAAAACAAATAAAAAGTTCAATTGACTCTGGAGTCAAATCTTGAGTTTTATCTTTTTCAAAATCTAATTTTTTACCCACATATAATTTTTTCGATTCATTTCATTAATTAAATATTAAATCTTGTATTAATTTAATTTTTGCAGGATTTTTCTGGGGAGGATGTTCCACGGTAGCGGAAGCGGCGGGTACGGCGCAAGTTCCGATTATCAACAACAATCGCAACAACAGCAACAACAACAGGGACACCAACTTCAGGCCCCAGTTTATGTGCCATCGTCGAGACCGGCCATTCCCTCTGCAGCCACAGCCGCACAATATCATTCTTTCCCTACTTCCGCATCGCCAGCATGGTAAAAATTGTTATTTTTTATCGTAGCAAAAAATAAAATATCAAAATTTTTCAACCAAATGAAACCTCAGCCTAATAGAAATTCTGTTAATATAAAAATTCAACTAGATAAAAATTCAGTCTAATGAGAATACTGTTAATATAAAAATTCAACTATAAATGGAAATTCATCTCAGTAAATATTCAGCCTAATGAATATTTAAATTCAAGTAATTCCAGGCTTCGCACTCAATAATTAATTTTAAAAAAGTATTAAAAAGTATAGCTTTAACACTGAAAAACGTCGTAAAAAAGTAGCTATCGAAAATTAATTTTAACGAATAAAAAAATTTTGATTCATTATTTTTCCCTCACTGTTTTCTGAATTTAATCAAAAATATTTATTTTTATTCTAATCCTGCTGAGAACTTTAATTCTAAATTTTTTAAAAATTCAATTATTTTCTAAATTTTTATCCTAAAATATACGATTTTGTATTTAAAGTAATTTTTAAAAGGAAACAAATAAAATTTAATTCAAATTGTTCACAGGAATTAAGAAAATAAATTAATAATTTTTCAAAGTAAAAATTTAAATATTATTATAGTTTTACAACAATTAGTTCAAGAGGAATTCAACTATTTAAATACAAAAATAAATAATATATTGGATAATTGAAAGTTTGTCAAAATTTAATTCTTATAAAGAATTTATCAATTTTTTAGAAACTAATTCAATTTCTCAGAAGAATTGTATTATTTATGAAAATAATTCAATTTTTGCGAAGAATTTTATTTAATTTTTTTTTAAATAATTGAATTCTCGTGAAAAATGTTATTATTTGAAAAAATAATTGAATACTTCTGAAGAATTAAAGAAAGAATTTATCAATTTTTTAAAAAAATAATTGAATTTCTGAGAAGAATTTTATTTTTATGAAAATAATTTAATTTTCGCCAAAAAATTTTATTATTTAGGAAAATAATTGAATAATTGTGAAGAATTAAAGAAAGAATTCAAGAATTTATCAATTTTTAAACAATATTAATTTAATTTCTAAGAAGAATTTTATTATTTATGAAAAGAATTGAATTCTTACGAAGAATTTTATTTCATTCTTTTTAAATAATTGAATTCTCGTGAAAAATGTTATTATTTGGAAAAATAATTGAATACTTCTGAAGAATTAAAGAAAGAATTTATCAATATTTAAAAAAAATAATTGAATTTCTGAGAAGAATTTTATTATTTATGAAAATAATTGAATTTTCGCCAAAAAATTTTATTTTTATGAAAATAATTGAATTTTCGCCAAAAAATTTTATTATTTAGGAAAATAATTGAATAATTGTGAAAAATTAAAGAAAGAATTCAAGAATTTATCAATTTTTAAACAATTAATTTAATTTCTGAGAAGAATTTTATTATTTATAAAAATAATTGAATTCTTACGAAGAATTTTATTTAATTCTTTTTAAATAATTGAATTCTCGTGAAAAATATTATTATTTGGGAAAATAATGATTTCTTGTGAAGAATTTTATTAAAATTTTTAGAAGTACCTATATAGGTAATTGAATTCTTGAGAAGCATTTTATTATTAATACGAAAATAATTGTATTCTTGCCTGAAATGTTATTTTAAATTTTATAAATAATTGAATTTTCGTTGAAAATGTTATTGCTTGTGAAAATAATTGAATTCTTGCGGTAGAATTTTATAAAATGTTTTTGAATTCATTTTTTTTTTTTGAAAAATTTTAAATAATTCAATTCCTGTGAATGCTAACATAAAAATTTAACTAATATAAATTCATCTTGATAAAAATTCTGCTAATATAAAAATTCAACTAAAATAAATGTTCAACTTAATAAAAATTCAGCCTAATATGGAAATTCTGCTATTATGAAAATTCTGCCAACAAAAAAGTTCCATTTAATAAAAAATAGATATAAATAGAAATAAATAGAAATAAATAGAAATTTTCTAAATTAGCATAATTAGAAAATTTCCATTTTTTTCTTACTAAAAGTAATAAAAATAGAGAATTAATGAAAATTTTTTGTTTCTTTCTCAAAAATAGGGATAAAACGGCTTCATGGCAACATGGGGTGGACAGTTACGCACACCACACATTGGCTGGCCATACGGGCAGTTCAGCTGGTGGATTGGGCCCACATGGAGGACATGGACATCCACATGGTGGACATCCCCATGCAGCTCATCCCCATTCAGCCCTTGCTGCCGCGAATTCCCCCTTTTACGCGCAAAATGTTGCGATGATGTCGTCATGGAGGGCGTACGATAGCGCGGGCTTTCAAAGAGCTTCACCTTATGGTAAATTTCACAAATTTTTCTCTTTTTCCCCCCATCGCCCTCTCTCTTTTCCAGTAACAAATAATACTTTCAGTAAAAATTACTTATAATTACTATAATTTGAATTGTAGTAAAAATGTTTACCAATTTAAATTAGTGACTGACTTTTTGCTTTTGGATTAGGAAATTTTACAAATAAATACCAATTTCCACTATTTATTAGTAAAATTTACTAATAAATTGGTAGAAATGACTAATTATTAGTAAAATTTACTAATAAATTATTATTTATTAGTCAACTCAATTTTAGACGAATCTTAAAATAATGTTTTACAATCCAAAAAGAAAATTATACTCTCTAAATTTGAAGTAGTAAAAATGTTAACTAATTTGAATATTAGTTTCTGGCTTTTTGCTTTTGAATTAGTAAATTTTACAAATAGATAGTAATTTCTACTAATTTATTAGTAAAATTTACTGATAAGTTATTATTTACTAATAAATTAGTAGAAATTACTACACGGAGAAAAATATAAAGTAACTTTTACTAATTCTATAGTAAAACATTTCTGGTAACTTTTACTACTTTCGGAATAAATTTTGCTTCGTTCAAAGTAAATTTTTTTTTAATTTTTACAAATACGTTCTTTAAACGCAGGAAAATTTACTTCAAACGTAGCAAAATTTACTCCGAAAGTTATAGTAAAAGTTACCAGAAATGCTTTACTATAAAAATAGTAAAAGTTACTTTACATTTTTCTCCGTGTATTTATTAGTGAAATTTACTAATAAATTAGTAGAAATTACTGTTTATTAGTAAAATTTACTTATTCAAAAGTAAAAAGACACTCACTAATTCAAATTAGTAAACATTTTCTTACTAATTCAAATTTAGAGAGTAAAATTTTCTACTCGAATTGTAAAACATTATTTTACGATACGTCTAAAATTGAGTTATTCATAATTATTTAAGTGCCGCATAAAACTGAATTACTTCGCTTATTGAGGATAAATTCCCTCATCAATTTATCTGCTTTTTTTGCCCTAAAATAAAGTTTTAATATTTTTAATACCAAGTGAAAATTAAAAGTTTGTTAATAGACATATCAAAAGTTAATTTAATGCTAATTTAAACCTAATTTAAAGAAAGCACATCCGTGAGCCAATTTATCTGCAATGAGCGAAATAACCACGTTTTACCTTTTAAGAAAAAAATTTATTTTTAAATTTATTTATTTCTACCTTTTCGGAAGTAAAATATTTCATTAAAAGTATTTTTTAATTTTTCCTGAATAAGCACATGCCTAGTGTAAGTTATATTAGAGGACGTTTGATAAACTATATATAATCATAAGAATAGGAAATTACGCAGCTATTTATCTTATCAATTTTGCACTTATAATTCATGCAATTCCTTTAGTATCTACATCATATAATCGCAAACATGACACTTGAAATATTATCGTATCGAGTCTCTATTTTTTCTAATAATTATTATAATTATCCAAAATATTATTATTTTTATAATATTTTGTAATAAATAAAAATTAAAAATTAAAATTATTACCTATTATTATTATCAATATTATAATAATAATTATTAAAACTAATTGTAGTAATTATGCAGAATCGTTACTAAATAGGAGTCATTCCAAAAAGAATTAACCTTTTATTTTCAAAATTGTGGGAAAATTAACGATTCTGCATAATTACTTTAATTATATACATAATACATAATATAATATTAATCAAGTATTTTATTCTAATTTTTTTCTTCCATGTATAAATGTGACCGCATGGACGATTAATTGCGGCAAACGTTTAAAATTGTCCAAAAATTATTTATTGAATAAAAAAAATATTTTCTCGGAAAAATAATTATTAATATTAATATTATAATATAATTTTGTATTACCAACCTTGAAATCGTTGACAAATTTTGTTCCGGTAATATAGTTGTCTTCCTTGTTGTCTTCAAAATGATGAAATCTTCAAGACAAACCTCGAGACACACGCGATTTCAAAAATGTCGAAAACTCGCGAAATTACTTTTTATTATCAAGAAAAAAAAATACTTTTTAACATTTTTACTTTTACTACTAAACGACCGCGATTTAAAAAAATTCGAGCACTCCCGAAACTAATATTCATAATGAAAATTAAAAAAATTCCCGCAAAAAATTGAAGAAAATGTACTTATGGACAAGCGACGTGAAAATGAATGGCTACTGAAGAATTTTATTGGCATTGTTATTGCCATGTACCCCCGAAGGTCGAATAGCTGATCAGGAGTAATAAATTTTCAATTTTCCATTCAACTGCTGCTTATAATCTGTCTATTGGTTATATCTATATATAATAATTGATGCTCGATCGTCCTCTGCAGCTCACCTCTAATGTAAACAAACCGAGAGGTTTTCCTATTTTATTACCCACAGTACCTGCAACAGTATAAACGAACAAAGCAATTATACACATTTAAATAAAAACTCAAATATATTTCCAATAATATTTCAAACAAAATTTTTAAAAAATTTAACAAAAATTCAAATTCAATGAAATTTTTCTTCTTTAAAATAAAAAATATCAATTAAAATTTTTAACTTTTAAATTCTTTTAGGTTTTTAATTTTTTTAAATTTATTTAAACCGACAGCGACCAAAATTAACAAAAATTAAAATTTTATAAAATAATTGAATTTTTTTGAAAAACTTTATAATAAATTAAGAAAAAAATTGAATTTTTTGGTAAAATTGTTTTGAATATAATTGAATTTTTGCAAAGAATTTTACTATTCATTAATATAATTGAATTGTTTCGAAGGATTTTTAAAAATTTTAGAAAATAATTAAATTTTTTCGAAAAAATATTATTAAAAATTAAAAAGAAATTTGAATTTTTTCATGAAATATTATTAAAATTGTATTAAAAATAATTGAATTCTATTGAAATTTTTTTTAACGAATTCAGAAAAAAATTGAATTCTTTCGTGAAATTTTTTTAAAAATAATTGAATTTTTGCAAAAAATTTTACTATTTATAAATACAATTGAATTGTTTCGAAGGATTTATTAAAATTTTAGAAAATAATAATTAAAAATTTGAATTCTTGAAATTTTATTAGAATTGTATTAAAAAGTAATTGAATTTTTGCAAATAATTTTACTATTTATAAATAAAATTGAATTTTTTTGAAATATTTTATAACAAATGAAGAAAAAAATTGAATTCTTTCGTAAAATTTTTTTGAAAATAATTGAATTTTAGCAAAGATTTTACAATTTAAAAAAATAATTGAATGTATTCGTTTGTGAAATTTTATTAAAATTTTGTTTAAAAATAATTGAATTCTTGCAAAAAATTGTTTCATTTTTAAAAAATAATTGAATTCTTACGAAGAATATTATTGAATTCTTGGGAAGAATTTTTATTAATATTTTTGAAATTAATAAACAAGAATAATTAATTAATAAATTAGTTAATAATTGAATTTTTTTAACGTCTGAATCTGAAATTATTCAAAAATTCATATTAGAAATTAAAAAAATTTTGTAATTTGCATAATAATAATAAATAATAAACAAAAATTAATATAATTATATAAACGTTACAAAAAATAAATTACTAAAAGTTAATATAATAGAAAGAGAAATAGTACTAAATATATTAAAATACAAATTTAATCCAACTACTATATTTAAATACTACTGATCCAGATAATTTTCAATTAAAGAAGAAATCAAATGATACACGCGTTGAATTAGTCAAAAGTAATTTAAAAAGAGTAAATTAGACCGAAAAAAAAGAATGAAAAAATGAAATAATTAGCGAAATGAAAAATGCCTTAAATATGCGCGTATCTTCATTAAAATGTACATCTTGAAATCAGTAAACGATAAGCGGAGGAGTGAAAAAAGTGATATTTCTTTAAATTTATAGACATGCCCTGCAATGTCTAACTAACTAACCACATTGGGCCATGTGCAAGGATATTAATGATAGCGGCCTTTCTGATGAGAGAGGTCGAGTTTCTGGTCAAGTGTTTTTAGTTAGAAATGCAACAGAAGGCACTTCTGAGTTCATTTCCAAAGGCTCTTTAAAATTTAAGTGAATTTTATTTTTAATTTACGACTCTCAATTTTTCTTCATTCGTTAGCTAATAATAATATTAATAATAACAATTATTATTATCCATGAATATTTTATTCTTGCAAATGGAGAAAATTAATAAAATTAAAATATACCTAAATAAAAAATTATTATTTATTTATTTATAATAATCAAAGTTCCTAAGGCTAAAAGAGAATCTATTGTTAATATTATCTATTGTTATTAAAATATTATTATTATACATGAATATTTTGACAAAAGGAAAAAAATTAACCAAAAAAAAGAACAATAAATAAAAAGAAAATACAAAGAAAAATAATTATTAAAATTAAATTATTATTATGGAAAGCAGTTTTTTTCAATTTTTAACATTTTTTTCCAAAACGATCAATTTTATTGATTCTTAAGTAGTCAGGGTTCAAACTTAGTCAGACAGATGTCAGGCATTTACTGTGAAAAAGTATTATCAAATTATAATGCTTTTTTCTGATTCAAAAATAATTTTTACTAAAAGTAAATTTGTAGAATTATTTTACTCTTTCTAAACTTTTTCTCCTTCCTTCTTGAATTTTTATCATTACTTCAAATAATAATAATAATATATTTTTTAGCTTTTTTCTTAGAAACAATAGTAAAAATTCAAAAAGGGAGAAAAAAATTACATTTCTTCCATTTGTTAATAAAAATAAAACTTTTCAAAATTAAACACAAAAAATATTGAAATGTTTATATAAAAAAATGTATTCTAATTAAATTTCCTTCGTAAAAAGAAGTGAATTTTTTCTTTCAATATATCTAAAAAAATAATTTTTAATTTTATTTAAAGATTCGTCAATGGAATTTCAATTTGGCGAGGGTCGAGAATGTGTAAATTGCGGAGCAATTTCCACACCCCTTTGGCGACGCGATGGAACTGGTCATTATCTCTGTAATGCATGTGGTCTTTATCACAAAATGAATGGCATGAATCGACCACTTATTAAACCTTCCAAGCGATTGGTAAGTAAATCAAAATTATAAAATTTTATACAAATATACACAGAAATCAGGAAATTAATCGATTCCCAAGAATTTAAATGTAGTTTCAAGAATTTCTTTAATAACCGAAAATTGATTTACCCAAGAAAAAAAGCGTTGAAAAAAAATAGAATTAAAATTAAAATAAACAAAAATAAAGTGGAAAAAAGCAAACAATTAAAATAAAATAAATAAATTAGAAAAAAGCAAAAAAGTAAAATCAAAAATTAAAAAAAGCACAAAACTAAAATCAAAAAATAGAAAAAGGCAAAAAAATAGAATTAAAGAAAAATAAAATAAAATAAAACAGAAAAAATAGAATTAAAGAAAAATAAAAAATAGAAAAAAGTAAAGAAATAGATATAAAAAAAAGTAAATAAAATTTGAAGAGAAAATAAGTAAATAAAAATAGAGAGAACAAGAAATAATAATGAAAAAATAGGCGACTGTTTGAAAATATCGAAATTTCCTGTTTTCTAAATAAAAACATTTGCACAAAGAGTACTTCCGGTATACATTAGCAAAGGGTCAGATCTCCGAATTCCAGACTGCAACGAGACGACTCGGCCTTTGCTGTACAAATTGCGGTACAAGAACAACGACATTGTGGAGGCGCAACAATGAGGGCGAGCCAGTTTGCAATGCCTGCGGTCTCTACTTCAAACTACACGGCGTCAATCGACCATTGGCCATGAGGAAGGACGGCATTCAGACGAGAAAACGAAAACCAAAAAAAACACCCGAACCCAATGCCCGTACATCGCACACAGAGCATGAAACTTCAGACTCAGCATCCTCCCCATCCAATGGTACGATTCTTCCCCTTCAAATTTAATTTTAATTTTATTACATCTTTAACTAGCAAATATTACACTCAAAAAGCAAATTTCAATTTATTATTCGTATTACCATTATTATTATTATGAAAATCATAAAATTCTTTATTTTTAAATATCAACTTCGATTTTTGAATAATTTTAAATTGAAAATTTTTAAAAATTCACATATTTTCAAATTAATTATTATTTATTATCTTCATAAATTTTTAGTAAAATTTTTCAAAGAATTTAATTATTTCCAAAAGTTTTTACTAAAATTTATTGAAAAAGTTGAATTATTTTCAAATATTTTAATACCTACTATTTTTTGCAGGAATATTAAATTATTTTCCATACAGTTTTCAATATAATTTTAATAAAATTCCTTAAAAAAATCCATTTTATTTCAAAAAAGATTTTTATAAAATTCTTCAGAAGAGTATAATTAATTTCAGTATAATTTTAATTGTATTTCTTGAAAGAATTTTAAATCTTTCGAAATAATTAAATTATTTACAAAATTTTTTGGAAAATTCTTTGAAAAAATTCAATTTATTTCAATAATTTTTGAAAAATTCTTTGAAAATATTCAATTCATTTCAAAAATTTTTATAAAATTCTTTAAAAAAATTAAATTAATTCCAGTAAAATTTTAATTAAATTCCATGAAAGAATTTAATTATTTTCAAAAGTTTAAAAAAAAAATTCAACAGAATTTAATTATTTTAAAAAGTTTTCAATAAAATTCTTTCATTATTTTGATAAATAATTTAATTTTTCACAGGAATTAAATTATTTTCACTATAGGATACAATTTAAACAAATTCCTCGAAAGAATTCCATTCGGTATTTTAAAAAAATTTTGTAAAAATCATCGAAAGAATCCAATAATTTTTTAAAATTTTAATAAAATTCTTGGAAGAATAAATTTCATTATTTCCATTAAAGTTTCAATCAAATTCCATAAAAGAATTTAATTATTTTCAAAAGTTTCCGAAAAAATTCTTCGAAACATTTAAATTATTTTCAAAAATGTTAATAATTTTAATTAATTTCAGTACAATATTAATTACATTTCTTGAAAGAATTTATTCATTTCCAAGAAATAAATTAGAAGAATAGAAATTTTAATTAAATTTCTATTTAATTTTAATTCAATTCCAATTTAATTCAAATTAAATTTCAATTTCAATTAAATTCAAATTCAATTTCAATTATTTTTCAATAAATTGTTTCTAAATTAATTAAAACAATTTCTTTACTGGAAAAAAATTTTTAATTTAATTTTTTTATTTTAATTACTTTTCTGAATTCTTCATGAAATTCAATTACTTTCAAAACATTAATTTAAAATTATTAAAAAGAACTCCAGTATTTTCAAAAACTCAAAGAAATTTTCAAGAACAATTCAATTATTTTCAAAAATAGTAATAAATTTCTTCGAAGGAATTCAATTACTGTAAAATTCTACGCATGAATTAAATTATTTCAGATTGAAAATTCAAAAGGTACGAATAATAAATAAATAATAAATGGACATTACCAATTAAAATTAATAACGACAAAATCAGTATTTACCTCAAAATTTTGAAAAATACATTTTCCTATCTTTCGCAGAGGGCAAAAGAAGTCAGAGTCAGCAGCAGCAGCAGCATCAGGCAGATGTACCAAAATCAAGTTCATCGACAACGACGGAAAGACCCGTTTATCTCGGTCACACATCACTCCTTCCAACCGGAAGTACTCCAACCGTAAAAACGGAACCGCGAAGTTGTGAAGGTGTCGTCGCGCAACCATATTCATCCTATTATCCTCATCCTCATCAATTGAGTACACCGACAAGTGAACATCAACAATCTAGTTATTACGGAGCTCAGGAAGCACCGTACCATCATCAGCATCACGTCACTGCAGCAGCAAAATTACTAGCCTCCTCTTAGTTCTCCCCATACTTCATTTTCACCTAAAAACATAATTTCAAGCATAAATTTACGTTTATTATCGAAAAAAAGAAAATTATTACCAACGAGAAAAAGTATACAATTTCATTATTTAAGCTAAATAAAATTACTATTTTATTCGCACGAAAAAAACTCAAAATGTTAATTTCGAAATAGAAAAAAATTCAAAAAATGAATTTCAAAATTGAAATTTATAATTTTTAAAATTCATTTAAATTTCGAAATCTTTGGAAAATTCAATTTTTCGATTATCATTTCCCTCGATTCATCGAATGCAATTTCTCTTGACGAATGAATGATGCAAATGCATTAAAATGTTAAAAAGTGTCCTTAATGTTTTCTTTGTCTCTTCTTTTTTTTTTATTTGTAGAGTGGCACGAAAAATCGACGAGATTTACGGCCGCAGAAACCAGTTTGAGATATTCAATTCCTAATGCTGACTCGCGATGTGTGATATTTAAATTATTTAAAGGCACTCTACACTCTACTCCTGTGTTTCTTTTTTTATTTTTTATTTTTGTTGTTTCTTTTTTATTGTAAAGAGAAAAAGAATTTGTACGGGAGAGACGAAAAAGAAGAAGAAATAACGATAATGGAATATATCGTATCATTCCAGGCGAATTCTTTTTCTATAAAAAAAAGGAGAAAAAAAAATTGTATAAAATTTATTATTATAACGCTCGATTTTATTCTTCGCCTATCACGAGCGATATTTAGAGGCTGATTAAGTAGTACAAAACGCTCGTGATTGGTCAATGAACTTCTTTTGCTTTTTATAAAGCGCACTCTTTAAAAAAAGAAAAAAGCAATATTATATATACGGTCCGTCCCATTTTTGCTGATACTTAAACGAAATCAATTAAACAAAACAAAAATAAAAATACACTCAAGACAATTTTTTTGTTAATTTGAATATATACCTAAACAAAAAGGTGAAAAATTTGTCCTTATGTTAAAAATAAACTCAGTTGTTTAAAGAAAAGATTCGTGATTATTAATTATTTACCGAAAAGTAAATTTAAAATTTTTTTAACAAAGAAAATCAAATTTCTTGAAGAATTTATTTTCTTTTTATAAAGAAACCTGAGTTAAAATTCAAATTTTTCATGACTGTAAATAGTAAAAATTATAAATATATATATATAAAAAAAAATCTATAGATATGTAATTTTATGAATATTAAAATTTAAATACATATTATACTATAAGATTACATTTGATCTGTATGTCAATAAAGTGTATGTCCTTTTCTAAAAATCATTAAAAAAAACTTTTCTTAATATGCACAAATACTGAAATTTCCGGTCAGCGGTCAAAGTTTAAATAATAAATAGAGTAAATAAAAAAAGAGAAAGAGATTGAAATCATGACGTTCTTATTGATAAAATAAGTGTGTATGACAATTGTTATAACGAAGGCGTTATGCTTGAGGTAAAGGGTGTTAGATAAATATTTTCTCTCGACGTGTTACCTGACATTGAAGGGACGAAGAAACGCCCACGATTAATTTGATTCAAACCACCCTCCTATTATCAAACAAGCAATTTGTCAACCTGCGCGACCATCGAGTTCACATAAATCCCCAGCAATAATAATGTTAGAATTCAAATGATGATCGCAGTTCATATCGTGAAGACATAAAAGTCACTTGTTTGTATCAATGGGTAAGTAAAATTTTAATTTATTATTTCATGACTGTTTTTTTGTTTACTGTTTTCTATTTCTAGTTTCAATTTCATTTCAATTTAAATTTAAATTCAATTTAACTTTAATTAAATTTTAATTCAAATTCAATTTCATTTCAATTTCAATGTAATTCAAATTTAATTTCAATTCATGTTCAATAAATTGTTTCTAAATTAATTAAAACAATTATTTTTTTATTAGAATGGGTTTGAAATTTAATTTTTTTTATTTTAATTACTTTTCTGGATCTTTCATGAAATTTATATTTTTTTATAGGAATAGAAAATTTAAATTCTTTCTTTCTTTCTTAAACTAAACAATTTTTTTCGACAACAAAATTTCTTTTATTTTTTATAAAAAAAAGAATTTTTAATTTCTTGTTTCATTTCAATTTCAATTTCAATTTATTTCAAGTTCAATTTAATTTCAATTTTAATTCAATTTAATTTCAATTTTAATTCAATTTCAATTTAATTTTAATTCAATTTTTATTTAATTCAAATTTAATTTCAATTCATTCTCAATAAATTGTTTCCAAATTAATTAAAACAATTTGTTTACTAGAAAACTATTTGAAATTTAATTTTTTTAAATTTAATTCCTTTTTTGGATGCATTCTAAACTGAATTTTTTTATATAAATAGAAATTTTCAATCAATTCAATTCTTTCTTTCTTTTTTAAACTAATAAATTCTTTCGACAACAAAATTTCTTTTATTTTTTATAGAAAAGGAAGCTTTTAATTTCATGTTTTTTAAAAATTTTAATTTAATTTCAATTTTAATCAAATTTAATTTCAATTCAATTTCAATTCAATTTTAATTCATTGTTTCTAAATTAATTAAAACAATTATTTTTTATTAGAGAAGGATTTGAAATTTAATTTTTTTAAATTCTAAATTAGTTCAAACAATTTGTTTACTATAAAAGAATTTGAAATTTAATTTTTTTATGTGAATTGCTTTTATGGATTCTTTATAAAATGAAATTTTTTTTTTATAGGAATAGAAATTTTCAATTCTTTGTTATAATTGTATAATATTTATAAATTTGAATAATGAGAAAACTCTAATTAAATGAAGAATTATTTCGATTGTTAGTAAAAGTAAAATTTCTAATTAAAAAAAAAATTTAGGGAGATCTTTGCCGGCTCCAGTTGCATGTAAAGTTTGTGGTGATCGATCGTATGGGAAACATTACGGAGTTTATTGTTGCGATGGATGTTCTTGTTTTTTTAAAAGATCTGTTAGACGTGGAGTCATGTACACCTGCCTAGGTAATAAATAATTGAATATAAAATTTATTATTCAGAATTAAAAAAACCGAACATGACGAATTTATAAAATCTAGTTTCATTCAATTATTTTATAAAAAATTATTTTAGATAAATTTCATTATTTTCTAAATTTATTCTTATTTGATTTTTTCAAATTCGTAATAATAATTATTTTAAATAAATTTCATTACTCTCTATATTTATTTTTATCTGCATTTTGAAAAATCATAATAATTATTACTTTAAGCAATTTTCGTTATTTTCTGAATTTATTTTTATTTGCATTTTTAAAATTCATGACAATTTTTTCTAGGAAATTTTAATTCAATATTAAATTATCAATTACCCTTTGATTTAATTAGCAGGAACTGGAAATTGCATAGTAGATAAAGCGAGAAGAAATTGGTGTCCACATTGTCGTTTAAAAAAATGTTTCACTGTTCAAATGAATACGTCAGGTAAACAAATTTCAAAATTTCTTTTTAAACTAAAAAATTATTACAGTTTTATTCTAAACAAAAATCACCTAATTTCGAAAATTTATAATAATTTTTTTACTCATAAAAAGAAATAAAAAAAATTACCAACTGAAAATAATAATTAAAATAAATAAATCTATTTTATTAGACATGAAAAAAAAAATAAAATATTTAAAGAACACTGATTATCGAGTTCGAGGCAGGTGATAGAAGAAGCAAATAAAGCCGCGTGCCGGTCACTCGTCTAACCAAGTGCTATGTAAACACCATGAATGGACAACAAGAATAATTATTCTATAGAAACTTGAAAAATCACATCGAAAAAAATAATTTATAATTAAAAGAATTTCTATTCTTTTAAATTAACTAAAAAATTCTATTCTTTTAAATTAACGAAAAAAATTCTATTCTTTTAATTAAATTTCATTCAACTCAGCAAAAAATTATCAGAGTCTGATTTTATTTTGAAAAAACCTATATTATTAAATCAAAAGAGATAAAAATTGAATATAATAAAATGTCCAATTTTTTCGTTCAAATTTAGCTGTTCAAGAAGAAAGGGGTCCTCGCAAGAAAAATAAAACATCAAAATTCCCCTGGAAGACAAAAATTCAATCATCGACGGGAATTTTTAATACAATTGAGGAGCAGAAGAGAATAAATTCATTTCCCTTGAAACACATCGTCACGAGAATTGAACCATTCTATGAAATAACGTCAAATTCTAATTTTATTCTACCTCCACCTCCGCCTATTGCTTCGAGAATAATTTTACCTGGTAAATAAATTCTTCTTTTCTTAAAGAAATATTTTTTAGGAAATCTGATAATTTTCTAATCAAATTCCTATTAGAACTGGAGAAATTATCTCCAATTTTTCAAAAATAAATTTTCTATTTTTAGCCGAGAATATGAATATTCAGTATGAAATCGCAGCTCAAATATTCCTGCTGACAATTAGACGAGCGCGTCAACATCGAGACTTTCAAACATTAAATATCGAAAATCAAAATTCAATTCTGCGTCAAGGTTGGGCCGCTGTCTTTATTCTCAATGCTTCCACTTTTCCCATGCATTTTATTCAATTGTTAATAAACAAATGTACCACGGAGAGAACAACATTGAATTCACTAATGACAGCGCGCGTCTCTCTCTTGAAACTACAACTCGATGAAATTGAATATTCCGCCTTGGAAACTCTATCTCTCTGTCGTCCCGGTAACTATTTTATTTACACTCAATTAAAATTATATTCAAATAAATAAATCATCCAAAAAAATTCAATCTCAAAAAAATTGAATCAAATATTCAAACTTTCCACTTTAAAAATTTGATTCAATTTCAATTACATTTCTTCTCTAATTTTCCTCTAATTCTCCTTTTGCAGAATTAACAGAATCTCCAGAAAGTTTCGATTTCCTAACGAGGGTACGTAATTCAGCGACAGAATTATTATTGCGTCATCTTCAGAGTCGAGAGAATCGAGAGTATAGAATTATAGAAATAATGTTAGTTTTATCAATTCTCACAGCATGTTGTACAAGAGAATTGGGAATTGCTCTTTTTTCGCCAATTATCGGTGATTTAGCTCTGGACCACGTAATCGCATCTATATAAATAGTGAATAAATAAATATTTCCTGCAAATATAAATAATAAGTTATTAAATTATTACAAATTAAGGGGAGACTTTGACTTTATTTTTAACTATGTCCAGAAAATGATTTAAATCTTCCATAAAATTATTTTTATAGTAATTTTTGGAGAGGAAATCAATATTCAGAAAATACAATCTATTAGAAAATATTCTGACTTTCCTTGATTATTATTTTTCTTAAAAATTTATACATTTTAAAATCCATCCGTAATTTTGTACAAAATATGTTTTTGTATGTATCTACAAAAAAATTGCCGAATGAAAAAATTGATTTTTAAAATTTGTAAACCATTTTTTTTAAATAATTGCTTTTAGGTTGAAAATGTTAGAAAGTACAATTTTATTCAATTTTTTAAAATGGAAATTCACTTGTTTATTTTTCTAACTAACTTCAAATCACAATTTTTTAAAATATAAAATATAGAAAAATTAAAATAAAATTATAATTTAAAGTTAGTAAGAAAAATAAACAAGTGAATTTCCATTTAAAAAAATTGAATAACAATGGTATTTTTTAGCATTTCAAATTAAAAATAATGTTTTGTTTGCAAAAAAGTGTAAAAATCAATTTTTTCATTCAACATTTTTTTGTACATACAAAAACATTTTTTCTACAAAATTACGAATGGATTTTGAAATCTATCAATTTTTAAGAACAATAAAAATCAAAAAAGGATCCGAATATTTTCTGACCATTGATTTCCTTTCAAAAAATTACTATAAAAATAATTTTATAGAAGATTTAAATTATTTTCTTGATATAGTTAAAAATGCAGTTGAAGTCTCCCCTTAAACTATTAAAAATAAACTAAAAATAAACTCGAAAAAAGTATTTATTTTTTATTCTTAATATTTAATAATATTAACATTTCCGCTAATATTCTAAATACATAAATAAATAAATAAAAATATTATATATTTATTTTTATTATTTATTTAATACTCTTTTGCTTCTTTCACTCTCGATTCTCATTACGACGAGACGTAATTTTTATTTTCTAGCCATAAACTAAATTTGTGAATTAAAAAATGGAATTTCTCGCTAAATAACAAGTGATTGTACAATGCAGTATGATAAGATTTCTTAGAAATTGATTTGCAATTAAAGCTGTAATAAAATAATAACGACTCTGCCATGAAACATGAAGTTTGTAAACTTATTTGGAAAAATAGTGCAATTAATGAAACAAGTGATTTGTACCGTACTTTTGAAATCATTGCCTATTTCCACGTGATTCGTTCTCTTTTTTCTTATATTTGTGAATTCATTTTTTTAATACTAAAATTGTATTATTTAAATTTAACTATTCAAAATCAAAATCAAAATCAAAATCAAAATTCAAATTGAATTATTATAATTTTATTATAATTGTATTATTGAAATTATATCATTGTAATTGTATTGTAATTGTATTGTAATTGTATAATTTTAATTGTAATGTAATTGTATTATTGTAATTATATTATTAAAAATTGTCAATTTTTCAAAAAATTATGTTTCAATTGCGGATAATTTTAATTGCTTCTACAATTCAATTTATTCTGTCCGAAGGTAAGTGAAATGTAAACTTAAAAAATAACCACTTTTTTCAAAGAATCACGAATTTTTTCCAGGATATTTAATTTAATATTTAATTTAAAAGATTCGAAGCAAATTAAAATTAATAAAAAAAATCTTTTTCCTTCAGATACATCAATAAATGGAAGAACAAATTCTTTTTTCAGAAATGCATGTAAGCTTTACAAACTATATTTTTTCCTCTTTTAATACTTTCTATAATTTATTCGATTTTTGAAACGAAATTCTTTTCTTTAATAATTTTCTCAAATTCTCAAGAGTAAATTTCGAGAGAATTGAAAAATTTATTTCAATTCTTTCGAAATTATTCTTTAGTTTTCTTTAACTAATTACTTCGATAGTAATTTTTGTATTCGATTGTAAATTAAAAAAAATTTTCTTTTTCTTTCTCTTTCTATTTTTTCTTTTCTGTTCTGACGACTTTACGTATTTCAGGCGAAAATGAACGACAACCTGTCGTTGAATATTTTCACGTAAGCAATAAACAATATTTATTTTTCTCTGAACGAGTGACTTGGGAGGAAGCTCGTCTACTCTGCCTAAATTACAATGCAAAGCTGGCAATTTTGAATGACATGGAAAAAGCGACGGCAATCGCTCAAGCTTTAGCCGAATCTGATATATGTAAGTAAATAAAGTCCAGATGTTAATTTTCTTTTTGCAAAAAAAAATCGAGAAGAAAAAATTGAATTCAAAAGATGCAAATTTAAAATTAAAAATTTAATTTAATTAAAATTTTTTAATTTTAAATTAAAAATTTAATTTAATTTAATTATAAAATTTAAATTAAAAATTAAAAATTTTTAATTTTACGAAGCGTCGGAAGACACTTGGTTAGGTGCCAGAAGATTGAACACAATTTGGACTTGGATTGACAGCGAGGAAATAGACTGGAGAAAAAATATCCTATCAATTGAGTCTGGAATCGACAATTATCCACCTTGGATTAGAGAACCGACGAGACCTACCAAAGAATGTTTAGCAATCGATCGAAAAACTCACTCAAATCCCAATTTCATTGACTTGGACTGCCGAATACTGAAACCATTTTTATGTGAAAAAAGTATTCTTTATCTTTATAATTTACATTTTTTATGATCCACAAGTACTTAATGTTCAAATTAATAATTAATTTCTTTGATAGTGACGGTAAATTATTGCAACAAAATTTTAATTTGAAGAAGAAATGAATAAATTTAATTAATTTTAAAAAAACAGAACTTTAGGATCTTTTTTCATGAAATCAAAAAATTAAAATATTCTTCTACTTTAGAACCAGACGATTCTCTAAAATCTCCGGTACCGGCTAAATGGATTCAAATTCAAAGAAGTACATTTACACTCTATCATGGTAAAGTAACGTGGGACGAGGCCGCGACATTTTGCCGAAAACAAGGTGCAAGATTGGCTATTTTACAGAATCTCAACGTCATCGAAATTCTCACCAATAGTATGACTAAAACGCGACCAGGTAAATTTTTACTACAATTTGAAATTGCATTTGGAATTTAAAGATGAAAATTAATTTTATAAAAAATTGAATTTCCAAAAATTAGATGAATAAATAGAAATTAAAGAAAAAATAAAAATGAGATAAATAGAAATTTGTTAAATAGAAATTGGATAAATAAATAGAAATTAGACAAAAAAATATAAATTAGAAAAAATTAATTTTCACTAACTTGAAAAATGTTGAAGATTTTTTCTTTCTCCTCTTCAATTGCAGATTTTGAGACAGTTTGGATCGGGGCACATTTCTCGTATGGACAATGGATCTGGATGGCTTCCGGAGCAATTTTGAATTCTGTTTCGGAAAATGGTTATCCGCCCTGGAGTTCGGGTCGATCGCAAAAAAAGGAAGGATGTCTCCTTCTAGATCGTCATTTAACCGGTCATACAAATTTCATTGAAGCCAAATGCAATCGAAAACGTGATTTTGTCTGCGAAGAATGTGAGTCATTAAAATACGTCAATATGAACAAATTTTACTAAATATTTCTGCTATAAAATATTTTTTTTACCGAATCAAATATCTTGACAAGAATTTATTTCAAATTTTTGAAAATAATTGAAATTTTATAAAGTATTCAATTATTTATGAAAAAAATTGAATTCTTGACAAGAATTTGTTTCAAATTTTTGAAAATAATTAAAATCCTCCGAGGAATTCAATTATTTATGTAAAAAATTAAATTCTTGACAAGAATTTGTTTCGAATTTTTTTAAATAATTGAAATCCTCCGAAGAATTTTATTATTAATGAAAATAATTAAAATCTTGCAAAGTTTTTTTTAAAAATTGTTGAAAAATAATTTTTAGGAATTGTTTCGATGAAAATTTAAATTCTTTGTAGGAATTTAGTTAAGATTGTATTGAAAATAATTGAATATTTAAGAAGAATTATATTAAAATTTTAGAAAATAATTGAATTCTTTTGGAAAATTGTATAACGAATTAAGAAAAAAATTGAATTCTTTCGTGAAATTTTATTGAAAATAATTGAATTTTTGCAAAAAATTTTATTAGTTATAAAAATAACTGAATTTTTCCGAAGAAAGTTATTATTTATGAAAATAATTGAATTCTTCCGAAGAATTGTGTTCATATTTTTGAAAAATATAAACAATAATAATTAATTATGTTCTTAATAAGTAAATTTTTTAAATTTTGATTATGAAATTATTCAAAAATTTATATTTTAAAATAAAAAATTTTGTGATTTGCATAATATTAATAATAATAATAAATTGAATACGACGTTCCGCACGCGTAACGTTTGCTAGTTAAATTAATAAGAAGTAAAATAGAAAATTTCTAAATTAAATACTGAATAAATATAATAATAATAATTCTACAAATACTTAAATATTTGAGTGTAAATTAAAAAATCAAACAATAAATATAATTATAAGAATTCTACGAATACTTAAAATATTTGAGTGTAAATTAAAAACCAGAATAAAGAAAATTACAGTCGAGTAAAATTGGAGTGTAAATTAAATTAAAATAAATTAAGACTGGAATTTTATCGATTGAAAAAGAAATTAACATTTAATTTTCGTGTAATTAATTCAGATCCGCAGATCGAGCAAGATGTTTGGCTCAACGATCCAGTGAAATTCTCGCATGAAAATGAAACTTACATAATTTACTCCGCGGAGAAATCGTGGCAGGAGAGTTATGAATTCTGTAAGGAGAGAGGCAGTTCTCTCGCCATCATTGAAGACATGAATGCCACGAATGTCATCATCGAAGCCATGGGTGATCATCCTAAAGGTAAAAATAAAATAAATTATATTAACGAAAAAAATACAAATAATAAAAATTATTTCCCTCATCAATTAAACTATTCTTTAAGTCGATAACTTCTCCCAAATGTATTTTATTCATTTCCGAAAATTTCTTATTGTCTAAATTTCAATCTAAACACTAGAAAATAGAAATTCTATTCTAAATTCTATTCTTATTTCTATACATCGAATGAATAACTATTAAATTAAATTAAATAAATAAAAATTACCATTTTCGAAAATTCTTGTTCCCTAAATTTCAAGCTAAATTCTAGCAAATTTCTATACTTCGGAAAGAATAACAATTACATAAAATAAATAAAAATTATCAAAAAGACTAAATGATAAAATAAATAAAAATTACCATAAGGAATAAATAATAAAATAAACGATAGAATAAATATAAAATAAATAATAAAATATTTTCCATAAAAAAATATCCCAATTTCAGTTTGTTTCCATTTTTAGGAATCGATCACATTTGGACTGGAGGAACGTTCAATTTAAATACAACAAAATGGGAATGGATTGACAATAAAGAAGTGATACCTTTCGAAAAAGATAAATTCGGCTTTCCACCTTGGGCAGAATTTGAAAGTGATATCGACTTTGACAATGAAGTTAAGATTTGTCTCAATTTGGATCGCAGTGATCATGTGAAGGCCCACTTTTATGGTTTGGATTGCATCAGTAGACAGCCATTTATCTGCAAAATAAGTAAAAAAAAACAAATAGATTAGCAACAATATCTAAATACATAGTTACTAAAAAAACTGTTATTACCTGTTTCATTGGATTTCAGCTTGTAACACTCCGCCAAAAGTAAAAAATGGAAATTGGAGTTGCCAATCGAGAGAATCTGGTAACAATTGTCAAATGCTGTGCAATTCAGGATTTATCACAAAGGGATTGATAAATGCCACTTGTTCAAATAATGGCGGCTGGACAAGTTCCAACAATTGGCTCGAATTTCCAGAATGCTTAAGTATAATATTGTCTTTTTCTGATTTTCCATTAATTTTTCTTTATTAAGAAAAACAAGGCGATTTTCATTTTTCCTTATTTTTACGAATGGAAAAACAAACTTTATCTTACGATTTGACTTCTGTTCTTGGGGCTTTTTTAGCTGAAAAATACAAAAAAAATAAGATAAAAAAATTATACTTTTTTTAGCTGAAAAATATACAAAAAAAAAATAAAATAAAAATTCAATTATATTTTTTTAGCTGAAAAATACAAAAAATAAAAATTTCATTATATTTTTAGATCCAAGTGAATACGCTAATGAATTTGTAAAATCTTTGGGGTACGAGATACAAAAAGTAATTGGATACTATTTCATCTTCGATCATTGGAATGAAAAAATTCGACAATTATCGTTTAAATTTGCCGAACAATTTCTAAACATTTTCCCGTAAGCTCGAAATTTATAATTTGTCCAAAAGCAACTTATAAATTCACAATTTATAATTGTAAATATAAATTATAAAATAAATTCCCATTATTTTCGGTATTTGAATTTTAAATTAAAATAAAATGTAAAATTTTCCATTTGAACAATAGAATTAATCAACAATTGAAAATGGGAATGGCGAGTAATATTACGAATCCAAGTTTTCAATTGGACTTTCATCAAACCGATAATTGCCTGGCACTTGAAACGATTAATAATTGGAAGAATAAAATTAGTGCAAATCGCACCAAAGTCAATAAAATTTCCAGCAATTGGTTTAAGGAAGTTTCCAAAAATACGGGACGTAAATCGCTAATTGGTAATTTAATTAAAATTTTTTTTTCAGTCAAAAAAAGAAATTAAATAACTCTTTAATTTAATATTTTTTAATAAAAAAATCAAATTACTTTTTAATTTAATATTTTTTAATAAAAAAAAATTAAAGTGCTGTTTAATTTAATATTTTTTTAATAAGAAAATAATTAAATTACTCTCTAACTAATTGATTAATAAACAGTGGCGATTATCGATCGAAATGAAGCTAAAACATACAAAAAAATTTTGCAACAATTAATAAATGCCGGACATCGCGTTACTGTGATTGGTCTAAGAGAAGATGAAGAAACACTTTTACCACTGGCTACCGTGGGTTTAGATAAAAAGATAAATTTGTTTCTCTTTGATCCCGAAGAATTTGAAATTATCATCGAAGAAATTTCCAGTAAGTAATTTGGGTAAATAAACTAATACTTAGAAATTCTAAGACAATAATCAATTCAATTTTACAGAGAAACGAAAAACAATTACAAGTAATTGTAAGTATTCAAAAAAAATGTAATATTTATTTCTCTAGAATGGACAAAAAAAATTAAAGAAAGAAATAATTTAAAATTTGGTTAATTTGTTTCCAGGTTCGTATAGATTGAAAAAAATTGAAACTGATTTGTTAAATCAAAATGTTTCGAAACTAAATAAAGAAATTATTTTAGCCAATACGACAGGTAAAAAATGAATAATTAAAAAAGGATAAAATTTTGCCAGGAGCAATTAATACTTTGAAATTTTTTTCTAGATACAATACAAATAGCAACCACTAATGAAAATCTAGAAACGAAATACGAAAAATCAACTCAAATTTCAACTTCAATTTTCGAAGTTTCAAGCGAGTTGAGTCAACAAAATCCAAGTAAATTCGAAGACTCGAAAAGTAATTTAGAAAACGTTCCTTTCAACGAAGCTGCAAATCCAACTAAAATTCCAAAAAACCAATTTCAACACTCACCAGAAACAGAGTTACCTATTTACATGACTAATCCAACAAGTGAAGAGGAAACTCGCTAATAAAAATTAAGCCTTACTTTACTAGCAATGAAAATCTCTTCATATAGTTTATTTACTAATTAGAAGAGTCATTTAAAAAAAAATTACTTTCGTTTGTATTTACATTAAAAAATGAGAATTATTAAATGAGAATGTAATAAATTCAAAAATTATCAATAAATTTCCCGTTAAGAGTGGAAAATATTTTTCAAATGAATTGGAAAATTGGAAATTAAATTTTTCTTTGGCACTTTATTAACATAACAAATTACAAAGTGTAAGTATGTACAAATAACTACAATAATATGGCGTACGAAACTATGATTAAGTGTTACAATGCCTACGCGGAAAAAATGATATGTAATAAAAAAAAGTCGTTCAATTTTATACGCAGCCAACAAAACGAAATCTCATTAAGTTTGCGTAAAATTTTCCGAAAATGAAGATTCTTTTTCACAAGGAAGAAAAAACTTTACTAAAAATAAGTTTTTTCACATTTCCTTTTTTTCAATTATTAGTATTTTTTTTACTTTTAATCGTAAACATTTTCTATTTATATTTTAATTCGATATTTTAAACTTAGAATTTTTTTTTTAAAACTCTTTCTAACTTTATAAGTTTTATAAATCAAGAGTTAGTAGAATTTAATTTACAATTTTGTAAATGACTTGAAATTGTTAAATTAGTTGGAAAAAAAATAAAGTTAATTTTTGAAAAAAAATTTGCCTTCTCCAAAAAGCAAACTATTTTTCTATAATGTAAATAAAAGAAAGAATTGGGCATCTCAAATATGCCAAGGCACCTTTTCGAAAATGCATTTTAACGCATTAATATTACTAATGCGCTATTTATTGAGCAGCATTTCATATTATAAACGAAATGATTCTTATTAGTCGATGTAAGGAAAAAAATTAAATAAATATTATTAGTGTTACAACTTAAACAAATTATATATAGCACATTTTTCAGATCACTGAATTACGATCTTTTCCTTTTAACGATTAAAAATATTTAATGAATTAAAAAAAACAATAATAGAAACATTAAGTAGACAATTTAATTTTTAAATCGTAATTCAATTCGCTTTTAGAATGAATTCCCTTCTATTGTATAACAAAATATTTAATAAAAATTGAGCCACTTTTAGTGAACTTTATATATATATATGTATATATAAAAAACAATTTATATAATTATATATTAATAATAAGACAAAAAAGACAAAATTCATCAAAATTCAATAACAATTATTCAAAAAAACAAAATTTGTTATCAAAAGGAATGTTTTTTTTGTATGAAAGTACGAAAAAAGTTAATTCTGCCTTAAAATTGATAATAAAAATGAGAAAATATAAATAAGATAAATCTAGAGTTAATTTGAAACTCTTCGTAAATTTTGTAAAAAATAAGTTTTTGAGAACAAAAAATTTTTTTTTTTTTTTGAAAATTTAATACTTGTACTTATTGTACTTGTACTTACGATATCGGTCTTCTTCCGTTCTTCGCAGTTGTCTTATTAAATCGCTTGGTACGTACCACAATCTATCAACATTATTTAAGAGAGCTTCCGTTATTTGACAGCAAACCGCTGCCATATTGACTTGTGCACTTAAATCTGAACGATCACGTGGATAAATGTAGCGCGGTGGAAATAGTGATGGCGCCACAATCATAGCCACATTGTGAATTGGCATTTTATTCGAATTTTGATTTTCAATGACGAGCATTAAAAATTTCAATAAAGCCTTTAATGTGCACCGATGTTCAACTGGTAATAATAGCACCAAAAGATTTAGAGATAAAGCGAGATCACTTGGATTTTTTACACCTGCAAGAAAAGAGCAATAAAAGTGTTTCATTAAAAAAAATAATAAAAGTATTTTTATTAAACATATAATATTTTATTTAAAGAATAATAGAAGTCGATATTATTGAATCTATCACTTAGAGTTTTGATAATTTCATTTATATTTTAATAATAAATATATTTTATAAAAATATTTCATTGAAAAAAATAATAATTAATTAAAATAATAAAAGTATAAAAAAAATAATAAAAATGAGAATATAAATTAATTAGTTAGGTATAATTTATCCTAATTTGATAAAACATTTTAAAAAATCAATTTTTGATATTTCGCTTAAATATAAAATGATAAGAAAGAATTGAAAAATAGAATAAAAGAATATTGCAAAAATTTACTAACCGTGACTTTGATAAAAAGCATCAATGAGTTCGACGGTGAGAAGAGGTTGAGGTAAATCCCGTAAAAGTTTTTTCAGGACAACTGATAAATCATTGCACGGTGTGCGCTTAAAAAGCGAATCCATTTCGTTTGGTTTGCAGTAAAAGTCGTTTTCCAGCTCTGAACACAAAGTTTCGACCTACAAAAAATGTTGTCTTACATTATTAATGTTCTTATCAATTATTTAAAATAAGAAGTTCTTTGTCACTTTATAATAATAAATTCTTCTTAAGTTTATGATAATGAATTCTTCTACTAAATATTCTTCTTAAGAATTATTTTCATAAATAAGAAAATTCTTCGTAAGAAATCAATTATATTCGTAAATAATACAATTCTTCGGAAGAATTTCTATTATTTTCAATACAATTTTAACTAAATTCCTCAACAATTAAATTATTAAACAACTATCAGTTAAAAATTTTTAAAAAGTTCATAAAATTCTTGAAAGAATTCAATTATTTACAATATAATTTTAACTAAATTCCACAACAATTAAATTATTAAACAATTATCAGTTAAAAATTATTAAAAACTTCAATAAAATTCTTGGAAGAATTTAATTATTTTCGCAAATAATAAAATTCTTCGGAGGAATTCAATTATTTTTCAAAATTTTAGTAAAGTTCCTTAAAAAAATTCAATTATTTTTAAAAATTTTGATAAAATTCTTTAGCAGAATTAAATTTATTCCAGTAAAATTTTAATTAAATGCTCTATGCAAGAATTTAATGATTTTCAAAAGTTTTTAGTAAATCTCTTAAAAACAATTCAATTATTATCAAAAATTGTAATAACATTTTACGCAAGAATTCAATTATTTGCGTACATAATTGAATTTTTCGCAGGAATTAAATCATTTAAATACAATTTTAATAAATTCCTCGAAAGAATTCCATTATTTTTATAAAATTTTGTAAAATTCGTTGAAAGAATTCAATTATTTTCATAAATAATAAAATTCGTTGAAAGAATTCAATAATTTTCGTAAATAATAAAATTCTTTTGAAGAATTTCATTATTTCCATTAAAATTCTAATTAAATTCCATAAAAGAATTGAATTATTTACAAAAGTTTTTAATAACATTTTTAGAAACAATTTAATTATTTAAAAAATTTTAATAACATTTTTCGCAAGAATTCAATTATTTTGAAAAATAATTGAATTTTTAGCAGGAATTCAATTATTTTCAATACAATTTAAATTAATTCCTCGAAATTATTCCACTATTTTAAAATTTTTTTGTAAATTTGGTCAAAAGAATTCAATAATTTTAAAAAGTCTTAAGAAAATTGGTCACAAAAATTTGAATTATTTTCATAAGTTATAAAATTCTTTGGAAGAATTCAATTATTTTCAATACAATTTTAATATAATTCCTTAAAAAATTTAATCATTTTCACAAATTTTGATAAAATTCTTTGGAAGAATTCAATTAATTTCAGCACAATTTTAATTAGATTTCATGTAAGAATTTATTTACTTTTAAAACTTTTTAATAAAATTCTTCGGAAAACAATTAAATTATTTTCAATAATTTTTTTAAAATACTAGTCTATGCAAGAGTTACAATATTTCAAGTTCGAAAATTATAAAAGTTGAAAAAAATTGGATGACATTTTTTTTTAACAAAAATGGCATTTTTTAAAATTAAAAAAAAAATCTATAGATGGAAAAAACTATAATTTCTAAATTTTTCTTGCGAAAATATTTCTACAAACCTTATTCTAATAATTAAACTTATTATTTTTAACTTGTAATATTCTCTAAATTAGATAATAAATCTGAATTTAAATAAATCTGATTTAGTAAAAATTTGAACTTATTAGAACAAAAGTGATACGAAAATTAATTTTTTAAATTTTACATAGCAGACATAAAAATAAATAAAATCCATTGTTTTTTTTAATAAAATATATACCATTTACCGAATTTTGCAATAATAAAAATCAGTTTTTCTACAATTGTTTGTAACTAACTATTTTTATCTTTTAGAATGTTAAATTAAATTTAACAAAATAATATAAACAAAAACAACTAACTTTATATTGCGAACAGATATCCGGAATACAAATAGATTCTATAATAATAAATTTATAAAGAATATTACAGAATATTAAATTAATATTTTATTATTATTATAATTTAGAAATTAAATGTGAATTACCTTTTGCTTATGGCCACCAACACGAAGAATGCCTTCTTCTTTAACACCTCGTTTACTTAATTCTGACAAGATTTTTTGAAAGACTAATGGAATATTACTTTCCTCACTTGTTATTTGAGTATCCCGCAAAAGCAGAGTGGACAAGGAAACTCCAAAAAGATTACCAGCTGTAATTAACATTGCCTTACATAAATATTCAGTAATTGTCTAAATATTTCAATTTTTCTTAATAAATTTAATTTTCCATCTTTAATAAATTTTATCTTTATTTATTATTATTTTCTCCTCATTTAATATTCTTTTTATTTAATATATAAATTTCTTTTTATTTCACTAAAATAAACAAACAATTTACTTAAAATAAAACATGTAACTTGAAATTATTTTTACCGAATTTCCATTCCATTGAATATAGAAAAATTTAATATTTTTATTATTTCAATTAAAAATATTTGATATTCATTTAAATGTAATTAAATTTCAATTCGAATAAAGAGAAACAGACTAAATTATAATTAAGCGAAACGTAATTAAAGTATTAGTATGAATAATATTACCTTTTGGTATGCGTTTATTTGGCTTCCGTTTGGTTAGAGGAACATTATATTTATCATAAACGGCAGTTAAATCGAGCCAAAGTAATGATTGCAATCGAGTTAATTCACGTTGCGATAATAATTCAATGCCTAGGCCCTCACAATTTTCATCCGAAACAAATGCACTCTCCTGCCAAACTTTTGATTTTGTTTCATTTGCCTTGCACATTTCTTCAAAGCTAAGATGGCCATGTGACGATGTGCGATTTAATGGTTTTGCAATAACACTCTCATCACGACTGGGCCTCGACATTCCGTATAAACTACTGTGACTACGGGTAACTGTTGCGTGTCCTGAACTCCTTCTAAATAGTGAAAAAACAAAAAAAGAAAAACAAATAAATACTTTAGAAATCAAAATGAACACGACACGAAAAACTAAGTCAATTAGCTTTTAATGACTTTTTTCTCTCTCCTGCATACTTAAGCGTTGATTCCTTTGGAACTGATAATTTTTCAACTGCCGTGGATTCCACACTGGTAACTTCTCCAAGATCACTGCCACTTCGCCTTGGTAAAATAGTTCTTGGCGAATGTATTGTTCCCAGTCTTTGATAGGCCGTCAGTTGAATTCCCTCTGCAATTTTGTTTTCATTACCATTTTAAAGTCAAATCACTTTTTTTTTATTTCTAAAATGTAAATTTTCTCCGAAACTTTTCAATTTTTTCGAAATTAAAATAAAACGAAAACGTTCGTTCGTTTTTGAAAAAATCATTTTTTGTACCTACATTTTTGATTGTTCGAAATTTTCCGTATCACAAACTACAAAACACATTATATACGATCAATTTTCGATACAATAAGGATTCAAAAAAAATTAATTGCATTAACATTTCAAATATTTCGAACACTAAAAACTGGAATTTTTCTATTTTTTTTTATTTGTGATAAAAATTAAGCTTCTTTCAACACAACGAAATTGCCACGCTACCACCTATTAAATACAAAGACTCGACGCGCTTCTATAACCAACTTGTATTTGATAAGGTTTACAGTCGGTAAGCGAAAAGTTGTTTATTATTATTGTCTACAAATGTGTTTTTGAATAATTAGAAAAGTATAGAAAAAAAACATTTCTTGCAAATAAAAAATTCCCTTTTTCAGTGCACTTTTAAAAATAATTTTTTTAAGATTCTCTTTTATTTTATTCTTTTGAATACTTTTTTATTTACAAGTATTTTTTCAAAGTTTTATTTGTTATTCATTAAAATTTTCTAGAAAATAATTTATCATTCACAATTAACATTCACATTTATCAATAATATTTATCATTTTTTTTAATGAAATAAAAAAATACCTTCAAATTCTACTTTCAGTTTTTTATTATTTATATTTCACTTTATTTCGCTTCGTTGTTGATTTGTATTTAATTTTTGCAAGTTATTGTAAACTAATGTATTTAGTAAAAGTAATTAATCTAATAAAATTTTTTATTTTTAAATATAAATTTCTAAATAATTTCATAATGAAAATTTAAAAAGTTCACTTTTTAAATACAAAATTAATTATTATTGTTTCAATTTTTAAAAATTTTAATATAATTATTCGCAATAATTCAATTATTTTTATATAAATAATAACATTCTTCGGAAGAATTCAATTATTTTTATAAGTAGTAAAATTTTTTCCAAAAAGTCAATTATTTTTAACAAAATTTCAATAAAATTTCACAAAAAAATTCAAATATTTTCTAAAATTTTAATAACTCCTTGTAAATAATTCAATTATTTTCAATAAAATTTCGCTAAAGAATTTCATTTTTTCTAAATTTGTTATAAAATTATGTTTCAAAAGAATTTAATTATTTTATAAAATCTTAATAAATCCTTCTCAAAAATACAATTATTTTTATAAATACATAGAAAAGTCTTTGCAGGAATTCAATTATTTTCAAAACAATTTTAATTAAATTCCTCAGAAGAATTCAATTTTTTAAAAAAAAATTAACACATTTCGAATAAAATCAATTATTTTCTAAAATCTTTAATAAATCCATCGAAACAATTCAATTATTTTTATAAATAGAAAAATGTTTCGAAAGAATTCAAATATTTTTATAAATATAGTAAAATTTTTTGTAGGAATTCATATATTTTCAAAACAATTTTAATTGAATTCCTCGGAAGAACTCAAATATTTTCAAATATTTACATAAAATTCAAGTTCAACAAGAATTTAAAATTCTCTAAAAATAATTTAATCATTCTCAAAATATTAGAAAAAATTTTATAAGAAAATTAAATTACTTTCAAATTTCAATGCAATTTTTTAAATATATTCTTCAAAAAAATGGAAAGAATTCAATTATTTTCAAAAACTAATAAAATTCTTTACATAAATTCAATTATTTTCAAATATTTCAATAAAATTCTTCAAAACAATTTAATTATTTACTACAATTTTAATAAATTCTTCGAAACATTCCAATTATTTTTATAAATATAATAAAATTCTTTGCAGAAATTCAATTTTTTTCAAAACAATTTTAATAAAATACTTCGAAAGAATTTAATTATATTCAAATATTTACATAAAATTCATTTATTTCCTAAAATTTTAATTAATTATTCAGAAAAATTCAATTATCTTTATAAATAGTAAAATTCTTCGCAAGAATTCAATTATTTGTATAAACAATAAAATTCTTCTCAGGAATTAAATTATTTCAATACACTTTTAATAAAATTTTTCTCCTTAAAATTCAAAATTTTCAATTAAAATTATTAAGGAAATCCATTATTTTAAAAAATTTCAAAGAAATTCTTCAAAAGTATTTAATTAAAATTTTTAAAAATTTATCGACAAAAAGAAAAAAAATACACTTAGAACAAGTAACGTAATTAATATAAGTCGAAGAAGGAAAGAGAAAAGGAAAAAAGAAATCAAGAAAATTTTCTAAATACATAAATAATTGTTGAAAAATACCTGAATCACTGGCAACGTCTCCGCGCTGAGCCCAGTGGCCAGATCTTCGGAACATTTCCTGAAATGGAACAGGAGTTGGCGCTGCAACTTGTGCCGATGACGATACATTTGTATTTCTTCGTCCAGCTTCCTTGCCATCATGAAGATTTCGATGAAATATGGACACAAAGCTAGGAACATTAACACTGAAATAAAATGCAAAATATTTTAATCAAAATAATTCCCTAGAAGACAATTAAATATTTTTTATATCCCAGTCAATTTACCTTCAAAATAATAACTTTAAAAGTAAATAAACTCGGAGTGATCGTTAATCTCAAAGTTTTATTTATATTTAAGCCTATCGAGTGATAAGGTCAAAAAATTACAAATTATTTTCCATTTGTAATAAAATAAAAACAAAATAAAAATAAAGTAAAATAAAAACAAAATAAAAATAAAATAAAAATAAAACAAAAATAAAGTGAAATAAAAATAAAATCAAAAATATTATAAATAAAAAAATAGAATAAAAATCAGGGATAAAAATAGAAAAAAAAATGAAATGAGAATAAAATAATAGGCAATATGAAAAATATGAAACTAACTTTTCATGGTGAGTATCAATAACCCCAACGTTTGGAGGAGACGGTGGAGAAATTCCTTCAGGAGTTTCTCCTGAAACAGAATCAAGAGAGTCAGGAGTAGCACTTCGAGACCTTGTACCTGTACTGGAAACCTAAAATAAATTTTTTGTTTAAAAAAAAGAGAAAAAAGTGTGTCATAATTTTCATCAAAGAAATAAAAAGAACAATTTTTACCTCGGCATCTTTGAAAACATCTCTGATGTCAGGTTTCCGAACACGATGCCTTTGATTAAAACGTTGTTTGACCGTGTGATTGAGCGATCGCACACGTCGTTTAACAGCTTCCGCTTGCGCACGGGACAATGGTCTCAAAACTGCTCCTAACTCTTCTGGTTGGATTTCTCTACCAGCTTTCCAAGGTTCGGTTAATTCCCCTAAACCCGCTGCTTTCAACCACTCAGCTTCCTCTTCGCCTTCTGCAAATTATTTTCCCCGTTAGAAAATTTCATTTAAATTTTCTTATTCAATATTAATTAAAACATTATATTCAATTTATTAAAGTATAATTAATATATTCAAGAATTTTATATCAATAATAAAAATCTTTGTAAAAAATCCAATTATTTTTATATAAATAATAAAATTTTTATCAGGATTTCACTTATTTTCAATTATTTAAAAAAACTTTTAATAAAATGCAATTAAGGAATTCAATTATTTTCATAAATAATTAAATTTTCAATGGAATTCAATTATTTTAAATACTATTTTAATTGAATTCTAGGGGAAATTAAATTAATTAAATTTTTTTTTTAAATTCTTCGAAAGAATTCAATAATATCAAATAATAGTAAATTTTTCACAGGAATTCAATTATTTCAAATACAATTTTAATAAAATTCTTCTCAAAAATCCACATATTTTTTAAAATTTTGCAAAAATTCAATTATTTGTAGAAATAATAAATTCTTTCACAGGGATTCAATTATTTAAAAAAGTTTTAATAAAATTCTTGTAAAGTATTTATAAAAAAAATTTGAAATTAATTGAATACATTTCAAGAATGTTATCAATATTTTTTTCAATAATTGAATTCTTCCGAGAAAATGTAATTAAAATTGCATTGAAAATAATGTAATTCTTGAAAAGGTTTTTTTTATTAAAATTCTTTAAAATAATTGAATTGTTTTGAAGAATTTATTTCAATTTTCTTGGAAATAATGGAGTTTTTTAAAAATAATTTTTACTGAAAATTTTGAAAATAATTGAATTTTATGAATAATTTCTCTTAATTTTTTAAAATAATCGTATTTATTATTAATTGCAGTTAACAATTTTCCTATTAAATTATATTAAAATTATTCATAGAAAATTAAATTCTTTTAAACAATTTTATTAGACTTTTTGTATAAATAATTACATTTTCTTTTGAAGAATTTAATTAAATTTCGTAAAAATAATGTAATTTTTCAAAGTAATTTTAGCTGAAAACTTTGAAAATAATTGGAATTTGCAATGAATTTTATTAAAAACTTTTGAGAACAATTGAATTCTTTAAAAAAATATTAATAAAAATTTTAGAAATAATTGAACCTGTTAGAGAAATTTGATTAAAATTATCTTGAATATAATTGAATTTTTTCCTAGAAATTTAATTAAAATTGTGTTTAAAATAATTGAATTTTTCAGAAGAATTTTATTACTTACAAGAATAATTGAATTCTTGACAAAAATTTTACAATTTATAAAAATAATTGAATTTTTTCAAAGAATTTTTTATCGGAATTGTTGAAAATATTTGAATTTTATTAAAACTCTTGAAAATAATTGTATTTTTTCGAGATATTTTATTCAAATTGTATTCAAAATAGTTTAATTACTCTAAAGAATTTTATTATTTATGAGAATAAGTATTGCTAATAATATTTATTTTACTGTTGGGCTTTTCTTAAATAAAATAAATATTGCTAGTAATAAATAAAGTATTAAAAACTAAAACTATGAAAAAATAGGAGACTAACTCTGCTGGGGATCGAAGTGAATAATTTCCGGAAAAATTCAAATAAATGAAAATAAATAATTACTAGTGATTGATTAACATGTTTTAGTTCAAAATAAAAATTGAAGAAAACTTACCATCGTAACTACGAGGACTGCATTCTTCTTCAAGATAGTCGTCTAAAATTTTTGTTTCCTCCATCACTTTTTTGTAAACTTCCCAACATTCTTGCGGATTTGTACTTCCATCAAAACTAGCTCCATTGCCTTTGTCCATGTTTCTTTATGTAATTAAATTCCAAAAGTAATCTTAATATTGCACATTCATATTGTACGTCTCGTATTATTTTATTTCGATTCCTTCCTGATTTGTGATTCTTCTGAATCTGTAAAAAAATAAAAAATTGTTATTTATTTTATTCCGTAAAGTATTATTTTAAGATTAACTGTTTACTTATTATCGATTACTTATCTACTGTCACGATAAAATCGAATTTTCGCAATATCAATACATTTTTCTAGTAACAATAAAAAGAAACGTTATTTTTCAATTTGAGTTATTATAAGTAATCCTGTGTGAAAATTTAAAAATAAAATTTAGGTCAAACTAGAAACACCTGTTAATTTCCTATTGTTGAAAATTATTTTTAATTATTATTCCACCCAAAAAAATTGAAGAATCAATTTTTTTTGTAGAAAAAATTCAAATTTACTGTTACTAATTATAAAATTCATCAATTTATTTACGAGGTTTCTATTTATTTTCAATATTTTGAGTCAAATCTAGAAGGACCAGACAAATCAAAATAAAACCCACTTTTCTAAAAATTACATCTGTAAATTTTCAAAAGTTTTTCTTTTCTCCGATCTCAACAATGCGTAGAAAAGAAAAAATTGCACAGAGAGAATGGGTCATAAAATTCCTCAATGTCCAGAAACGAAACACGTCACGAATTATTACGAAACATAACCTCGCCATTTGCAGGACGCAAAGAAATAAAATATACAAATGAGATTCAAAGATTTGTTTTCATGAATGGAGCCTCATTATTTACAAAGATAATCCCTTCCTCAACTCCCATACGACATCAATGAAATGAGCATTGTTGATAAAAATGTAAAGAACGAAAAGAAAAATAAATAAAAAGAAACACATATACACAAATACATAGTAGAATTTTTGAAAATAAAAACAAACGAATTTTTGTTTCTCAAGACAAACCAAAAACAGCAGATAAATGTCGAATGAAGAGATTGTACAAAAAAACATATTCAACAGCATCCACTGCGAATGTTTGTAATAATATTTTCTCTAATTTATTCATAGAACAGCGCCCATACCCATACCACGAGGAACAAGATGATCGCTGATCAATTGCGAGCCCATGAACACCAAACATGTCCTGGATTTTTAATCTATAAGGCACTTGTTGACAAACTTAATTTATCTCACATCTACTTCTTCACTCTTTCTCTCTGTTTGTTTCGACACTTTTTTTTCCCCTCTATTTTCTCTCTTCAAAATATTCTCGCGTCAAAATATTCAACAAGCTTTTTTTTCTTCCAGCCAACATACACAAACACGATAAACGACAAATCCCACTTTTTTTAATAATTAATGTTGTAGCACCTGAGCGGAGAGCCCCATATAATTAATTCAAGAATTGGACGCCATCTTCTGTCGTAATTTGTGCTAAAATCTCAATAAACAATATCGGTAAAGTAGAAATCGATTTTCGATCCACTGCGCAGTTCGCGCAAACAAAACTATCCAATCAGAATTCAGCGCGCATTTTTTAAATACATAACGAATAAATATTTTAATACTATTAAACTTATTAAATAAATAATATTTAATAATATTTCATATTTAATAATAAATTATCTAAGTAACTATTCACTATTAATCCAATTATTTATTCTTCTTTCGCAATTTTGTTACGCTTCGCAAAAATGTACGTCAATTAAATAAATTAAATTCAGTAAATATTAAAAACACAAATATTTTAAATAATAATTAGTTTCAGAAAACAATTTAGTGGTAAATTGTTTGTGTTAAATGTAAGTAATTAATAATAAATATAAATAGTAATAAATATAAATAATATTGTAGTAATAATAATAACAAAAATAATAAATAGTAAAAATGAATAATACAAAATAACACAAAAATAAAAAAAACATAAATAAACAATAAGAAAGAAAATTCTATTAATTATTAAATATAAATTTAAATTTATAAAACAAATAAAAGAACAAAAAACATACCAAAATAATAAAAATAAGAATGCGAATAAAATAAAATAAAAATTAATAAAAATTAATTTATAAATTAATTAATTTTTATTAATTTATCGACGATTTATTTAAATAATTGAGTTCATTTGCTTTGTTAGATATGCGACATATATTTCTCGAATTAAAATTTTTCGATAAAAAAAAAGAAATAAAAATAAAAATACCACGTGAAACAAGCGACAAAATATAAAAACGAGAAAATCGAGTATTTAAACAGCCTAATTTACATATTCGCGTGAAATGGAAATTGTTCACTACATCTTTTGTAGCGTACTGTACAGAATAACGGCACCTTTCTCCTTCTTTTTATTCAGGGACTTTATAGTTTTCGAAGGTGATTCAGTTGAGATGCAGACGCTGTATAGTTACATATAGTTTTACACACATACACACGAACATCATGCGTAAGTTCGATAAAAAAAGAACCTAATTAATAATATTTATTATTTAAAAAATCCAAATAATTAATAACCGTAAATTTAAAAATTCTAATTAATTTTTCCTTTCCAAAAAGCACAATCTTTATCCTTAAAATTGTTAAATGTGAAAGGTTTTTCATGGAGATATTTCTCATTGTGTATAGAAATCTATGCATTATTTCACTTCTAATATAACTATATACATGAGAAACATAAATATAGTTCTATGGAATGTTAAATAATTCCATAAGGTTGACATTCTTTACAAATAATAATCTGTGTCTATTGAAATTGACCTTAATGTTTTATACATTCAATTGTTAAGGATAGAGAAAAATGCCTTTTTCGGTAAGCGAAAGATTTTTTTTATGAATCCTCCCACACCATTTTTTTAACCGCAATCACAATCATTACATCATCTGAGAATAAAAATCTATGAATTAATGTATCTCGATTTTTATAATGTTAATAAAATAAATTAATGCTAAAAAAATTAATAGCAATGAAATTGATAATTTCAAACCAAAAATTAAAAAGAAACACTAAAAATAAAAATTGAAAACGAAAATTAAAAACAAAAATTAAAAACAAATATTAAAAACAAATATTAAAAACAAGAACTAAAAAAAATTATAAACGAAAATTGAAAACAAAAATTTAAAAAAAAATTAAAAACGAAAATTGTAAACGAGGATTAAAAACAAAAATTACTAAAATTAGAAACAAAAATTAAATACAAAATGAAAAACAAGAATTGAAAAGAAAATTTAAAAACATGAATTAAAAACGAAAATTGAAAACAAAAGTTAGAAACAAAAATTAAAAAGAAGAATTAAAAACGAAAATTGTAAACGAAAATTAAAAACAAAAATTACTAAAATTAGAAACAAAAATTAAAAAGAAGAATTAAAAACGAAAATGAAAAACAAACATTAAAAAATAAATAAAAAACGAAAATTAAAAACGAAAATTGTAAACGAAAATTAAAAACAAAAATTAAAAAGAAGAATTAAAAACGAAAATGAAAAACAAACATTAAAAAATAAATAAAAAACGAAAATTAAAAACGAAAATTGTAAACGAAAATTAAAAACAAAAATTAAAAAGAAGAATTAAAAACGAAAATGAAAAACAAGAATTGAAAAGGAAAATTAAAAACCAAAATTAAAAACAAAAATTAGAAACAAAAATTAAAAACAAAAATTAAAAACGAAAATTAAAAACAGAAATTAGTAACAAAAATTAAAAAGATGAATTGAAAACGAAAATTGAAAACAAGAATTAAAAATAAAAATTAAAAACAAAAATTGAAAACGAAAATTAAAAACAAAAATTAAAGATGAAATTGAAAATACAAGAATTAAAAACAAAAATTAAAAACAAAAATTAAAAACCAAAATAGAAAAAATAAATAAAATCAAATAATAGGAACTTATTTGTTAAAAATTAAAATTAATAAAGAAAATTGTTTAATAATTTTCTTCTATTCCAGATATTGTTTACGGAATTAGTCTGAGCATAGCTCTTTTTGTAAGTATTAAGAACAATTAATATACCTATTATTTAAAACATGAAATTTGAAAAACTATTTTCTTTTCCACTTTTTAAAAACTGAATTTTTCCGAAATAAAATTTCTAACGTTTCGAATGCAAAAAATAACATTTTTTTACTCAAATTATTAACACTTTGAAGTTAAAAACTAATTAAACTTCTCGGATTTTAATTAATAATAATCATTTACAAGTTAAAACAAAATTAAAAACAATATTTTTTAATTTAAAAAAGAAGAAAAAAATTGGAAACATGCAATAAATTAATTGTTACTTGATCAACTCACAGATCCTTTTGGCGAACGTCGCAGCGAGTGACATCATGCTCAGAAAAAGTATAGTTTATGACAAAAAGACGCCTGATGTGTTTTATTGTCCTCAGCACAAGCCAACGGGTAAAGATAAGATGATAGTAAAAGCCAGGCCACTATCGAAACTTTGTGAATTTGGAGATAAACCAATTCCCGAAGATTATAAAAGTGATTGTTACAATAACGTTGATGAGACTGATTTTGCCTGTAAAGAAAAATACAGAATTATGGTAATTGTTCTTTTCATTATTTTCCTTTTTAAGAAAATTACATTAATCTTCAAAAAAAAAAGAAGAGAAAGGTTAATTAAAAATAAATTTCCCCTGCTAATTTTAATACATGCGCTACTCCACAATCCAGACACAAAGGCACGCATAAAACAATACATAATTAACTGGCAATTAAACGAAAATAATATTTTTAATTATTATTAATTATTATAATCAATTTTTTTATAATTTAATTTTATAATTATTTCTTATATATGTATTTTTATAATTATTTCTTATATGTATTTTTACAATTATTTTTTTTATACGTAACTAAAAAAAATATAATTTCTATCAATTAATAATAATTAAGAATAATTTCTAGCTACAATCACGAATAATCCCGTAACAATTGCAACTCCTCCTAAATTATAACGATAGGTGTTGGTTTTTTTCTTTCAGAAGCGTTTGAAGAATGGCAAAAAGCAATGAAGAAAACTGGGAGACAAGACTTTAACATATATAGAAAATAACAAGAATGTAACACAAGCAAGCAAACGCATTTAAGTTACTAATTTTTTTTTTTATCAAATCATTTACATTATATAATAATGTATTATTCAGTATTCTATACATTATGATAATTATATAATTATAAATTGAATAATTATAAGATAAATAATTATTATTTATTATTATTATTCGCTTTGATAATTACACACTATCATCCCTATTGTTCTGATTTATATAACTCTCATATCACTTTTTACCAGCTTCAGATTTATTATTTTCGTCACAAAAATAAATTTTTAACTGCACATTTAATTATATAATTATTATAACAGCTTCGGATACACTATTATCAGGTCACTGGCATTATTTTCCAAATGCGAACAACAAAAACGAAAAAAAAAAAGAAAACGAGAGAATTCTCAATACACAGGGAAAACATTCAATCAATTTTTTATTAAAATTTAATTAATAATTAACAATTTGATTTATATTATTTCCCCAGGAAATAAATTCACAAAAAATCTCAAATTAATTTCTGTCAACAATGTCAAAAAATTACAAATTTTAGATTATTAGAAATTTAAATTCTAAATAGAAAATTGCAAAATTTTTTTTACTATTATTTTCATGTCATAAATAAATAATAAAATTGATTCTTAAAAAATAGAAAAAATTGTAAACATAGTATAATATTTGTTTGATTGAATGAATTCTTATATAGTTTATGCAAAAAACACTCACCAATTTATAAATAGTTCGCCTTTGGGATAATTGTAAAATCATTTTAACACATTTTTGCTGATTGCTGAGGGCTGAGAGATCGATCAGGATTGGATTTTTGTTCCTTCCAGGTAAGAATACCATTTTTATGGTGATCGGATCAAGAAATTTGTTAACTCTGAAACAAAATATAAAAAAGAATGTTAAAACTAATTTCAAATTAAATAAAAAACATATATAAAGTTTTTAATTTGTTTATGTTAATTTATAAGTATTAATATAAAATATAATTAAATAAATATTCCAATTCAACTGACATTATTTTATTAACCTAGGACAATTAATTTTATTAAATATTATGTTATTTAGTTTTCCAAACTAAAAAAATGTCAGTTTTTTAAATATTATTTTTTTTCACTATTTTATTAATTTATTTATTATTATTAATTAAAAATTAAAAATTAAAAATTAAAAATTCATTAAAAATTTATTAAAAAGCATTAAAAAAATTGTTTAGCTTAAAATTTTTTAATTATTACACAGAATTTTGTAAATTACAATCATTGTAAATATTTTATTACAGTCAAGTTTAGTAAAAAATTCTTTTCGTTCAAAGCTGAGAGGCATAAACTATGCATAATAAATATAAAAATTCGTAAATAAAAAATAAAAATTAATCGCTCAGTTAACAAATTTAAATTTTATTTACAGATGAGACTCCATCCCCCCGGAAGTGATACTCCCTACAATGAAAAGCGTTTAAAAAAATTTAATGCACCCGCAAAAGAAGAAAAAGAGCAAAAGAAAAATACATAACTCTCTATAAATGTTATAATTCAAATAAGAATTTCCTCAGAGTTACCAGAAAATAAATTAAAAAACCGAATTATGTAAATTTAAAAACAATTATTATATTAATATAGTTATATGATTTAAAAGTTCTAATATTAAAAATAATAATTGTTAAAATATTGAAATTGTTAAAAAAACCCAATAATAATTATTTATTGTAAAAATAAGCTGAATATAGTAAATAAAAAGAAAATTAATGAATTTACAATTCAGAAATAAGATGAGCCCTTCAATTTAAGTGTAAATTTAGATTCTTAACGCTTGCGCGTTTCAAGAGCACGAAGAGAAAATATTATTAGTGTCTGCGTGTGACGTTCACCAAAATGATCTTTGAAAATTTAGTAAAAAAATCAATTTATTTAGAGGAAAAATAAAAATAAATAGAAAATAAATTTTTGATATATTTTTTTTTTTTGTAAAGTAGAATAGTTTTCAAACTTACTGTATTAAAAATGGAGGGTCTGGATGTTTGGGGCCAAATAGCCGTTGAAACATCTCAAATGTATGTTTCGGAAGGCGGAGTCATAAAAAGTCGTTTTGCAAGTACAGTAAGTTTTTACATTCTTTTCATTCATCTTTAAATATTGTCTTTCCAATTTATTTCCATTCTGTAAAAAAAAAAAAAAATTCCCTAAGGTGAGTACGAAAATTTACAGTTGTTTTGAAATTAACTTTTTGATACTTCAACTAAAATATTACAAATAAACAATTTGACTGTTTATTAATTATTTAGAATTTCAATTTTTTGTTTCTTTGATTAATTTACTTTTTAGTTAGTGAATAATTATTGAATTAAATTTATTAATAGTGGTCAGTAAAAGGAAAACCTTGAGATCCAATTTTGTAAATTAAAATCTTTTTGAGAAAGGTAGTACATTTTTTTACTTTTGCAAAAAAAGAAAAATATCCAGCAATAAACGATTCTAAATTTAAAACGATAAAATTTTCAATGAATAACAATTTTGCAACTTACAGGATTACCGATTAATGGCACCTTTTGAAGAAGAAATTGTCACAGGATTTCAGGTTGGAGTGTCTATTCATTTTCTGGTATATTTTCTTCTTCTAATTTCTCGTTCTGTTTCGAAAATTTGTTTAATAATAATCTAACTTTAAAAAAATGACTTCAGCTTCGTTGATCTTTTCCATTTACTCCACTTTCTGTTTCTTTTGTTCACTCTTTCAGAATTTTCCTCTCGTCACTAATAAATTGTTGACAGTTCTCTTCTCATGAAGATAAAAAAATCTTTTCTTTCTCAATTTGATGCTTTCTTCAATTTTCATCTTCTGCTTCATAACTTCTATTTATTTATTCTTCTTCTTCTTTAAGTGGCTAAAGATATATATTTCTTCGACTTCTTTTAAAGAAATATTTTTCATATTTTGCTTTATTACAATTGATGGTTTAAGCTTATTTTTGAATTTACAATTCTTCTCTATTCGATTCTTTCTTCAATTTGTATTTTCTGCTTTATAACTTTCTTTTTTATATTCTCTTTCTTCTTTTTTTTCCTCTTCTTCTCCTTCAAATGGCTTTAGATACATTTCTTCGATTTCTTTCAAAGAAAAATTTATCTTATTTTGCTTTATTACAATTGATGGTTCAAGCTTCTTTTTGAATTTTCAGCCGACGTCTAAAAAAGAAATATTTCAAAAATAAGAAACAAAATAATGCAATAAGGATAATTTCGAAACAAAATTCACATTTTCTAAATATTTCGATTAATCAAAAAAGATCCTGATTGTCACTTTACGACAAATAAGACAAATACGATAAAAGACAGTATCGTATAAATAAAATAAAAACTAAATGAATTTCTTTTTTAAAAATAATAATCGAAGTTAAAAAAATAAATTGCAGTCTGTAAATTTTTCTTTTTGCAATGTAAAAATTTTAGAAAATACTATCTTTTTCCGAAAGAATAGAATTTAATCAATAAATCAAACCAGGTGCATTATTAATGAAAATAAATATCGAATTTTTCCTTTTCCTAAAACAAAAAATTTTTAAAATCGACTGAAATAAAAATTTCTTTTTGTTCCAATTTCTATTTTTTTATAGACTATCGAAAAATTACCGGATAAAGTTATTTTAAACGTCTTCAGTTATTTAAGTCATCGTGAAATATGTAGAATGGCTCGTGTTTGTAAAAGGTGGCGACAAATTGCTTACGATTCACGTTTATGGAAACATGTTTCTTTAAGACCGGAAATCAGTGGCTTACACGTTGGTTCATTGGAAAATCTTTTACAATTAATCAGGTAAAATTGTCCAAAAAATAATTAATAAATAAAATAGTAAAAAATTAAATAATTAATAAATAAAATAATAATAGCAGCTTTTCTACTTCCCTTCAAAATTAATTTTTTGTTCCTAATTCCGCTGCAATTAATCAGGTAAAATTTTCCAGAAAATAATTAATAAATAAAATAATAATAGCAGATTTTCTACTTTCCTTGCAAAATAAAAGAAGAAAATGAATAATAATAATAATAATAATAATAATAATAATAATACTTTTTCTTTTCTATAGTGGTAGATTTAGCTCATCACTGCGATACATTGAACTTCCCATTGAACTCATTACTCACACCGTATTACACGAATTAGCGAATAAATGTCCAAATTTAACGCACATGCTACTTGATTTTTCAACGGCTATGCAATTGCATGACTTTTCAGAAATGCAGGCATTCCCCACAAAACTCAAGTACATGTGCATTTGTTTGTCTGAAGTTATTTTCATGGAAGGTTTTATGAGAAAAATTTACAATTTTATCAATGGTCTCGAAATACTTCACTTAATTGGTAAATATATAAAAAAAAGAAATAAAAAACTTAAAATATTAATAATAAAGTAAAAAAAATAATGTCTATTTCTGAAAATAATTATAATAATTTCCATTTTGTTAGGTACTTACGAAAAGGTTGAAGAAGAGGAAGAGGAAATTTACGAAGTCATCAACGTGCATAAATTAAAATCCGCAACTCCAAATTTAAGAGTAATTAATCTTTATGGAATTAATTTTGTCGATGATTCTCATATCGATGCATTTTCGTCGAATTGCATTCAACTAGAATGTTTGGCAGTAAATTTTTGCTCGAAAGTCACTGGATCAACGATGAAAACCCTATTTCAAAGAAGCAGACGATTAAAATGTTTATTAATGCAAGGAACAAGTAAATTCATTTTTATATTATTGATTTTAATGTTTATAATTGATTAACTTTTTAGCTAATCAATTGTATTAAATTATTAAAATAGTATTATATTTAACTTGATACTATATTTTTATTATTATTTAATATTATAATACGTGGTATTCCATTTATTACTATTATGGAAATTACAAGATCTTTTTTATTTTCAAGTATAAATTTTTGAATAATTTTATAATCAAAATTTAAAAAATTTAGATACTTGTACATAATTAATTATTATTATTTACATTTTCAAAAATTTTAATATAATTCTTCGCAAGATTTCAATTATTTTCATAAATAATAACATTCTTAGAAAGAATTCAATTATTTTTATAAAAAGTATAATTTTTTGCAAAAATTCAATTATTTTCAAGAAAATTTTAATAAAATTTCACGAAAGAATTCAATTTTTTTCTTAATTCGTTAAAATATTTTTTGAAAAAATTTAATTATTTTCTAAAATTTTAATAAATTCTTCAAAACAATTTTTTTTTTTAATTTGTAATTAAATTTATCGACAAAATCCAATTATTTTCTAAAATTTTAATAAATCCTTCGAAACAATGTAATTATTTTTATAAGTAGTAATAGTAAAATTCATCGCAAGAATTAAATTATTTTTTATAAAATTCAAAACAATTCAAATGTTTTTTAAAATAGTTAAATCTTTACTAAATTTTCATTATTATCAATAAAATTTCACGAAAGAATTCAATTTTTTCCTTAATTCGTTATAAAATTTTCCAAAAGAATTCAATTATTTTCTAAAATTTGAATAAAATTCTTCCTTAATATTCAATTATTTTCAATACGATCTTAACTAAATTCCTACAAAGAATTTCAATTTTCATCGTAACAATTATATTATTTTTCAAAAATTTTTAATAAAAATCTTTTCCAGATTTTAATTATTTTCATAAATAATAAAATTTTTCAAAGGATTTCAATTATGTTCAAAAATTTTAATAAAATTCTTCATTAAAATTCAATTATCTTAAAAAAAAAATAAAATTCTTTGGAAGATTTCAATTATTTTCATTAATAATAAAATTCTTCGGAGGATTTCAATTATTTTCAAAAATTTGAATCAAATTCTTGTCAAGAATTAAATTTTTTTTCATAAACAATTGACATCTTCGGAGGATTTCAATTATTTTCAAAAATTTGATACAAATTCTTGTCAAGAATTCAATTTTTTCATAAATAATTGAATTCTTTACAAAATTTCAATTATTTTCGAAAATTTTAAATAAATTCTTGTCAAAAAATCCTTTCGAAGTTAAATTCACCGCAAAAATTATTTTGAAAATTATTCTAAAAAGTTGAAAAAATTCTTTGTTTTATTCAATTATTTTCAAAATTTTCAATTAAAATTATTCCAAAAACTACATTATTTAAAAAAACACAAAGAAATTCTTCAAAAGAATTTAATTATTTACAAAAACTCTAATAAAAACCTTTAATAGTATCTATTCTTTGAAAGAATTTAATTATTTTCTTTATTTAAATAAAATTTTTTGAATGAATTAAATTATTTTAGAAAATTGTAATAAAATTCTGGGAAGAATTTAATTATTTTCTAAAAATTGTAATAAAATTAAATAATTAAATGTTACATTTTCAATTTATAACAAACACGATTATTTTAAAAACTTGAAAGAAATTGTTCATAAAATTAGATTACTTTTATAATTTGGAATTAAAATTATTAAAGAATCTCCATTATTTAAAAAAAAATTCAAAGAAATTCTTTAAAAGAATTTAATTAGGATTTTTAAGGTAGTACGCTCGCGACAGTCACTCTCAAAAGTAAATTTTAATAAAATGCTATAGTATGGTGCAGTTACTGTAGCATATTTTTGCTTGGACTGTACTGAATACATAGTCAGCCCTATGTACAGACACACTCACACACAAGTATACTAGTCAGGTTAGAATATTATATTATATTATATCTTTTAACTGAAACGGTTAATATTGTTAAATCTTTTTGTTATAAATTTCTCAAACATTCATTTATAATATATTAGTTTTTTAAAACAATCTATAGAAAATTTTAGAAGTTATTAGAAGAAATGTGCCGTTTACATGCACTTTTCATAGGTTAACCATGTTAAATAACAAACTTTGAACTTAAATATCTTGTTTTAGAAACGGTCAATTTTTTTAATATTTTGCAAATACATAGATCTTGTTATTAACTATTCTGATTTCAAATTTCATGAAATTCTATAGAAAAGTGCGATCACGAGCGTACTACCTTAAAAATTTTAATAAAATTTTCCTCGAGAATGTGATTATTTTCATAAATAATAAAATTCTGCGGAAGAATTCAATTATTCTCAAATTTTTTGACAAAATTCTTTGCAAGAATTCAATGATTTTTAATACATTCATTTTAAAATTGAAAATATTTGAAAAGAAAAATTATTAAAAAAGTTAGGAAACAAGAAAGCAAACAACAATTAACTTTAAAGTGCGAACAGATTACCGAAATACAGTGATTATTAATATAAAATTATTTTATTATTTAATATTATTAATATTATTAATACTATATTATATTCTATATTATTAATATTATTAATATTGTTTTATTATATTATATTAACAATACTAAAAATATTCTTCTCTTTTCGTCTTAACGATTCTTTTCAATTTAAAAAAAAAATAAAACAAGAAATACTTCACGTGAGAATAAAAATTGACTTACAGATCTTCGCAGCGAGCACGTAATGCAAGTGGAATGGGAAAAAACTACCATTCAAGAGCTAGATGTAACGGCAACTGATTTATCAACCGAATGTCTCATTGATATGTTAACAAGAATTCCAGGTTTGCGTTTTTTAAGTGCAGGACAACTGAATGGCTTCAATGATTCAGTTTTAAAATCCTGGGCCGAAGTTGGTAATCCAAGGAATTTAATAGCTCTCGATTTGGATAGTTCCGATAATTTAAGTGATGACGCCTTACACAAATTTTTATCACGCTACGGCCATCAACTCTGGGGAATTGCCTTGTCCGGTATGCCACATATTACCGATCAACTTTGGCAAAGTGTATTGCCCATCTTGACCAATGCGAAGTACGTATGCAAACAAAAATTAAATTAATATAACAAGAAATTAAAAAATTAATCACAAAAAAATAAATTTTTCTTACCTTTTTTTTAATAGAATCGTTGTAATGGGCACTAACGAAAGGCTAGGAGTTAATATTCACGTTGATCAACTAATGGACGGAATTGCAAACAATTGTCCAAATCTGGAGCGACTGGAATTGAGATGGGATCCTGAAAATCTGAGATTTTCGGACAAAAGTCAAAAAGCAATTGACATTCTCCGGGTGAAATGTATTAAACTCAAATGCTTAGTCCTAAGGTAAGAATTTGAAATTAAAATACAAAATTAATACCCATTAGATACTTAATAATTAGTAAAAAAAAAAACAAATAGAAAAGTAAACAAAAAATAATAAACATAAAATATATGTTACAGCGATGGAAGATATTATGAAATCGTTAAGGCAAATTTCGAACGTGCCGATAGATTAACAGTCGTTCGTACAACAACTTGCTGTAGAGTTTCAAATTATTACTTAATACAGGACTACAAAGACTTGATTTTTAACTAAAAAAAATTGATATTTTCGAATATCTCGAAAAGATTTTTTTATATATAATTATTATAATTACACGACGAAGAAATTTTCTTCAACCTAGGTAATTATTTTTAATAAATTTAATTATAAAAAAATGGATTTAATTTAAATTATAATAACAATAGAAAAAGTTAATGCAAAAAATTGTACAAACTTGATTATAATAATAAATAAACTAAAGAACAAATATAAATTTCTAATTTTTAGTTATTTTTTCAAATTATTTAAATAAAAAATCTTTTTTAAGAGAAATTTGAAATTATTATTTCAAAATTGATTTTTTTTAACAAACTATAGTTTAATAACTACCTATTTTACTAAATAACTGTTTTAACAAGCAAATTCTATTAAAATTTATTTAAATCTAAACGCTTTTTTTTAAATAATAAAAACACTTATCTTTCGTTTTTTTTATATCACAATCACTTTTCAATGTCCATTTGTGTGTCTTCTGGTTCGGCTGGTATTGTTATACCACCAGTGTCAATATTCTCCTCCTCTTCCCTTGGTATTTTCAAAAAACAATGCATTGTTTCCTCGTCCTCTTGTTCTATCGGTGGCACGGTTTTTAAAGATGTCTCTTTCGATGGCAATGTCCCTTCAAGATGCTTCGATGGTATTTGTATCGTTATTGTTTGTGAAGTACCATCGGCAGATGTTGACGATGACATTAAATTTGCTTCTATTGTTCTGCCAACTTTTGAAAAAGCACCCAAACAACTGTATATTAATTGAGCTGCCGCAATATTGCCAGGGAAAACTTCAACGTTCTCGCCGTCTGCAACTAATTCGGGTACATTTTTTAGTAATTAAATAAATTAAATATTTCAATAATTAAATAAAACATATTTTTAAGTTTCTGATATCAGGGTTCCTAAAGAAATCCGAACCTAAAATTCCATACCTTTTCCATTATTTCCAGGTCAAATTTTTAGGAAATTCCAGCGGAATTTTAAATTTAATTTCCACGTCGTATAATATATATTATATCTTAAAATTTCTAATTGAATTTCATTTGAAGAGAAAAAATAAAAAACAGGAAAAATTTAAAAACTTTTAAAAATTCCAGGCCTTTTCCATGATTTCCAGAAGCCTTTTAAAAATCCCATACCATTTCCATGATTAGCATGATTTCCAGATTCTATAGGAACTCTAAACATTTTTTCTTATCTTTTATAGCATTTAGCTTAATTATTTTTGAGCTCTTGAAAAATACTTTACATGTTTAATAGTCTCGACTCTTTAGTAAAAAATCTAAAATTATCGAAAATTATTAAAATTTCAAAAAACCGAATTTCTTAAAATTCAACATTTTTTCTTATCTTTTATGGCATTTAGCTTAATTATTTGTGTGCTCTTCAAAAATACTTTACTTGTTTAATAGTCTCAACCCTTTGGTAAAAAATCTAAAATTATCGAAAATTATCAAAAATTCAAAAAACCGAATTTCTTAAAATTCAACATTTTTTTCTCTTTATTATGGCATTTAGCTTTATTATTTTTGTGCTCTTGAAAAATACTTTACTTATTTAATAGTCTCGACTCTTTGGTAAAAAATCTAAAATTATCGAAAATTATCAAAATTTCAAAAAACCGAATTTCTTAAAATTCAACATTTTTTCTTATCTTTTATGGCATTTAGCTTCATTATTTTTGTGCTTTTGGAAAATACTTTACTTATTTAATAGTCTCGACTCTTTGGTAAAAAATCTAAAATTATCGAAAATTATCAAAAATTCAAAAAACCGAATTTCTTAAATCCAACATTTTTTCTTATCTTTTATGGCATTTAGCTTAATTAATTTTGGGCTCTTGAAAAATGCTTTACTTATTTAATAGTCTCGTCTCTGTAGTAAAAAATCTAAAATTATCAAAAATTATTAAAAATTAAAAAAAAAATTATTAAATCCTTCGAAAAAATTTAATTATATTTATAAATAGTAAAATTCTTTGCAAAAATTAAAATATTTTTAAAAAAATTTCACTAAAGAATTCAATTTTTTTCTTAATTCGTTTTAAAATTTTTCAAAAGAATAATTGAATTATTTTCTAAAGTTTAAATAAAATTCAATAATTAATTAGAATTTTCAAAAATTTTTACAAAATTCTTCGCGAGAATTCAATTATTTTTAATAATTTTCAGAAAATTATTCGAGAATTTCCTTATTTAAATACAAAACTTAATTTTTCTTCTATAAGAAATGCATAATGAAAGTTTGATTTTTGTAAAAAAATTTTTAGGAGATAAAGAAAATCGACGGACAGTTTAAGGTTTTCAGTATTTTCAAAAAACACCAGAAATCTGAATTTTTGTACCATTTCTATAAATTTGATATTTTTTCACTACTTTGCAATAAAATTCCTAAACTTTTCTTATTTTCCCGACCTGTGACATCTGAGTTCTTGTCAAAATTTATAAAAATATAAAAACAAGTAGAAATAATTTGCGTTTTATACCAAAAAAGCGGTATTTTGTTGCAATAAGTGAAAGCAATGTCAAAACAGTCCCATTTAATCAAAATAAGTCGAATAAACCTTTTTTTAAAAATAGTTTTCAGAAGTCAAGGTCTGAAATTTTTTTAAAAAGGAAAAAATTATCAGAACCGAAAAAAAATTAATTAAAGGAAAAAATAAAGTAAATAAAGTATTATATTACCCTTATTTTGGTTGGAAACTTTAATGAAACCTTTCTCATGGTCCTTGATGTGTTGTACATAACTTTCTTTCTTGACTGTTTCAAATGAACACAATTCACAAGTGAATACTCCCGAGAGTAATGGATGCTTCGATCGCAAATGATTTTTGTAACTATTACTCTGTATCGCCGAATATGGACAGTGCGGGCACTTATAAGGTTTAACTCCTGAAATAAAAAATATTTTTTCATCTTACGAAACGACTGCATGGAATTAAAATAAATAAATTAACAAATTAAAATAAATAAATTACTTAATTAAAATAAATAAATTACTAAAATAAAATGAATAAGTTAATAAATTAAAATAAACAAATTTATAAATTAAAATAAATAGATTAATACATTTAAATAAATTAATAAATTAAAATGAATAAATTCATAAATTAAAATAAATAAATTCAATAAATAAGAAAAAATTTATACCTGTGTGCCTCATGGCATGTCGACGAAGAGAATTATGATCCCCTGTTTTATAATCACATAATTCGCAATTAAACGGTTTGTCACCAGTGTGCTGCCGTAAGTGCATTTGCAGCATAGATTTTCTCGCACTCGAATGTCCACAGACAGTGCAAACGTAAGGACGTAATTTTGAATGAACGGCTTGTATATGATTCTTCAAACATTTTGAATCTGCGTACGTCTTTCCGCACAATTCGCATATTTTCGATGTGTACCAACGTGGAATCTCCGCTGATTTACGATCCAAATGAATGACTCTATGATTTCTCAATTGGCTCGATTGCTTGAAACATTTACCACAGTCGGGACATTCGTAATCTTTATTTACATTATGGACTTTCATGTGCGTTATCATTTTCACCATTGCCGTACTTTTATAAACATTGCAAATTTTACAGGACAGAAGATCGATATCTATGAACAAAACAGAATTCTTAATTTAAAAAAAGAAATCTCAATTAAAAAGAAAGAAATTCTAAATTAAAAAAAAAAAAAGAATTCTTAATTAAAAAAAAGTATTCTAAATTTAAAAAAAGAATTCTCAATTCAACAAAAAAGAAACTCTCAACTTTGATTCAATTGAATAATTAGAGTTTAATTATAAAATATCAAGAAAATTGGCAATCCTCCAAATGTATTTTGACTTCGAGGATTGGTAATTTTCTTGATATTTTGACGAGTGATAAATTCTACTGCTATTTAGAATTTAATTCGAGTAACTAGAATATAATTCAATTGAAAAATTAGAGAAATGAAAATAAAGAAAAAGAAGTGCAAATTTATCGAATAGAGAAATATTTCCTCACCTTTTTGATGTGATTTCCATAAGTGTAAACTGCATTGTTTCCATTTGGAGAATTTTATTTGTCGACAAAAATTGCATTTGAAACGATTTACATTTTGGATGTCATCGTGACAAACTACATGCTGTTGCATTTTTTCACTGTCACTAAATTTATACGGACAACCTCTATACGTACACCTGCAAATAAAGTTTACATCAGTAAAATAGTAAAACAGGGATGCTACAAACATTTAATTTTGATTTTCCCTTGACTTTTGCCTAATTTACAGACAAAATTTCTACTTTTTCCCTGACCCTAAAGAATCTTCTGATTCACTCTAAAAATTATTAGATACTTTATAAGAATACTGTTATTGTAACTTCTTCAAAATTATTTTTATCATTTCAATTCAATGATTATTTTCTACAATTTTTAAATAAAATTCCTCATTTAAATCAAATAGTAAAACATAATAAAAATGTTTCATTACATTATTTACGAATTCATTTAATTAATTTAATCAATTTCTTCTTCTAAAGATGATCGAGTGATAAAATCATTATTTTATATTATAAAAATACTGTTACTGTAATTTCTTCAAAATTATTTTTATCATTTCAATTCAATCATTATTTTCTACAATTTTTAAATAAAATTCTTCTTTAAATCAATTATTTTTAATAATTTTTGATAAAGTTCTTTTGCGAATTTTTAAATTCATTTTTCTACAATTCAACTTTACACGAAATTTCGTTTATTCGAAAATTCTTTAATTAATTGTATATTAGAAAATAAAAGCAAGAAATAATTTTTTAAAAAAATTCAGTTAAACTTTTTGAAAAAAATTAATTTCATAACATTTTTTTAATTTAAAGTATGGAAAATTCAGATTTTCAAAGATTTTAATTTAAAATCTTTACAAAATTCAATTATTTCTAAAAATTTCAATTATTAGTAACTTTTATAAAATTCAATTATCAAAAACTTTAAATGAAATTTATTTTTTTATCAATTCAATTATTTAGATACAAAAACATAGATAATTTATTGAATTATTGAATGTTTCTTAAAATTTAATTCTTATACAGATAATTTTATCAACAAATTTTTAAATAATATTAAATTCTTTTGGCAAATTTTTAATACAATTTTTAAGAATTATTACATTTTTCGAGGAATGTGATTAAAATCGTATTAAAAATAATTGAAATTCTGCAATGAGTTTTATTATTTATGAAAATAAATTATTGCAAAGAATTTTATAAAAATTTTTGAAAATAATTGACTTTTTTCGGAAAAATTTATGCAAATTTTACCTTTAATAAAGAATTTCTGTGAAGAATTTTATTAATTTTGAAAATAATTGAATTCTTGTGATGACGATTGTTATTTATGAAAAAAAATATAGTTGAATTTCAGCGAAGAATATTACTATTTATTAAGATAATTGAAATGTTAACAAGAATGTTTTTTTAATTTTTGAAAATAATTGAATGACTGGAAAGAATTTTTATTTATAAAGATAGTTGAATTCTTTCAAATTGCTTTAAAATTTAAAAAACTGAAATTATAATTTCAACAGAATTGAAACTAAAATTTTTCAAAAAAATACTTCATTAAATAATTTTGTGATTGTTCTTCAAGAATTAATTTTATTTAAAAATAAATTATTGTCAGAAATAGAAACAAATTTATGGTTTCGAATTAGAATTCGTGGTAATTTCATAGTTTATGAGACAAACATAAAAGACACAAAAATTCAGAATTTTCTTACAAATCCTAAAAATTTAATTTCTTCCAGTACTTTCAATAAAAATCCCTGACTTTTCTCTGAATTCCCTGACCTGCAGCAAACTTGTAAAAGTGGTAAAAATCTCCTCCCGAAAAAAGATTACCCTTCAATACTTACTTTACTTTTTTCTCCTTTACATCAACATCATTCTGCTGATCGTTTTTCGCTTCCGGAGATTTAATTAATTTATTTTCAGAACATGATTCAGCACTAATATTATTGTCATCGGTCAATAATTCCGTAGACTCTAAACTAGAACTACTTTCTGTACTCTGTCGTTTGCCACTTCGATCGATCAATTCGTGATCCTGAAAATTTATAATTTTTGTAAATAACAAAACTTTTAGTTCATTTTCATTTTGGTTTGCTATTTAATTATTTTTTTTAAAAAAAAATTAACGTACGTCTATCATGTGCTTCTTGCACTCCTCGATGGTTGAGAAACAAACGGAACATTCGCCACACATGTAAACCAATTTTACTTTATCCGTTTCATCGACAATTGTTGTCTCCTGAAAATTGCAGATAAAAAAATATTATAGTTTCCAGCAACAATTGAAATTAAATTTAAATTCTTGAATTGAATTAAAATTCTTAAAGTTAAATTGAAAGAAAAATTTATGTAAAAAAATTGTCTTTACCTTTAACTCCTTGTTGGGATTAACGTGAGTATCCTGTAAATGAGAGAGCAATTCCGATTTATCCTGTGACGAAAAAGGACAAATTTTACATTTAAATGTTGTCACTACTTCAACAAGGTCATGTTCATTTATTTGATTTTCCTCATTGTCTTTTGTTTGATGATTGGTAAAATTTTCATAACATTTGTCATTGTCCACGTCTTCGGAAAATGCTTCAAATGTCGTTTCGTTTGCATCATTTTCTTGCGATATTGGAAGAACATTATCACTTTGATTATTATAATTTAAAAATTCCGATTCCTCTACACTTTGGAATTCATCATTTTTAAAGGCATAAATTTGCCCCTCTATTGAAACTAAAGAAATTCCTTGACTCTCCTTTTTTAAATCAATACCCTCTAGAGAATCAATTTCAGTGTATTCCTCAGCTTTTGATTCTTCAATTGTCAAAACATTATTTATTAAATCGCCGGGAGATTCTAGGGAAAAACTTTCTGCATTTATATTACAACTCCAATAGGATTTTGTTGTTTTTAATTGTTCTTCTTCACTCATAATTTAGAAATAATCTTGATTACACACCGGAATGACCTTTAATAAAAAAATTTTTATTTCAACAATATTGTCATTTTAGGAAAATTGTCACTGTAAGAAAATTTTGTTTTATTAATAAAAAAGAAGACTTGATAAAAAAAAGTTTGTTTAATTCTGTAATGGAGCACTTATTTATGTGGCCTATAATAAAGAAAATAATTCAATGACAATATTTAGTAATTATATAAAATTAATAATTGACATTTGCATAAAGAGTTCAAAACATAAATTTTACTGTAAATCTGATTTTTAGATAATAAAATAAAAAAATAAACCGACTTTTAAAAATATGTCAAGAAACTAACCTCAAAATTGTCAAATATCCAGTACTGTTTCCAAGAACTGTGATTAGAATTCTCGTCATAAGTAAATAAAAATATACATATCTTACAGAAATGTGTAGTTTCTAATTATGTAAATATTTAAATCACATTCTATTTACTTTATATTCAAAGTATTGAACAAAAGAAGTATTCGGTCTACGATTAAAAAACTCTGTAATCATAAAACTGCGTACACACTGTATCGATCTGTTAATGCTTTGTTCATACACCCCAATTGCCAGGGATGGAAAACAACTTTCCGAAAATTAACGCAAGAGGCTCTGGGATCACGTGACATTTATTTACATAACCTAAAAATATCCAAAAAGGAAAACGAGGAAAACTCCGAAAAAAACCTGTCTGGAATTGTTAATTAAATAATTGTCTCCTTTGTTCGGTAATGTAATTGTTAACATGTCTGAGGGATTTATTCATTCAGTTAAAGTACCGAGGTTGTATAAAACTGTCGCGAAAGTTGTACAGAACGTGCAGGAAAACGGAGCGAGTCTCAAACAATTGATTTACGAACAAAAGCACACGGTGAGTTTTTTTTATTGTCACGTGTCACAAAATATATTATTTAAATTATTCAAAAAACAAAAAAACGTTCAAATCAAGAGAATAATTAATTAGAATAATTAATATTAGCCAAATATATTTTTGACAAAGAAATGTTAATTGTCTTAAGGCTGCGTCTACAACAGAAAAAATAATGTGTAGAAAATTGTGTAATATATAGTGTAATTGCCCCTGACAGTTGTCAATGCCAAAAACAATACACATTACACTACAAATTACACATTATTTTTTTCTATTGTAGACGCAGCCTAAGAAAAATAAGTTGTTACCAATTTTCTCTTACTTTTTGTTCTAAATAAATCATTTTAAGGTTTAAAAATTGTTCTCTGTGAAACCTGTTGTCAAAGCAGATGAATTTTTTTTTAAAAGAATATTTGCAAAATGCAATTACATTCATTGGGGAATTTAAATTTACATTTTGTGTACATTTACATCTTTGTGATAAATTTCAAAACTCGACTCTGAAATTAAGATTGTCTTTCCCTTGTAATTAAATATTCATCGTAAAAATTCTAATAATATGAATATTCAAATTAAAAAAATTAAATCGTTTAAAAAATAAATATTTGTTGCTAAAAAACAGTCATGAATTTTGTTTTTTTTCTGTAAAACAGAATGTGCAGGGTGTCTATGCATTGGCGTTTAATACCGTTCGTCATGGCGATCAATTAAATCAGCTAATACGCAAAAGTCAAATTCTCTTTAAGGAGCAACGTTTGGATCCGTGGTTAACTCGTGTCTTGATAACAGAATTAATATGGGGCAAGCAGTGCTTAAAATCAGAGTCCAAGCCAATTCAAACAGTTCTCTCATACGAGAATTTATTCCGAGAGGAAATGAAAAATATCACAGAAGATGTAGATTTTTCCAAAAAAGGTAATTCTATTAAATTAATCTTTCTCTTTTCTTTACAGCCATCTCTTTAAACACACCAAAAATTATCTAATTTCGAATCCATGGTTTTAATTATTCGCAATAATCGAATTAAAAGTAGTCGACATTCAAGATTGAAAAATATTTCTCTCGGCGATAAAAATAAACGTCATTCAACGAAAAACGATTTGGATAATAATCAGGAAACATCATCATCATCAATAATGGGAGAGGCACAAGTTTTGGGATATCTTCTTATATTTAGTGTGGCAATGTTCACATTGCCATTCGCAGCATTTTTTGGTGTCAAGCATATTATGGAGGAAGAATTTCACGCTGAACGATTTATGACAAATTGTGTTTCCGTATGTGCGGCGGTTTTAATTGTCAATATTATTATTGCCGGTTACGCATATTTAGGTTTTCAGGAACCTGACGATCCACCAGTGAATCCTAGTGAATCTTCAATATCAAAAGACGATCTCGATAAAAAGGACGAGTGATTTTTTTCTCATTTTTTAAGAGACTTTTTTTCAAATACGAATTTTAGTATATTTTAGTAAATAAGGAAACTTTTTTTAATTTTTATCTAGTCTCACAAATCTTACAGTAACGGAATATTTTTTTAAATATTACAAAAAATATTTTATTAATATATTAAAACTAAATGTTTTTATATGTAATATTTATTAATATATTAATACATTAATATTAAAAAATATTGAAAAGAAATATTTTTGTAAAATCAAATTGTATTTTAAAAATGTAGTTCTTTTAAAAACAGCAACATTTAAAAAAAATTTAGTTACTGTAAAACAATAGGAAGTGAATTGAGATTGCATTTACAAAAATCATGCATTTAAAATTAGTGAAAAAAAAAATAAAATTAATTTTGCGATTTTACGTACTTATAAATAAACATTTCTGTATGTTTAAATTTATGGACAATAAAATTTTGTAATTTAATTCTTAATAGATTTTTTAATATTGTTTTTCCAGTAACTTAATTCATTTTCGATTAAGTCATTTAAAATCCATAGTTTATTATTTATTATTACTAATAGATATTATTAACAAAAAAATATTTTCACAATTTGCTTTTTATGATTTTCTTTTAAACAAATATTTACTTATATTAATTTATTGATAATTTTGAATTTTATATTTCTTTTTATGTAATTTTCTTACAAACCATTTTTTGTCACTTAATGTTTCTCAATTCTTCTTTATTCTACGTGAAACAATTTTTCAGTTACAAAACCACGATACGTGAGAGTAAATACACTAGCAATGAGTGTGAACGAGGCAATTGAAAATTTTCAAGAGGAAGGTTGGAATTTTCAGTCTGGATTTGAGAATTACTCCTCGTTTTTGAAAGCAATTTCGAACCTGAATGAGGAAACGTTTGTTCAAGATTTTCACATTCCAGATTTACTCGTTTTTCCTCATGGAACGGCATTTTTTAATCATCCTGGATATAAATCCGGTAGCATTATTTTACAAGACAAGGTATTCAGGAAAAATTATTTATTAAACAAATAAAATAATTATTTACTAAACAAAAAAATTATTTACTAAACAAATAAGTTGCTAAAGGAAAAAAATTATTTGCTAAACAAAAAAATCATTTACTAAACAAACAAATCATTTGCTAAAGAAAAAAATTATTTACTAAACAAACAAATCATTTGCTAATGAAAAAAATCATTTACTAAATAAACAAATCATTTGCTAAAGAAAAAAATTCGTTTACTAATCAAATAAAAAAAATTTATTTTATTATTATTTTTAATATTTCTGTATCAATAATATATTAATTATTACTAATAAATTTTATTTGCTTATATAAAAGCTAACTTTCGATTTTTTATTTATGGAATTTAAATATTTTACAGGCGAGTTGCTTCCCCGCATTTCTTTTAAATCCACCGATTGGATCGTCGGTTTTGGATATGTGTTCAGCACCCGGAATGAAATCGACTCATTTAGCAGCAATTCTCCAAAACAGAGGGTAAATTTTTTCAAATAAAAAAAAAATTTTATTTTTAATTCCAAATTTAAACTATACATTTTCTGGAAATTTTGAATATTTTCAATATTACAGAAGCGAAAATTTATTTTTCAACCGAAAAATTATTCCACACGTAAAGTTTTTTTAAAACTAAAAAGAAATAAATTTCCAGTCTTAAAATTTATTTTTCTCTTTTTTTAATTCTAATTTAATTTAATTTAATTTTTAAATTTCTAACTACAATGGAAATTTATTTTTGTTAAAAGAAATGGTATAAAAATCCACAGACAATTTAGTTCACAGGAAAAGTTTTAAATATACAAAACATAAAGCGGATATTTTGATACTATCTCAATTCGTACGTTATCAAAGGATATATGTTTCTGCTTCAGTATGTCTTGTAAATTTTTTACTACACGAAAGAATTTGTCTGTGACACAATTTCCAGTTAAATTTAAAACACATTCTGAAGATTTTAAAAACATTTTCAAAAAAAAAATCTCGTTAAAAAAACATTTTAAAAATAAAAAATATGTCTTTAATTCGAGTATTTTTAATTATTTTTCAGAAAAATTTTTTCCATTGAAATGGACGAGAGAAGATTCAAGACACTTTGTGATTTTATCGAATTGACAAATTCCCGGTGTGTCGAAACTATTAATAAAGATGCTTTAACCATCGATTCAACGCAATGTCCGAATATCGAATATATTCTAGTCGATCCCAGTTGTTCTGGATCAGGTAAATAAGGAAAAAAATGTCTTTTATAAGACAAAATTTAATTTTTAAAAATAATTACATTTTTTGAAAAATTCGATTAAAATTAAAAATTAAAATTAAAATATTAAAAATAATTGAAATTTTGCAATGAGTTTTATTATTTGTGAATGTAATTCAATCCATAAGAAGAATTAAAAGTTTGTATAGAATTTTATTAAATTTTCTTTTTAATAATTGAATTCTATTGGAAAATTTTAAGAAAATAGTATAGATATTGAAAATCATTGAATTGAAGAAAATTTTTGAAAATAATTGAATTTTAGAGAAGAATTTAATTATTTCTAAAGTTAATTGAAATTTTGATCAGAATTTTTTTAAATTGTTGAACATAATTGAATCGAAATTTATTTGAATAAAATATTGACTTTTAGTATTCATAGACAATTTAATTATTTAATTACTATTATTAATTATTGAGTAATTAATTATAGATAAATTTATTTTCCAGGAATGGTGGACAGAGAAAAAGTGAATGGAAAAATTGAAAAATGTGCCCCGGGTCGATTGAGAAGTCTTCAATCATTTCAAGTTCTTCTCTTAAGACACGCTCTCTTAAATTTTCCCACAGCGAAGAGAGTTATTTACAGCACGTGTTCAATTCAACCGGAAGAAAACGAGCACGTGATAGACGAAATTCTTTCCGATATTGGCGAAGCCTACAAGCTCGTTCCACCCAAAGAATTACTTTCTGAAAATTGGATAAATTTTAGTTCTCTCGATTATAAATGCCAGGACAATTGTCTCTACGCAAGACCCGAAACTGATTTCACCAATGGATTTTTCGTCGCAGTTTTCGAAAGGGATTTTAACGTTCCCCTGCCCGAATATAAGCGAAGATCAAAAGCCAAAAAGGATCAAGAAAATAAAATTCAAAATCAAGAAAATAAATTCAATGACAAGCAAAAGGAAGAGTTGCCACGTGAAAGTGAAGACTATCAGGAAAATGATGTCGAAATGTCAGAGAATAAACCGGAAAATTCAGAAACTAAAGAATGGGTAATGACTGCTTCACAGAAAAAGCGAATGAGACGAAGAAAAAAACAAAATAAATTAAAATCGGCAAATTCACAAGAAGAAAATCTTCCTGGAAATGATTGTGAATTAATTCCGAATTCGGAAATAAAACCCAATGACATAGAATCCAAGGACCAGTTGGTCGATTTGGAGACAAACGACAAACCAACGGAGAGAAAGAAGAAAAAGAAAAACAAAACCAATAAAGAATCGTCGACAAAAATCGAAAATTTCCCTGAAGAACCAACTTCCACTGAAGAGTCATCAAAAAACGAAAAATCGACCATTTCGACAGAAATCGAGAATTCTTCTCAAGATCAAGAGGAAAATTCCCAATCGAAAAAGAAGAAAAAGAAAAGAAAATTAGAAAATCCCACGGAAGAAACAATTTCGAAAGAAAATTCTCTCTCGAAAGAGAAGTGCAACTCTTCTTCAGAGCGGGAGGAAAATTCCTTACGGAAAAAAAAGAAAAAGAAGAGAAAATTAGAAGAAAATTCCACAGAAGAAATAATTTCGAAAGAAAATTCTAAATTTGAAAAACCAGACGAAAGTGAAGAAAAATCTCCAACTAAGAAGAAGAAAAAAAGCAAACTACCTAAGGAACATTCACCAGATAACGAAGTCTTATTACAAGGGGAAGTACCGGAAGAAAAGAAAAAGAAACATAAAACTAACGAGGCCGTGGATATTCCAGTAAATAACCATGAAAATGAAAATCCAACAAAGAAGAAGAAGAAAAAAGAGAAAAAATGATACAAAGAATTAGAATTGAAAAAATAAATTCCACGATTGATAAAAAAAACTTTTTTTTCTTCTACTCCTTTTTTTTCTTCATCTTCTCCTTAATAGTTTCTAAAATGTTCCTCCTTTTTTTTCTCTTTCGAAAGTCATTGATTTTGCAATGTTTCACGCGTGCCTGATGTTTCGTGGCTTTTACCATGAGTGTAATAAGTTTACGTTATTTTTAACCGTATATTTGTGATAAGATCGCAAAATATGTTTATCGCTAGTTTCGCGGAACCCCTTTTTGTTACCTGCTCACGTCAACTTTTGCTGCAGGTATTAGTACAGCCAAGACGATAAAAACCACACAATAAGCTCGAAATATTTTATTCAAAATAGTTTTTCATAATACTCAACTTTATTTGCATAATCGTAAATGAGAAACATTCTGACGGACGGATAAAAATAGAGGATTTTGAAAAAAACGTTATTAACAGTTCGTTTTCTCGATAAATGAAAAAAATACAAATATTGTTATAAATTTTCCACTAATTTGTTGGTGAAGTTAACAAAGGTAACAAAATTATGCAAAATATTTTTTTTGTGCAGAAAATTATAAAAATTTAAATAGAAAATTATTTTTTCTCCTAAAAAGTTGATTATATATATTATAATATTGATTATATTATATTAGAGGAAAAATATATTTCTTATTAAATTTGTATATATTTCTGTATATAAAAAGAATATTTTGCATAATTTTTCGAAAAAAATTTGAAAAAGAAAAATTTGTAAACAAAATATTTTGTTTGTTTTCATTTTTTTGTTTGTTAATAAAAATATTTTTTTCTTGAAAATTTAAAATTAGTCTACGAAATAGTTTGCGAATATATTACGGTAATTAAATATGAATTTAATGGCTCGGGGAAGCTAAATAAAAATTTTAATAATAGAAATATAATAAATTATATAATGAAGAAGATGAATAATTCATAAGGGAAAAAGTCATATAAGAATCTATTTTAGTCGTAACTAGAAATAGAAAGATAATTTAAACGTAGAAAATAGAAATTATGTTTTTAAATCCGAAGGAAAATCAATATTGAAACATGTTCAAAAAGAAAAGAAAGAATTGTCTTTTCAATTAAATTAAATTTTTTTTTTTGACAACTAATGAAAGAATTTTTTTCCAGAGTTCAAAAAATTCACCTACTGGTATAAATAAATAATTATAAAATTTTAATAAAACTCATTAAAATTTTTCGCAAGAATTGAATTATTTTAAATTATTATTAATTATCTTCTACTTTAATAAAAACTTTCAAAATAATTTAATTATTTAAAGAACTATTTATAAAATTACCTTTTTGAAATAAAGAAAAATAATAATGAAAAAAATGTACAATTAATAATTAATTATTAATTGCACATTTTTATTTCATTTTTATTGTGAACTTTACAAAAATTTTTATTTGCAAATATTAATTTCAATTTTCGAATAATTTCATATTAAAAGTTTAGAAATATTCATTATTTATTAACAAAATTATTATTATTTAATTAGATATTTCAAAACAAAAATTTTTATAATAATTCAAATATTTTGAAAAATAATAAAATTCTTTGTTCGAATTGATTTATTTTCAATGTACAATTATAATAAAAAAATATTATTTTAATAAAATTCTTTACAAAAATTCATTATTTTCAATGAATTTCTCAAAAAAATGTAATTATTTTTAAAATGTTTAATAAAATTCTTTAAAAAAGAATTCAATTAGTTTCAAAAATAACAAAATTAATCGAAACAATTCAATTATTTTTAAATCTTTTAATAAAATCCTTCTAAAAAATTCAATTATTTTTATATTTTTTAATTAAATTATTCGAAAGAATTTAATGCATTTTAAGAATTTAAATAAAATTCTTTAGAAGAATTAAATTATTTTTTAAATTAATAAAAAACTTTTTATAAAATTCCCCCAAAAAAATCAATTATTTTTAATAACTTTGATAACATTTTTTTTTGCAAAAATTCGATTATTTTCAGTTCAATTATAACATAATAGCACCTATTATTGAAGAATTCAATATTAAAATATTTTTCCTTAAAATCTCTTAAATTATCTCAACAAAATTACATTAAATTTCTAATTAAATGGAAATTTTGTCAAATTTAATTGAAATAAATTTCATATTTTAAAGAATTTTATTTTTTTAGTTTAAAAAAAAATTTCAAACATAATAGTACCTATGTTTAAAGAATTCTAATTAAAAATTTGGAAAATTTTTTATGGACATTGGGAAAATTTTTTTTTATCGTCAAATTAAATTTTTTCGATATCTACTTTTTTTAATGTTAAAGCCACTTTTTACTACTTTTTAAAATTAATTAATTTAAATTAATTAAATTTAATAATAATTTTTTTAATAATAATTTGAAAATCATCTAGTGCGAAGCCTGATAAATAAAAGGAGAAAATATTAAAATTATAAACAGAATGTAAAAATATTTTGCATAATTTGTAAAAAAATATTTTCAGTATTTTTTTCAATAAAAATATTTTTTTCTTTCAATCGTTGATTATAATAATTATGTAAAAAATTAACTATTTGCCTTAATTTCTAAGTGCAACTAGAGGAGAAAAATGTGAGATCGCGTCTCAAGAATCGATCCGAGCATAACAATGCTTCTGAAGCAAAAAACAAAAAAAAAAAAGGAAAAAAATGCTAACATTCCAAGTCCGCATAAGGAAAAGGGACAAAAAAAATTAAGTTTCGTGCTTAACTTTAAAGTCGAAGGGAAAAATTACTGGGGCATGGTCACTTCTGCGTGTCCACTCACTCTTGTTGCAAAGTCAGCATTTTATTTTGCGTTCTCAAAAGCTTTGGAACTTTCGTGACTTAGACAACTTGACCTGATTAATGACGATGATTCGATAGGACGTCATTACAAAATATTCGTCCTTCCGCTTTTCATAAAAAAAACAAAAAAAAAATTACAAGAAAGAAACAAAATGTATTGAAATTCAACTTTTAATCTCATTCTCAAAAAAAAAAAAATGTTAGTAAGAAAAATACCAAGACATAAATTACTATTCAAATTATACACAATTCCTATGAACTGAAATTAAAATTTCTTTTCCAAATACCACATAAACGTTATTTTAAAAATACATTGTAAAAATTAAGAAAAAAATTCACCAACTTTTACGACGTAATAAATTACATTTAGAGGTGAAGAAAAAATTCTCAGTTGAACTTGGCCAAGTTTTTGTATAATTTTCCTTTCCTTTTTTTTTTTTTTTGATGAGATTTTCACGTGTTTTTAAAGAAACTTAAAATACTATAAAAGAGTTATTTCTTCTTTTTTTTACACGAAAATATTAAATAATCACTTCATCGATCAAGTTGTGGAGGTGAAAGGGCGTTTAGTCGTCATATATAGAGATTTGACGCCCCTATGAGGAAATAATTTTTGATTTAGGGGCGGTTTCAACTTAATAAGGCATATAAAATTTTATGTGACATAGATCTTTCTATATACTTTACCTATAGGAGGTGAAAAATCTTTTACTTATATTTATCAAAAAGGGAGAGTTGCACGCAAGTCCAGAGAGCTGTGTGAATATTATAATCATCATAGACTTGTGAGTATGTATATATATATGTATACTATATATGATAATCACTGCCGCATAATAATTTATATAGAAGAACGAATTTCAGTTGCTTCGTGACCTCTCTGATTTAAAAATTTAATTGTGGTATTTATCCATACATTATGTATCAAAAGGGTCTAATTTAAAGAAATTATTTTCGTTATTTTAAATATTCATTGCATTTTTCAAGAAATTAACAATTCATTTTTTAATTAATTATTCGAATTATTATTTTCCCTTTTTGAAATAAGAAAAATAATAATGCAAAAAAATTGACGATTAATAATTAATTATTAATCGCACGTTTGTATTTAATTTTTAAATTATATTAATTTATTAAATTATTATTTTTAATTATTAATTAAAATTAAAATAATAATTAAAAATTAATAATCAATAAAAAGTTAAACCTAATTAACAATTTATTTAAATTTAAATATTAATATTAAAATAACGAAACGCGGTATTCAATTTGTTGTTATTGTAAAAATTACAAAATTTTTTATTTTTAAATATTAATTTCAATTTTTGAATAATTTCATATTAAAAATTTTGGAAAATTCATTATTTATTAACTAAGTTATTATTATTTAATTGGGTACACAAAATTTTTTATAAAATTCTTCATACAAGAATTCAACTATTTTCAAAAAAAAAAAGTTTTCGCAAGAATTCAATTATTATTTTCAAAGAATTTATCGAAAAAAAATTACTTTTAAAAATTTTAATAAAATTTTTTTCAATTTTTTTCAAAAATAATAAAATTCTTCAAGGGAGATACAAATTTATTTTCAAATCTTTCAAAAAAATTCTTGGCGAGAATTCAATTATTGTCAAAAATAATAAAATTCTTTGTTGGAATTGAATCATTTTCAATGTACAATTTTAATTTAAAAAATATTATTTTAATAAAATTTTTTATAAAAATTGAATTATTTTCAAAGAATTTTTCGAAAAAATTTAATTATGTTTAAGATGTTTAATAAAATTGTTCAAAAGAATTCAATTATTTTTAAAAATAACAAAATTCATCCAAACAATTCAATCAATCAATTAGAGTATTATAAGAATTTAAACAAAATTCTTCAAAAGAATTCAATTATTTTTATATTTTTAACTAAAATCCTTCTAAAGAATTCAATCATTTTAATATTTTTTAATAAAATTATTCGAAAGAATTTAATTTATTTTAAGAATTTAAATAAAATTTCTTAAAAGAATTCAATTATATACTTTCAAAATTAATGAAATTCTTCGCAGGAATTTAATTATTTTCGAAAGAAAAAAAGGTTTCGAAACAATTCATTTTATTTTAAAATTTTTTTATAAAATCCTTCGAAATAATTTAATTATTTTTAAGAATTTTTAAAAAATTCTTTGAAAGTGTTAAATTATTTTCAAAATTAATAAATATTTTTGCGGGAATTTAATTATTTTCAAAAATAACAAAAAATTCCTTGCAAGAATTAAATTTTTTTCAAAACAATTTTAATAACATTTCTCGAAATAATTCTACTATTTTTAATGTATAATTTTAATTAAAAAAATATTCTTGTAATAAAATTCTTTATAAAAATTAAATTATTTTCAAAAATAATAAAATTCTCCCAGGGATTTAATTATTTTCAAATGTTTTAATAAAATTCTTGGCGAGAATTCAATTATTTTCAAAAATATTTAAATATTTTTGAAAATAATTGAATTCAATTTGAATAATTCGAATTGAATAATTTTTTTAGGTAAAATTTTAATAAAACAAATATTCTTTTAATAAAATTCTTTACAAAAATCCAATTATTTTCAAAAATAATAAAATTCTCCCAAAGATTTAATTATTATCAAATCTTTTAATAAAATTCTTCGTAAGAATTCAATTATTATCAAAAATAATAAAATTCTTTGTAGGAATTGAATTATGTTCAATGTAATTATAATAAAATTTCACGAAAGAATTAAATTTTTTTTTAAAATGTAAATAATAAATTTCATCGATGATTGCAAAAAAAAATATTTACCCTAATAATAAAAAACAAAAATCGAATTTTTAGCGTATAAGGAAGATGTAGGGTTATTTATTATTTTTTATCTGAATCTCAATCTTGGAATATTAAATTACGTCAGGTATGATAAATTGCTTTAAGATCTGTAACTATTTTGCGTGTACCGAGACGAAGAGATTGTAATTTGATGAAAGATAAGTAGACAATACTATTAGATTAAAATTAATTTCAAATCGCTCATCCTGCTACAGTCGTATTTACTTTTCATATATTTCATATTTTTCCTTGTTCTCTCCAGTTAATTTTTTTAAATGAAAGACAAAATTTGTGAATTAAAAAAAATTTTTTTTGCAAAAAGAAATAATTTTAATTTTATTGTTGATTTATTGGTCCAAAGAGAAATATAACTAAATGAAAAAGAAAAAATACCGAAATAACGTATTTTATACAAGGAAGTTCTTCACGAAAATTATATCATTTCATGCATAAATATTTTTATGAGAGTGTAATAATTAAAAATTTCTAAAAATACAAATTGAAACAGAAAAAATACTGAATTTGTGCGCACTGAAAAAAAATTTCTTTGATTCAAATAAACGATTACCTGTCTATTATCAAATAAATATTTACTTGTGTCAAATAATTTTTGAGTTTTATTTTAGTTGAGTTTATTTTTTTTTAATTAAATTGCATTTTCTAAAATAAATAAATAAATACTGAAATTCTTGGTTCAAATATGATTTATTTGAATGAAATAAAAATTATTTGAATCAAGTAAATATTAATTTGCTAATAGGCAAGTAATCGATTTTAATTAATATTAAAAAAAATGTTTCGACCCCAGTGTGTAAAATGGTCTTTTTTAAGTGTAAAAAAAAAGAAAATAATTTTAATTATTCAACTTTATCTTTTCTCTCTGATTTTCATTATTATTCCTTAAAAAATATTATTTTAAACAAGTGGACATTATGTATCAAAATAATTGACAAACAAATAAAAAGAGAAATAAAATGCAATTAGATGTGAGATTAGAGGTTTGTGAGCTCAGAGTAAAAGAAAAGGAAAAACATTTTTAACAGCAATATTACTCACGCAAAAGCAAAGAAAGAATTATTTTGTATACATATGTTTGATCACATAATGATAAAAGTGATTTATTCTCAAATTTTGTGATTTTATGCTTCAATTTAAATAATATTACTTATTCTTGTTTTTATTATAACACACAACACATATTAAACACATTGCCTATGCAGTGTGCTTCTATATAAAAAATTCTCAAGTTTCACGAAAGTTAAAAAAAAAAAAATTAACAGTCTCATGCAGAAAGGTGAAAATGTTAATATAAATTTTAGTTCCTTATGGAAATGAGCTAATGAAAAAAAACGTGATTAAAAAAATGATTAATAAAAAGTTTATGTAAAAGATATGTATCAAATGTGAAAATAAAATTTCTAAACTGTGCACAAATAACTGCGCTATTGTTAAAAGGGAATTCGCTAACATTTGTGTGATAAGTTTTTTTTTCTAATAATAATTTTTTTATTGCATTTTTTTATAGAAATTATGTATTTATTTTTCTACGTAAATTATTCATGAAAATTTGTATATATTATTTTTAATAAATTATAAAAATAATTCATGGTTTTTATTTTTATAAAAAAATACCTACTAATAGAAAAATAAAATAATATACAAATGAAAAAACATAAATAAACATAAATATACTTATAAAATAATTTATTATTTTTATTATTAATAAAAATAATAATTTTATACTCCTAACAATGTTAGGCATTTTTTCCTATAATCTAAATAAATAAATAAATAAATTATTAAAAAAAATTAAAAATTCTAATTTCCGAAATCAAATTTAGAGGAAACGAAGAAGAAAAAGAAATGTATTTTATGGGTAAAAGAATTTATTTTAAATCATTAAAACTATCAATATTATAAAATAAACATTTTTTAAAAATAATTATAATTTTCAATTTATTTCCTTGTCCATTTCAAAAGAATTGCAGTTCTGAAAATTAAAATTAAAAATTATTATAGTTTATAATTATTATAACTATAAGTTATAATTATTATGACAAAAATTATTATTTTTACGAAAAAATTCTTAATACTTACAAAAAAATATATTTTTACTATTTAGGAAGACATATGGATCCTTGAATACCACGTGAACATACTAAATCTTCGCAGCAATTTACAGTTCTACTATTATCAGCATCACAAATTTCACCATACTGAATACATGATTCTGTACCAACGAAAAGCCAAATGCAAACAATTAAAAAAATACAAAAAGTTTTAGAATACATTTTATTGTTACAATTTCGATTGAAAATTATAATCACATTTTGTCCTTTTATATATACCTCGAATTTAAAAAATGTGTGTCAATTATATTTTTTATTATGTATGTCAAAACTGATACATAATTAAAAAAAAAAAAAAATTCTATGCAAATTAGTTTAATGAAAAATGTGCTTGTGAATGTCAACAAATTTAACACATACTTGGTTTAATCCGCGAAAATATAAGAGAAAAAAAATACAAAGTAATAAGGTAATAAAATTATTCAAAAATACAAAACACTTGTGAATTTCAATTATCTTGATTTTATATTAATTTTATATTAATTTCTCCAATCTTACATATAAACGTTGAATATTAATTTGGCAGTTAAAATCTATTACATAAAATTTTCATAAATCTATTATATTTTTTTTTTATTTCATTTATATAAACTTGATATATTTTAATTGATTCTTGAAACAGAAATTTATCTAGATCGAAATTTGAATATTTTGCAATTTTTCATTTTTTTATAAAATAAGTTTTCGTCTTTATAAAACTTAGTTGTTTACTTCGAAAAAATTTCCAATCATCAAAAAAGCTCTAAACCTAGAAACAAAAGAAAATTTAATTTGAAAAATTTTCTCTATTTAAAAAAAAAATTTTAGAAATAAATATTTTGTAAATAAATTATAAATAAAAAATTTATAATTATTATATGAAAACCAATTTTTCTTAAAGTTTTTCCAATTGAATTATTTAAAAAAGTAAATTGCGCAATATTTTAAATCGTACTGATTAAAAATTGATTTTTAAAAAATAAATTGAAATTTTTTTCAAAATATAAAAAATATCGAAAAAGTGTTTAAAAAACCAGAAACAAAAAAAGTTCTCAAACAAATAAAAAACAGTTTGATTGTAAAAATTGTTTCTATTTTAGAAATAATTATTTTAGATATGATTATTTTAGATATGATTATATTAGATATAATTATTTTTAAAATAACCATTTTTGAAATAAATTATAAATACAAAATTCATAATTATATACAATAAAAAAAATGTATTAAATTCACAAATTCTATTTGTCTATTATCAAATAAATATTTACTTGAATCAAATAATTTTTACTTAAGTCAATTAAATTGTATTGGAACTAATAATAGTATTTGAATAAAATAAAAATTATTTGATTTAAGTAAATATTTTTTTGCTAATAGACAATTATTTATTCGAATCAAATAAATTTTTTTTCAGTGTTGTATGCATAAATTTTTATTTACAATTTTTTCCAAGCGAATTATTAAAAAATAAACAATAAATTACACAATTCAAGTACTAATTTTAATTCACAGTAATTAAAAATTGATTTTCATAAAAGAAATTAAAAACCTTTTTAAAATATAATTTGTATAAATAATTACTTACTGAAAAGTAAAGATAATTTCTATTTTCAAGGACCATCGAGACACAAATATCCAATAAAAGCCGGTTTGCATTTAAATCCACTACAACATTTAAATGGTTGTTCATCGCAACGTTGAAAACCTGGTACGCATTGTGAAAATGTATTTTTAAAGAACGCGAAAAAATATACGCAAAAAATTGCAAATAAAAAATTAGTTCTCATTTTTTCCAAATTTTTATTCTCGTTTTATATTTTTTATGAAATTTTCGAATATATATAGTAGCCGCAGACAGACAAAACTTTTGCTACTGAAGTTAAACAAAAAAAAAATTATTTGCAATAACGCACGTCAGATAACAATAAGGAAAAAATTGTTTTCTAAACATTCAGTAAAAAAATACAACCGAAAAAAAAATTTATTCTGAAATTAAGAATAAATATTTACCAAAAAATATAACAATTTTTGTCTATATAAAATATTTTTATTCATATTAACAACGAAGACAAAAAATCATTACTAATTTGTCAAAAAGTGTTCCAATTTTTTATTTAGTCCTTGACCAGATTGATAATTTTTCCAAAAAACCTTTTATTTCTAAAAATAAGAAAAATTACAATTAAAAATACAATTTTTGTTACCAACACATATTATGATTATAAAGATAAATTTCAATATTGACACAAAAAATGGTAAAAAATTAAAAAAAAATTATTATAAAAAGTAATTAATAATTACATTAATAAATATTCTTAGAAACTACAAATGTAATTATTAATTGAACAGACTTTATCATTTAACCATTAATTTATTAAATTGATTACAAAATATAATAATAGATATAAAATTGATTAGAATATTATAAATTTTAATTAATTTTTATTAAAAATTACAAATTCAATTTAATAAAAATTAAATTTTTTTGTGTTCCAATTAATTCTTTTTCGCCAATTAATTAATTACTATTGTAAAATTAATATTTCATAAAATTAAAAAAATTAATAACTCTAAAAAATTTGAAATAAATTTTGTATCATATTTATGTAAACAAAATAATTTAGATTACCATTAAACAATGAAATTTGACATTAGTTATTAACGACATATTTTTCCAATAAATGCATTTTCACATCTTAAATTTTGACAACATTGAGGGTCATTTCTTCGATCGCAACGATCACCATGACTTCCGCAATTTTGAGAAAGAACTTTACATGGACTTATTAGAAAGCAAATGCAAAATATTGCAAAGACAACAATTAATTTCAGAGACATTTTATTTCTTTTAAATGATATACTCTCGAAAAAAAGAAGTGCTTTTCTTTATATATAGGAAGCAGGTAGAGATTTAATGCGCAAAAATAATTGGTAAATATGTAGAATATAAATAAAGATTATTTTCAAAAGAAAAATAAGCAATCAATAAGGAAAATTTTCCAAATAATAAATTTATCATTGTGAATAAATAAAATTATCGATGATAATTTAATTTCCTTCTTTTCATTTATAAAATTCATTCCCCATTTAGAAAAAAAAACATTCACAGCCTTTAGAAAGTAAAAAATATATTATAATATAATTTTTCTAAAAACCTTTGTATTCTACAAATAAGAAAAATTACAATTAATAATCCATTTATTGTTAAAAACATTTATAATGATCATAAAGTTAAATTTCAATATTGACACAAAAAATGGTAAAACAAAACAATTACTATAAAAAGTAATTCATTTAAATACTTTTAGAATCTACAAATAATGTAATAATTATTAATTAAACGGTTTTTAATATTTGACCAATAATTTATTAATTTGATTACAAAATATAAAATTGATTATACTATAAATTTTATTTTTAATTAATTTTTATTAAAAAATTACAAATTAAATTTTTTCATGTTTTAATTAATTATTTTTGTTAATTAATTTAATATTGTTGCACGGAGAGAGAATATATTTTAAATTTTGTAAACGTATTTTACAAATTGGGGAAAAATTGTGACAATGCGAAATTTTAATATAAAAAAGACAAAAATTTAGAAAAACTTATTTGAAATTTAGTAAAGTTATATTAAAATTTAATTAATATTCGTAACATTTGATACAATTATACTAAATTTCAAATAAATTTTTCTAAATTTTAGTATTTTTTATATAAAAATTTCGATTTGTCGTACTTTTTCCCCAATTTGCAAAATACTTTTACAAAATTTAATATATATTCCTCTCTCCGCGTGTAAAATTAATATTTAATTAAATTAAAAAAATGATTAACAGTAAAAAATATGAAAATAAATTTTGCATCATATTTATAAAAAGAAAATAATGTAAATTACCATTAAAAAATGAAATTTGACATTAGTTATTAACGCATATTTTTCCAATAAATCCATTTTCACATCTTAAATTTTCACAACATTCTGGATCATTTCTTCGACCGCAAGGATCGCCAAAAATTATGCAACTTTGAGAATAAACATTACATGGATTCATTGAAAAGAAAATGCAAAATATTGCAAAGACAGAAATTAAATTCAGAGACATTTTATTTCTTTTAACTAATATTCTCGAAAAGAAGTAGCGTTTTTCTTTATATACATAATTGAAAAGGAGCTCGAGATTTAATGCGCAAAACCAATTGGTAAATACGTAGAATATAAATAAATAAAGATTATTTTAAAAAGAAAAATAAGCAATCAATAAGGAAAATTTTTCAATTAATAAATTTCTTATTGTAAACAAATAAGATTAATTCAATTTCCTTCTTTTCATATGTAAAATTCATTCCCAATTAAAAAAAAAAAATATTCGCAGCCTTTGGAAAGTAAAAAAATATATTTTAATATAATTTTTCAAAAAAACTTTGCATTCCTACAATAAATAAGAAAAATTACAAATAATAATATATTTTTTGTTAAAAACACATAACGATCATAAAGTTAAATTTCAATATTGATAAAACAAAATGGGAAAACAAAAACAATTATTATAAAAAGTAATTAATAATTACATTCATAAATACTTTTAGAATCTACAAATGTTATTATTAATTAAACAGTTTTAACATTTAACAAATAATTTACTAAATTGATTGTATTATCAATTTTAATTATTTTTAATTTTCATTAAATTACAAATTCAATTCAATGAAAATTTATTTTTCTCCCTTTTCAATTAATTCTTTTTTTTAATTAATTAATTACTGTTGTAAAATAAGTATTTAACCCTTTGAAGGGCGGTGGGACGTATACGTCCCACCTTTAAAAACCTCAATATCTTTGACGAAAATTAATATTTTTGAGTCAAATTTAGTGCGTTTTCTTCAGGAAGAATAGGGCTTTAAAAATATGTAACCTAGATCATGTTAAAAAAATTCCTATAGTTTAAAAAAATTCATAAATTATTGTTAAAAATCACGAATTTTTTAAACATTTTAAAATCGACTAAAAATTGTTACTCGGGGGTTTTTGGGGTCGCTGATTACGAATATGACATCAGTTTTTAAAAATTCAAAATGGCGGATCCAATATTATATGTCAGATGACAAATGTAAAAATTTATTAGATTGTCACGAAATTTGTTCTTCGAAGGTTGTTGTAGTCCCTGTTTACCAATGTTTAGTTTATTTTTAAATTTAGATTGTAGGTTAATAATTAGCGGAGACATTTTTAAGTCAGTGACTTCGAAAATTCCCAAATAACAATTTTTAAGTAAATCCAATTAATTTAAAACAAAATTGACCGCTATGTTAGATTCGCTATTTTGAATTTTTAAAAAATAACATCAGATTCGTAATCAGCGACCCCAAAAACCCCCGAGTAAACATTTTCTATTGAATCCGATTAATTAAAAAAAATTGTCCGCCATATTGGATCTGCCATTTTGAATTTTTAAAAACTAACATCGGATTTATAATCAGCGACCCCAAAAACCCCCGAGTAAACATTTTCAAGCGAATACGATTAATTAAAAAAAATGTTCGCCATATTAGATCCGCCATTTTGAATTTTTAAAAACTAACTTCAAATTCGTAATCAGCGACCCCAAAAATATTAGGACATGAGTTGTAAAGAAAATCCGTCTATATGAATAATGTGCCCCTCAAAGGGTTAATAAAATTTAAAAAATTAATAACTAAAAAATATGAAATAAGTTTTGCATCTTATCTATATAAACAAAATGATGTAGATTACCATTAAACAATGAAATTTGACATTATAAATCAACGCATATTCTTCCAATAATATCATGTACACATGTTAAATTTTCACAACATCTTGGAGTACTTCTTCGACCGCAAGGATCACCAAAAATTCCGCAATTTTGCGAATAAACATTATATGAACTCATTAAAAAGCAAATGCAATATATTGCAAAGACAGAAATTAATTTAAAAATCATTTTATTTCTTTAGAATATTTTCTCGAAAAAAAGAGCGTTTTTCTTTATATACAGAAAGCAGCTCAGAACCAATTGAATATAAATAAATAAAGATTATTTTCAACAGAAAAATAAGCAATCAATAAGGAAAATTTTTCAGTTATTAAATTTCTTATTGTAAATAACAAATAAGATTAATTCAATTTTCTTCTTTTCATCTGTAAAATTCATTCCCAATTTAAAAAAAAAAAATATTCGCCGTCTTTAGATAGTAAGAAAATTTATTTTAATATAATTTTTCCATAAAACTTAGTATTCCTACAATAAATAAGAAAAATTACAATTAATCGGGCTAAATTTTTACTTCATTTTTTAAATAAAATTAGCAATTTTAAAAATAATAGAATTTAAAAATTTTTAATTCAAATTTTTGTAAAAAATAAAATTTTCCGAAAAGAATTCAATTATTATAAAAAAAAATTTAATAAAATTGTACACAAACATTTAATTTTTTTCAAAAATAATAAAAATTCCACAGGAATTCAATTATTTACAATTTCTTGTAAATTTCTTATAAATTAAATATTTATTTAAAAAAGAAGTTATTGATGTTTTCATATAATTTTACAATTATAGAAATTCGTAAAAATTGAACAGAACATATTTTTTTTTGAGTAAAATTATTTCCTTTATTTTTAAAAAATTTTAAAAGTTTAAAGTTCATTTTCATTAAAAATTTATAATTGAGAAATATAATTTATAAACATTTTTTTTTTCTTTATTTTTAAATAACTTTGAATTTTATTTAAACAAATTGTAATTAAGAAATAGAAATTATGTAGCAATTTTCTATTTTTTATAAATAAAGAGGAGAAAATCTTGCATAGTTAATATTTTGCATAATTTACATAATTAATAATTAAAAAATTTTTCATGTTAATCATCATTTTTAAAAATTTTCTAATTTCTAATATTATTTTATCACGAATGATGAAAAAATTCCTGCATATTTTCGATTTGCCAAACAATATTTTTTAAAGAAAAAAATATAAAAGCATACACGGAAACTAACTTTTTGTTAAAAACACATATAACGATCATAAAGTTAAATAATATTTATATAAACAAAATTAATGTGAATTACCATAAAACAATGAAATGTGACATTAGTTATTATTAACGGCATGTTTTTCCAATAAATGCAATTTCACATCTATAACGATTACAACATTCTGGGTCAGTTATTCGATCGCATCGATCACCACGATTTCCGCAATTTTGAGAATGAACATTACTCAGTAGAAAACAAATGTAAAATATTGCAAAGACAACAATTAATTTCAGAGACATTTTTTTAATTTTAAGTGATATATTCGAAGAAAAGTGGCGTTTTTCTTTATATACATATTTGAAGCAGATTCAAATTTAATGCGCAAAACGAATTGGTAAATATGTAGAATATAAATAAATAAAGATTATTTTCAAAAGAAAAATAAGCAATCAATAAGGAAAATTTTTCAAAAAAAAAACAGCAGCCTTTTGGAAGTAAAAAAAAATACTTTTTGTATACTTTCATAATCAATTTAATAAATTTGGTTCGTTCTAAAGTAATATTAAACAATTAAAAAATTAATAAACAAATAAATTAAATAAATTAATCACTTAAAAAAAATTGAGTAAACAGTAAATTAAAATAAGAAATAATCAATTTAATTAATTAGGTTCGTTCTAAACAATAAATAATAATAATAATAATAATAATAATAATTATACTTACCGAAAAAATACAAATTCACCTTTAACGGCATATATAACCAATAAAAGCTGGCAAACATTGTAAATTGTCACAACATTGTTTAGGATTATTATCACATCGTTGAGCATAAGTTATACAATTATCCGTCGCATAACAATAGGATGCCATTAATAGGCAAATGTAAAAAATCGAAAATGAAAGAGTACTTTTCAAAGGAGACATTTTATTGTTTCCACTTTAGGATATTTCCCGATAAATCGCGTCGTTAAACTTATATAGTCCCAATTTACCACACCACGACATTATTGCAAAAAATTTTCCGCTATTAAAGGTGTTTAGCTTTAATAACAAAAAATACTGCCTCTAAATGCAAACAAGAATAATTAACAACTCGCAAAAAGAAGGAAATAAGTTTATCAATTATTGCCATTATAAGGAAAAGAGAAAACCAGTTTATATTCAGTTAAGGTCTATACAAATACAAGAGAGGATATAAAAGAGAAAAATAAGTCCAAAAAACAATTATTTTTCTCATTTCTAAACAATCCTTTTTTTGTTTATTACTCTCTTAATGAGAATTAGTCAAAAGTCCTCTAATTAAGTAGAAATTTCTACAAATTCTAATATTCTACTAAAACTTAAGTAGAAAAATTTAAAACAAAACAAAATAACAGTAAAATTTTTCTAATTGTAGAAAATTCGATTATTTCGAATTACTGAACGAGTATTCACTAACTCAAATTTAGACAGTAAAAAAATCCAAGAAAATTCTACTAGAATTCAATTATTTAAATACAGAAATAAATAATTTATTGAATAATTGAATGTTTCTTCAAATTCAATTCTCATAAAGAATTTTATCAAAAAATTTTTAAATAATTGAATTTCCACAAATTTCAATAAAATTTTTAAAAATAACATTTTTCGAGGAATTTGATGATTAAAATTGTATTAAAAATAATTGAAATTCTGCGATGAGTTTTATTATTTGTGAAAGTAATTGAATTCCTAAACTATTTTCTAACTAATTGTAAAAATAATTTTTTAATTTTTAAAGAAGAATTCAAATTTTATTTTAATTCAGTTTATTATTCTATATCACACAGAAACAGACAATAAACAATAAACACAAATTTATTTATCAATGTTCATTTTTCTATAGTTTTAATCTTGTACTGTTATTATTTTAATTTGTAACAGATTCAGAATCACAATTGTGTGTATGATCCTGCTGTAATTTTTTAAAAATAAATTGTTGTGTTTCTTATCTGTATATCAACTTTAGTTCCATCTTCTACGGCATGTTTCTCTCAGACCTGCGCCTTCACATATTAAATCTCCACAGCATCTCATATTACGATCAAACCTAATGCACTGCATACCTTCACGTAGACATCCTAAAAAATAAATATTGCATTGCCTCATTAGAATGCAAATTCAAAATTTTCTAAAGACAACAATTTTTTTTATTATTGTACCAAATAATTTATTATCTATAATAATTGTCCTATTAACTGTAATGAGCCTAGTATCTTTAATAATAAACAATCAATAAATATCAATAAATTAAATTAAAACTAAACAGAAAGAATTATTACTTACTAGGAGATTCCCTTCGACGACAAACTACCTCATTAATGAAAGCAGGTAAACATTCTAAATCATCACAGCATCTCTTGGGATTATTCCTACATCTTAGACCAGCATTTATACAACTATCCTCCGCATAACAATAGAATGTCATTAACAGGCAAATGTAAATAATTGAAAATAAAAGAGTAGTTTTCAATTGTGCCATTTTAGTGTTTTCTATTTAGGATATTTTTCGATACTAAGCGTCGTTAACTCTATATATAGTCCCAATATCACACAACATAGTTGCAATAAATTTTCTGTTATTAAAGGTTTAAATAACAAAAAATATTATCTTTAATAACAAAAAATATTATCTCTAAATGCAAACAATAATTTACAACTCATCGCAAAAAAAGAAATAATAAGTTTATCATCTATTGGCAATAAGGAAAAGAGAAAACAAGTTTATATTCAATTAACGTGTTAAAAAAATATACATCTCTTATTGTGTTTTTGATCTGTAACAACTTTAGTACCTCTATTGTAATTTTAATCTCTAAATCACAACAGTGGTTCACAGATCATCCAAACAGACATTAAAAGGATCATTAATAAAACGTTAAGAGAATCATCAAACAAACACTAAGAGAATTAATAAATAAACACTAAGGGAATCATTAAACAAACACTAAGAGAATCATCGAATAAACACTAAGAGAATTATCAAACAAACACTAAGATAATCATCAAACAAACACTTGGAGGATTATCAAACAAATACTAAGACAATCAATAAATAAAGACTAAGAGAATCATTAAACAAACATTAAGACAATTAATAAATAATCACTAAGAGAATTAATAAATAATCACTAAGAGAATCATTAAACAAACACTAAGAAAATCATTTAACAAACATTAAGAGAATCATCTATCAAACACTAAGAGGATCATCCAAATAAAAATTCAAAGCATCGTCGAACGAATACTAAGAGAATCATCCAAAAGAAAATTCAGAGCATCATCAAACGAACACTAAGATAATCCATTAAACGAACACTAAACAAACTGTTGAACAAACAATAAAAAAATCATTAAACAAACCATTAAACAAACACTAAGACGACCATAAAGCAAGGATTAAAAAGGTCATCAAACAAACTCAGAGTATCATCAAACAAACACTTGGAATATCAGCAAACGAACATTAAGAGAATCATTATTTTAACACTACAAAAATCGTCAAGTAAAAAATAAGAGGATCTTTTAAGAATGAATATATCTAAATGCAAACAGAATAATTTACAACTCGCAAAACAGGAAAGAATAAGTTTATCATTTATTGTCAATAAGGAAAAACGAAAACCAATTTATATTCAATTAACGTATTAAAAAAGAAAAATATACATCTCTTATTGTGTTTCTAATCTGTAACAATTTTAGTACCCCTGTTGTAATTTTAATCTGTAAACCATAACAGTGGTTCTAAAGTTGTTACAGATCAAAAATACAACACTTATTCAAAAATTATTAGAGAACAGAAATACAACAGTGATTCAAAAATTGTTGGAGAACAGAAACACAACAATGATTCTAAAACTGTTACAGAAAATAAAGACACTAGTGATTCTAAAATTCTTGCTGATTAAAATCATCACAGTGGTTCTAAAGCACTTGCTGATCCATAAAAGCTTCAAAATTTTAACCTACAACAGTTTTAGAGTTATTTTAATCAGTAACAGATTTAGAATCACTTTTATGTTTCTAGTCCTGTAACAATTTTTGAATAAATCTCGTGTTTCTGATCTGTAACAAACTAAGGTTTTAACTTTAAATTTGAATTAAACTTTAATTAATAAACAATAAATACAAATTTTTAAACATCAAATTTATATATCGATGTTCATTTTTCTGACTCATTTGCTATAGTTTTCTCAGAGTACGCTTATGATTTTAATTAGTAACAGATTTAGAAAGGAGTATTATGATTCTGATGTAATCTTTGAATAATAAATTGTTCTAATAATCTGTATCGACTTTAATCCCACATATTACGGCATATTTTTCCAGAAGATGTGCCTATACATATTGAAGCTCCACAGCATCTCAGATCACGATCTCCATTATCGCAACGTCCACCTCGAACTACACATCCTAAAGAATAAATATCACCTTGCCTCAGAAGAAAATTCAAAATTTTGTAAAGACAACAATTTTTTTTATTATTGTACCAAATAATTTATTATCTATAGTAATTGTGGTACTAAATGTGCAAAGTGTTTTTAATAAGAAACAATAAATAAAGATCAATGAATTAAAATTAAACAGAAAAAATTATTTCTTACTATAAGGAGGTTCTCTTCGACTGCATACTTTCTCGTCAACAAAATCGGGTAAACATTCTAAACCAGGACAGCATTTTTTGGGATTATACATGCATCGTAGACCAGCATCTATACAAGTACCGTCCGCATAACAATACAATGCCATTAACAGGCAAATATAAAAAATCGAAAATAAAAGAATAGTTTTCAATTGTGCCATTTTAATGTCACTTAATGTCACTCTTCAAGATATTTTTCGATAAAAAGCTTCCTTACTTCTATATAGTCCCAATATCACACAAAATAATTGTAACAAATTTTCTGTTATTAAAGGTGTTTTAAATGTTTAAATGTTTTTTTTAAATGTTTAAATGTAAACAGAATAATTTGCAAATCGCCAAAAAGGAAACAATAAGTTTATCATCTATTGTCAATAAGGAAAAGAGAAAATTATATTCCGTTCTGTATTAACTTTAGAACTGCTGCTCTAATTTTAATCTAACAATTTTCGAATCACTAAATTGTTACAATTCGAAAATGGCTAAAAATTAAAATTACTGTTGTAATTTTAATGTACAACCATTTTCGAATGCAACAATTATTCAAAAATTGTTACAGGATCAGAAACACAACAGTAATTCCAATTCTGTTAGAGATTACAATCACAACCGTAAAGATGTTGTAGATTAAAATTTTAAAGCTTTTATAAATCGGAAAAAATTTTAGAATTACTATTCCTTTTTTATTCTGTAACAGTTTCTGAATCACTGTTCCGTATCTGATCTGTAACAGTTCTAGAATTATTCCTGTAATTTTAATCTGCAACGATTTTAGAATTTCCACGATTTAGTGATTTTAAAATTGTTCCAGATGAAAATTAGAATAATTTCAGAATTGTAGTGAGATTTTTTGTCCCAATTTGTTATCCTGAAACTTTCTCAATCCTTTTTGTCTCAATTTGATATCCTTAGAAAAATTATGTTATCTTACAATAGGTGCAAATGTTTCTACTTTTATTTTGCAACTGCAATCTCTAATCCTCTAACTAAAAATAAAAAAGGTCCAGAATTAAAACTTCGTTGTAAATTCGATGGTGAGAAACATTCAGACAAATTTTGGACCAAAAAAGTTGTGTATATCGCCATACCAAAAAAATCCCGCTCATTATGATAATTAAGAATACTAAATCAATTCCTAAGGCAAAAATCAGATTTTCCCTCCATCCGCAAGAAAAACATGTTCCAAAGACCTCGGGCATAAATCTCGCTGATGATCTTAGTAAGTCAGTGCAGCCAGGTCGATCCTGTCGTTTTGATATCGCACCCTTTAAAAAGGACTATACACAGTTGTTCGCGGGAGGTCAGTGAACTTTGCACTGGAGGTTCAATCCCCCTTTTGCATTCTCTGCTATAATAAAATCTCCTTTTCTCTCCTTCTCTCTCTTTCTTACTCTCTTGGACGCTGCGCTTTCGACGGCCATTCCAACTCCGGAAGTCAGTCCAATAACAAAGAGAGGGTTGTGTTCCCCCCCTCAAAAAACGCCAATCCCCTCTGAAGTCGAGGGGGTCTTGACGAATCCGGTGCTTTTTCATCCTCGAGCTTGCGTCGTTGGTGTGTGGTGTACATCGTTCACGTCGTGCAACAAGTTCAAGCAAGCTCGCAGCTTTGCGGTTCACTGACACCAAAGTCGACGCCGACGCCCGTCCAAAGCGACACTCGACGTCGGGACGCCAATGTCGAAGGACGCGCGCGCCCATGAATATGTAATGCAATTCGCGTCGAGACTTAATCATTTGCATTCGTGAACTTTATCCCACGAGATAAAGACCTTGTCTCGAAAAAACCAAATTTTCCCCCCAAATCAATCTTTGTCACCATGCCCTAAATTTTTCGAATTAGTAGTGACTGTGTTTTTACAATTGACCTTGGACACTATAGCCGATCTTCAAACTTGTCTTCTATCTTCAATTCCTAGTGATCCCCAAAAGTCAGTGATTTATATAGGAGATCATCTTTTCAACCCAGTGATTTAGAAACAGTGAACTAGCAACTTTTTTAGAATCAATACCAAAATTTCAATCTATATTTCCAAATCAACCGAATTATGCAAAAACAGTAACAATCTTAGCTTTCGAAACTAGACTTTTTCCACTCATTAAGAACCCTTTTTAAAAAATTGAAACTCTGACATTTCTTTATAAAGAAAAATTTAAATTCTCAAACTCGTGAAAAAAAACGTTTCGTCATTAAAATCAAAACTTTCGAATTATTTCGAAACCTGAATTTTTAGATTAATCGGTGCACATTAACAACATTCAGATATTATCAACAACTTGAATAAGAGACCTAATTTTCAAGTGACAGATCCTTATCAAAAAAACCATGAGGGTTGGGGGTGATGAATCAATTTCATGAGAAACTTGAATGATTATCATCATTATCAAATTATCAAAAGTTCGAGCACAATGAATACATAGTGCTATAGTTGATTGAAATCTGACAAAGTTTCCGCATTGTAATTTTGAAGGAAAAACAAAAAAAAGGAAACTCTCAAGGTCAAGTGTTTTAAAATAATAAACTCAAAATTATGCAGGGGAAAAAACAACTTCTAGGTCAAGATATTTAGTGCTAATGAAATATATGGATATATTGTGAGAAAGTAATTTTGAAACTGATCAACTAAAAAGGGGGTGCACACACTTGTCGACCCGACCCTTCTTTTTTTGGGGTAGTGACTGATAGTTCAAGGTTAAAACGCACGCTTAATTAGAAAACTTTTCTTTTCTAAGTCAATCGAACATTTTAAAAGAAGTGATTTAAAGTGAAGCGGGTGTTAAGTATGTTCTTTGGAGTATTGTTTCATTATCTTTAGTACCGATCAGTCATCATTTTTTACTAGGTCAAATTTACACGAATTTTCACCCAACTATTTAGCATCTTTTGTATTGATTGCAGTACATCCGGTATTGATTCGATGGAAATTAAAAATACACTTTTTACAAACTTTTTTTGGTTTGTACTTTTAATTGTTACTTGAGACAATAAAAGGACAATTGTAAAGATCTGAACTTTTGCTGAAGGAATAGAAATAATTGTAGTGGTCTAATCATCTTTTGAGGAAATAAAGATCATTGCTGCTACTGGTACAATTTGTATCATTGTTACCATTGCTACCATCGCTAACATCTGCTACCATTTGTTGAACTATCGATTCCATAATCCTAACCATCTGTTGAACCAATAAAAGGACCACTGCATAGTCCTAATTTTCTGCTAAACGAATAAAACCTACTGAGTGTTTCTTTCAAAAAAAATCTGAAAGTTTAAATTTACTATATAAAAGCTGTAAGTTTAAAGTATGCTGAACAATTTTTAAAGATTGTATCTGCAATTTTTACTGCTATATAAAATTTACCTGAATTTTACTCAACTGATAAGAATCAAATTTAGCTGAACGGAATTTTAATAAACAAAGAAGAACCAGTATAATTAAATCATTAGTATTCAAGTTAATTAAAACTCTTTTTATATTCTTACCTCATGAGAAATTATTAGTTATCCGAGGATTATAATTTTCGTCTGCTATTAACATAAGTCTCTTATTAATTACTAGCAGAATTTTTCCTCAAATTTTATAAGGACTTTGGAAGAGATTTTAGAATGATATTTGAACAAACACTGAAACGGTCATTCAATAAATATTAGGAGGCTAACAGTAGTAGTTTGCATCATCTAATTAGCATTAAATTAGATCATCCAAACAGATATTAAAAGGATCATTAATCAAACGCTAAGAGAATCATCAAATAAACACTAAGAAAATCATCGAACAAACACTAAGAGGATTATCAAACAATCACTAAGAGAATCATCAAACAAACACTAAGAGAATCATCAAACAAATACTAAGACAATTAATAAATAAAGACTAAGAGAATCATTAAATAAACATCAGGACAATTAATAAATAATCATTAAAAGAATCATTAAACAAATACTAAGAGAATCATCAAACACTAAAAGAATTATTAAACAAACACTAAAAGGATTATTAAACAAACACTAAAAGGATTATCAAACAAACACTGGGAGAATTAATAAATAAACACTAAGAGAATCATAAAACAAACACTAAGAGAATCATCAAACAAACACTAAGAGGATCATCCAAATAAAAATTCAGAGGATCGTCGAATAAATACTAAGAGGATCATCCAAAAGAAAATTTAGAGCATCATCAAACGAACACTAAGACAATCATTAAACAAACATTAAACAATTTATCAAACGAACATTAAGAAAATCATCAAACAAATACCAAGACGACCATAAGACAAGAATTAAAAAAGTCATCAAACAGACACTTGGAAGATCAGCAAATGAACATTGAGAGAATCATTAATCAAATACTACGAAAATCGTCAAGTAAAAAATAAGAGAATCTTTAAAGAATCATTAAGGGAATTATCAAAAAAAACAAAAAGACAATCATTAAACAAATATTAAGAAGGTTATAAAACGAATACTTACAGAATCATGAAATAAATACTTACAGAATCATTAAATAAATGCTAAGAGAATCATTAAAGAAACATTAAAAGAATCATCATTAAACAAATACTTATAGATTCATCAAACAAATGCTAAGATAATCATCAAAGAAATACTAAAAGAATCATCATTAAACGAATACTTATAGCTTCATCAAACAAAAGCTAATAGAATCATTTAAGAAACACTAAAAGAATCATCATTAAACAAATATTTGCTGAAGCATCAAACAAAGAAGTTGCAACCTAAAAGAATCATCAAAGAAACACTAAAAGGATTATCAAAGTAACACTAAGAGAAACAGCAAACCAACGCAAAAAAATCATTAGGCAAACACTAAAAAAACTGTTAAACGAACAATAAAAGGATCATCAAACAAACAATAAGAGGATCATCCAACAAACATTAAAAGGATCATCCAACAAACATTAAAAAGATCATCATATACAGAAAGAGAACCATAAAAAAAAACACTAAGACCACCATTTGCCAAACATTGAAAAGGTCAACAAACAAACACAAAGAAGATCATCAAGCGTACAATTAGAAATTCATTAACAAACCATCAAAAAAATCATCCATTACAAGATACCATAAAAATCTAATTTTACAGAATTCATTGACAGGAATCCCACTCCAAACTTACGGAAATCATTTTTCAAGAACAATACCGACAGAGATCAACCAAAATCCCCAATAAGGAAGAAACCTACAACCCTCCTGAAATACATGCAAAAAACATAAACCCGAAAATATCGGGAAAACGAGAACCTTACAAAAGGAATGATAGCAACCCACAACCAGAACTCATCCCGAGCGGGCTCTCGACTCGGACAATTTGAAGACAACAATATAGCATCACCAAACAACAATTCCAACAAGGATCCAACAAACATTGTGGGGGAGGTAAAGGAGAATCGCAACCAAGAGGCGCCACGTAGCGACGAATCACCAAAACAGAATTCCACCCCAATGGCGAATACAACACCATCTGGTGGCGGCATAGAGGAGGATGATGACGACGAGGAGGAGGAAGAGGAAGATGACGAAGAGGAGGAGGAAGATGGTGTTCGGGTAGGGGAATTGGATGAGGAGGAAGACGACGAGGAGGTGGAATCGTCGAGAGAGAGGGAGATGTCAGGTCCTGAGGTGGTGGCAACAACGACAACAAGTAATGGACGTAGGGGAACATCAGGGGTGGGAATGGTAATGCAGGACACAGGGATGGGGGGATCGGAGCTATGTTCAAGTGGGGGTGGAGGCGGCGGCGGCATGGGCGGGTACTGGAACAGGCAGAGCAGACCCTCCAGTCCCCGCATGCCGCCTCCGGAGCAGCCGGAGACCAGGCCGAGGAGCCGACACGAGCCGGTGCAACCGGCAAGGTACAATAACCTTGGATATTGGAGGGCTAGACGAGTTACATTTTACAAAAATGGGGATCCCTATTTTCCCGGAGTCGAGTTCAGGTGAGTTGAGATCATTATTTTCAAATAGGGGTGTGTGTTAAATTAATACTTTTATTATATTGAGCCAGATGAAGAGGGAAAGAGAGGGAAGATATCAATCTTTGATTGTTTTGATAGACTAGTTAAAATTACTATTCTCCCCTTTGTATCACGACTTTTTTTATATTTTTGAATTCGACATCTTGATATTAGATTAATGTTTCTCAAATGTAAAATTTAAATTTTGTGTACAATGTTTGTTTTAATTAAAAACTTTAAGTTGTCGGTGTAAATATAAAATAATGATTTCATCACTCGGTCGTCTTTAATTATTATAAAATATGAAGATAACGATCACTCGAAGTGATCGTTATCTTCATATTTTATAATAATTCTCGGAGTAAAATTCGTTATTAATTTAATTCATTTTTTACAATGATAGTAAACAATCACATTGTAAAAAGACTCTTCAAATTTTTCGTTTCTAAGAGATAAGAAGCATATTATTCTTTTGTATAAAATAAGGAATTAAATTCATAAATTTCGTACTTTGATAAAATTTATAAAATAGTTTAGTAATTAATACCAAACTTTAAAAAATATGATCCAAATTTTAACTATTTTTGCTACTTTCTCTATACTTTGTTATAACTTTTGATTTAATTTACAATTTAAATTAATTTCGCAATATTTACAGTCCCTTAACAGTCATAAAATTTTCTCGTTTAAATAATAATTTCCTCAGAGAAAAAACTTAATTTGTCATGAAAACGGTTATTATTAATGAAAAAAAAATTTATTTCAAATACAGTTATTTATTATTATTATTTGCTTTTTCTTAAAACTTGTTTGATTACTTTCGAGCTCAAATACCTGAACTTGCATCAATATTTGACAAAAATTAATTTTACGTTCTTTTAATTTTTAATTTCTCTTTTTTATTTTCAACACAGAAAAAACCAGAGATCAAAATGAGTAGTGCAACAAAAATGAACCTTATAGGTGGCGCCACATTCTATGTCACTTAGCTCAGGTATATTTTGAGCTGCAACAAAAATTGGCACTTGTTCTTTTACGTGGAGAACAAAAAAAATTGGAACTAAGAAGAGAAAAACGTTCAAGAAGATTCAATTAAATTTAATTCAATTTGAGTTAATTAAACTAAATTTAAATTAAATTAAATTTGAGTTAATTAAAATAAATTTAAATTAATTAAAATAAATTAAAAATAATTAACATAAATTTAAATTAATTAAAATAAATTTAAATTAATTCAATTCAGTTTAAATTAATTAACTGGCTTTTAAAAAAATCGTATTTTAAAATAATCGATTTAATTTAATTTACATTAAGATAATTAAGTTCAGTCATCTTGAATTGTATTTTTCGGCAAATTATTCGATTGTTGCGAAAAAAAAAATTTTCCCGAGTTCATTTCAATTGATTTTTTTAGTAAGAAAATAAAAATATTTAGAAACAAAATAATAAATTTATATTTAATAAAAAATAATTAAAAATAAAAATTGGAATTATGAATTAAAACTTATAAAAATCGAAATATTTCCTCTCTAAATTTAAATTAGTAAAAATGTTTACAGAATTAGTGACCGAATTTTATCTTTTGAATGAGTCTATTTTATTAATAAATAATAATTTTAACTAATTTATTAGTAAATATTTAATTACCTATTTATAGGTATTAGTAAATTTTACTAAATTTACTAACATTTTTATCAATTAAAACGTAGAGAGTCAATAAAACAGAAAAAAAAATTTAGATATTTTCTTAAAAATATTTTTCAACAAATTTTAATTAACTTTTTCTACTAAAGAGAATAAAAATGATTTAATGAATACCTTTAGAGATATTTTTTCCAGTCTAATGATAATGAGCGTGGTACATAAATTTTTAAAACACAGTTTTCTATTTTTTTTAACAAGATTTACTAAGTTGACAGGACTATAAAATAAAAATACGCTGAATATTTAAATTACTATATAATTTCCTTTTTAAAGTAAATTATACTTTGTAAGTTGTGTCAAGAGATTTCATGTCATCACGTTTAAAATGCAGTAAAAATTTATATACTACAGTAAATTATAATCATTTCATATAAAATACAAGAAATTTACTTTCTTTTCATATTTTCAAGATTAAAAAAACTTTTTTTTTCATTATGCATGAATTTTTATTATCTAATCTGTATATTATTTTATTATTTTCTGTTTATCTATGAAAATAAATGCTTCCCGGTTTTCTCCTATACTCGTATTCATTAATACTAACGAGTGTCTGACTTAAAAGGCCTTTTACTACTGAAAACGTTCACAGCAAGAAAAACTTCAACTAATTTAAAGTTAACAGAATTTTTTTTTTGAATAATAATTATTGCAATTAAATTAAAACAATTATTTAAATATATTTTAATATTATATTGTAATTATAAGATTTGGTATAATATTATTATATTAATAATATACGTAACTTAATACAATTATTAATTATTAATTATAATCATAATATTATATTATAATTATAATTAATAATTGTATTAAGTTACCTTATGGTTTAAATTCTGTTTATTTTCCATTTCATTTATATTTATTTCTAGCAATTAAATAAATAAAGTAAATAAAAAGCTAAAAAAATAATTAAAATATTAAATAGACAATATATATTAAAATAGATATTCATATAAAAAGAACAATTAAATGTTTATCAAAAGAAGACTTTTAGATTACGACAATGTTTGCAATTTCTCTCTTTAGTGTAAAGAAATATTGTATTTTACGTGACCATTTCACTCGGCTGAATAGGTAATGTATAATTCATGATCAACCACTAGCAAGTGAAATTCGTCAGAAGATAGGAACAAACCATTCCCAATAAATTTCTTTTAATTAACGTATTGAATTAATAAACATCTGTGAACCATTTCATTGAAAAATTTATGTCACCTTTCAATTAAAACTTTTTATTTTTATTTCCATTTGGACCAGATATTATTTCTGTATTTAAAAAAAATGTACTATTGTCCAATATAATTTAATGTTGTTTAGTATCATTTAATGTTCCCTAATATTTATTTATTTATTTCTATACATGTTTTTCTTAAAGGAAATATAATTTTATGTTGCATGATATCATTTTATGTTGTCAAATATAATTTAATGTTCCCTAATATAATTTAAAGTTCTCTAATATCATTTAATGTTGTATATTATAATTTAATGTTGACTAATATAATTTAATGTTGTCTAATATAATTTAATGTTCCCTTGTATCATTTAATGTTGTTTGACATTATTTTATGTTGCACAAATAATGTTGCATTAATGATGTTTAACATTATTTAATGTTGACTGATATTATTTTTATGCTGTCTAATCAAACTTAATGTTGACCAACATCATTTAATATGTAGCCTAATATTACTTTATTTTATCTAATATAATTTAATGTTCCCTAATATTTTTTAATGTCGCCTAATATCATTTAATGTAGCCTAATATCATTTTATGTGATGTAGTACAATTTAATGTTTCCTTATATTTTTTAATGTTGTCTAATATCATTTAATGTAGCCTGATATCATTTTATGTTGTGTAATATAATTTAATGTTTCCTAATATTTTTTAATGTCGCCTAATATCATTTAATGTAGCCTAATATTACTTTATTTTATCTAATATAATTTAATGTTCCCTAATATTTTTTAATGTCGCCTAATATCATTTAATGTAGCCTAATATCATTTTATGTGATGTAGTACAATTTAATGTTTCCTTATATTTTTTAATGTTGTCTAATATCATTTAATGTAGCCTGATATCATTTTATGTTGTGTAATATAATTTAATGTTTCCTAATATTTTTTAATGTCGTCTAATATCATTTAATGTAGCCTAATATCATTTTATGTTGTGTAATATAATTTAATATTCCCTAATATCATTTAATGTAGCCTAATATCATTTTATGTTATCTAAAATAATTTAATGTTGTCCTATATCATTCAATGACTCAAATAATAATTATCAGTTTCCAAAAAACAAAGTTTAATTCAAAAAATAATTTTTTTTGGAAATATATAATCGTTTGATATAAATAATTAATATAATAAAAAAATAGCAAAACAAAATAATAAATATAAGCAATAAATAATTGTTCGATGCAAATAAATATCTATTAGACAATAAATTAACTAATTATTCAACCCAAAAAAAAATTTTACCACCCTGATTACATCTCTATTGGAAAAAAAATCAAATAACCTACAAATTTTAAACAAAGTTTGAAATATCAAGATTTTATAAGGAAAATAGTCGCTGTAAAAAATGTGTATGTAAGGATAAAGAGAAAAAAAAACAAAATCGATAGACTCGTATCGCGATAAACTGGTAATGGCAAACTCCTTGTGAGTCTCCTGTACTTTGCTTTCTCTAGATGTAGATCTCAAGTTATGAATTTAAGGTCTCAGTTGAAATATGCCGTGATTTACGATTCATAGAAATTTACTTAATATCATTGCTACTCTAAAAAGACATTAGCATTTTAAATTAGTTAATATGTTAATAAATTTAATTTCATTTTAACAACTACTATTTGTTTGATTGATTTCACATACAGTGTACTTGTATTATAAATATATTCAAATTACTGTATCATTTTTCTACCAAGTGGTTTTTTTTTCAAGTCGCAGATTTCAAGATTCAAAATTGTATTAGCATAAAAAATATGGTCGGGGAATTTTTATAAAATTTCCTGCCCTACGAATATTTAATTTTTCCTATTTTTTTAGATTTAAACCTGGACGAGATATCGGTTCGCTGGAAGCTTTATTGGACAGATTATCTTTGCGTTTGGACCTTCCGAGAGGGGCAAGACATATTTTTTCAATGGACGGCGATCGTAAACTCAATCTCGACGAATTGGAGGACGGCGCCTCTTATGTTGTCTCAAGTTACAAAACTTTCAAGGCAAGTCGATTTTTTAATTCTCTGATTGTTAAACAGAAAAATTAAATAACTTTTTTCAATTTTTGGAAGTTGTTCAAAAAAAGAAAATAATTTAATTTTCTCTTTATGATTTTTTTTCGAGGAAAGAAAATTCAATTACTAAGTGGAGAAAAAGAAACTTCTTTTCTAAACAATTGAAGTTTTTTTTTAATTAAAAAAAGTAGTTTGTTGTGAACGCGAGTCAAAACTTTCTTTCGATTTAGATATCAGTGACTTTTATCAACAAATAAAAGTTTCTTTTTCACAATTTAAGAATAAGAAACTAGAACCAAGGTAATATCTAGCAAGAGTGAAATTATATGAAAAATAGGGAGAGAAAAAATTATAAATTTAAATTTATCATGTACATACATTTGTCAGTGCACGCAATGGATTTTGGTTTCTGATTTCAGCAACTGATTACTAATATTACTATTACGGAGTGATATGATAGCTAACAACATTTTATAATTTTAATAATACTTTAAAAATAAATTTCAAAAAGCAAAACATTTACCCCTTAACCAAAAATTACTATACGCAGAGTTGCCACAAATATTATTTTTCCCTGACTTTTCCCTGATTTCCAGACAAAATTCTCACTTTTTCCCTGACCCTAAAAAATATTCTGATTCACTCTAAAAATTATTAGAAACTCAAAAAAATGTTCTATTACATTTATTTACAAATTTCATTAATTGTAAAATTATTCAAAAACATCAATAATTTCTTATAAAAAAAATATTTAATCATTATTATTTTTCCGTAGGAATTAAAATTCTTTAATTCATTCAAATTCAAACCTTTTTGAAATTCGACAATTTATAAGAAATATTATTACAAAACATAAAGAAGGCGATCACTCCTAGTCTTCGACTCTGAGTGATCGCCTTCTTCATGTTTTGTTATAATTTAAATAACCATTAAATTTTTCAAAAAAAATTTTATTATTTACAAAAATCTTAATACAATTCTTCGCAAGAATTCAATTATTTTTAAAAGTAATAAATTTTCTCAAAAAAATCAATTATTTGAAAAAATTGTAATAAAATTCGTTACAATAATTAAATTACTTTCATAAATAATAAATCGATTATTCGGTAATTCATTTTTTAATAAATTTTTATTAGAAAATTCTCAAAGAATTCAATTATTTAGATTAAAAAAAAATAGTTTATTGAATAATTGAATGTTTGTTAAAATTGAATTCTCATAAAGAATTTTATCAACAATTTTTTAAATAATTCAATTCTTTTGACAAATTTTAATAAAATATTTAAAAATAATTACATTTTTCGAGGAATTGATTAAAATATTGTATCAAAAATTAATTAAAATCCTGCGATAAGATTTATTATTTATGAAAATAATTAAAAAATTTTCCCAAAAATGTTATTAAAATTTTTCTAAAATAATTGAATTTCGGTGAAGAATTTTATTAATTATAAAAATAATTGAATTCTTGAAAAGAACTTTGTTACATTTTTTTTTAAATAATTGAATGCATGCGACGAATTTTATAAAAACTTTTTAAATAATTGATATTTTTCGAAAAATTTTATAAAATTTTTTATATTAAATAATTGAACTTAGGTAAAAATTGTATTATTTATGAAAATAATTGAATTATTTCAAAATTTATTAAAAATTTTATAAATTATTGAATTCCTGTGAAATTTTAACAAGAATTTTATTCAAGTTTTTAAAAATAATTGAATTTTGAAGAAGAATTTTATTATTTATAACAATAATTGAAATTTTGTCAAGAATTTTTAAAAAAAATTTTAAAACAATTGAATATTAAACAATTTTATTATTTATAAAGACAATTGAAATTTTGACAAGAATTTTTTTTTAATTCTTGAACAGAATTGAATTTCTGAGAATAATTTTATTACTTTTGAAAATCATTTAATTCTTCCAACAAGTTTTATTCAATTTTATAAAAATAATTGAATTTTGGTGAAGAATTTTACTATTTCTAAAAATAATTGAATTCTTGAAAAGAACTTTGTTAATTTTTTTTTAAATAATTGAATTCCTGCGACGAATTTTTTAAAATTCTTTTTAAATAATTGTTATTTGTCGAAAAATTTTTTTTATTAATTAATTCAATTCCTGTGAAAATTTTATTATTTATGAAAATAATTGAATTTCGAAGAAGAATTGTATTATTTATAAAGATAAGTGAAATTTTGACGAGAATTTCTTAAAAATTTTTAAACATAATTGAATTTTGGAGAAGAATTTTATTATTTTTAAAGATATAATTGAAATGACCAGAATTTTTTAAAATTTTTGAATATAATTGAATTTCTGCGAAAAATTTTATTACTTTTGAAAATAATTGAATTTCTGGAATTATTTGTAACTTTTCCAAAATTCAATTTTTTTTAGTATTTTTAACTAAAATTCTTTTAACAATCTAGTATTTATGAAAATTGTAAAAATTATTCATTAAATAATTTATAAGTCTCACGTCAAGAAAAAAAGAATTCACGACGAAGAGAAATATTAAACAATAATTAATTATTTTACAATCTTAATTATTAAATAAAATTTTTCCTCTCGACTAAAAACAACTGCGCCAAGAAAAAAAGAATTCACGACAAAGGGAAATATTAAACAAACAATAAAATGTATCGAGACACGTTTCAGATAGATTTTGAGCATAAATTTGCAACATCAGGAAATTTGGCGACCCGCCGAATAAACTAAGTCTCGAGTCGTTTTCAAGTCGGAAAGGAAAGTGGAACGGGATTATCGAGCGAGACGAATAATAATTCTTTCGTCAAGTTTGCCAACGCGTTGAGAAAAAATAGTATAAAGGGAAAAATGTCCTTCAAAACTACTATTATAGAAAAAAAGGAGAGGGAAAAAAAATCAACACCTTTTCTAGTTCTGTTTACTGAAGCAAAGCAGATATCCGCAGTAACGACAAACAATTAGATGTCCATTGTTATAAGACACACGATAGGCGACGATTTATAAAAGCAACTTGCGTATAAAATATATATATGTATATATTCAAGCTAACTATGTTTGCGTGTATCTGGCCCAGATCAAAATATATACAAGCAGGCCGCACGCAACAAAAATGAACGTCTCGACTGGTCTCGACGATTTCAAGTTGATAAAAGACGCGTAACCTTGTTAGTTGGAAGAGGGAAGGCCACCTGGTCCTAAATATATAATATAAATACAAGGAAGGTGACAAATTTTGTGTACATGAAATTTAAATTTAAATTCTCCATTTAATAGGAACTTGCCGATATTTAAATAGATTAATAATGAGACTTGTTTTCTGGTTTATTAAGGCCATGTTTAATGCAAGCGACTTCATTGTAAGAGTCCTTAAGGGGATGTCAAAGTCGATGTGATTTTTCCATTGTAGCTGTGTGTAAAAATCGCATCGATTATGAGGCCCCCTTAAGGGTTCTTATGGTCAATGAAAGGCTATGTCCACAATTGGATCTTTTTACGTTTTTATGGTGAATGAAAGGCTTTGTTCACAATAGGAGGTTTTTTCCATCAAAAATATTTATTTCCTTCTTATCCTGACAATAAATTGAATGAACTAGCAATAAATTTTATTACTCATAAAAGAATTTAAATATTTATAAAAGTAATATAATTCTTGTGAAGAATTTTATAAAAATTTCTAAATAATTGATTTCTTTCGGCTAATTTTATGCAAATTCTAATTTAAATCATTGAATTCCTGAAAAATTTTTATTATTCATGAAAAAAATTAAATTCTTACGAAGATTTTTACAAAAAAATTTTTTAAATAATTGAATTCTGATAATAAATTTTTTAAAAATAGTACACTGATAAAAAAATTTATTTGATTCAAATAGACGATTACTTGACTATTATCAATTATGTAAATATTTAATTGAATCAAATAATATTTATTGAAGTTAATTAAATGGTTCAGTTCATATTTGCTTCAAATACTGAAATATTATTGAATCAAATACCATTTAATTGGCTCCAATAAATATTACTTGATTCAAGTAAATATTTAATTGATAATATTCAAGTAATCAGTTATTTGAATCAAATAAATTTTTTTTTCATTGTAGATATTAAACTGTGAAAAATATTTAAAAATAATTAAATTTTAAAAAGAATTCTATTAAAATTTTTGCCAATAATTGAATGTCTGTGTAGTATTTTATTACATTTTTTTTTTAAATAATTGAATTCCTAAAAAGGATTTTATTATTTATGAAAATAATTAAATTCTTACGAACAATTTTATTAGAATTTTTTAGAATAATTGAATTTCTAAGAAGAACTTTATTACTTTTAAAAATAATTTAATTCTGGTGATGAATATAGTTATTTATGAAAATAATTGAATATTGCAAATAATTTCATTAAAATGCCTCAAAATAATTGAATTATTTCGAAAAATTATTTATGTAAATAATTTAATTCTTGGGAAGAATTTTATTTAGATGTAAAAGAATAATTAAATTATTTCAAAAAAATTTAATTAAAATTGTATTTAAAATAATTGATTTCTTTCGAACAATTTTATTAAAATTTTTGACAATAATTGAATGTCTGTGTGGCATTTTATTAAATTTTTTTTTTTAAATAATTGAATTCCTAAAAATCATTTTTATATTTATGAAAATATTTGAGTTCTTGCGAAAGATTTTATTAGAATTTTTTTAAATAATTGAATTTCCAAGAAGAAATTTATTACTATTAAAAATAATTGAATTCTTGTAATAAATATTCTTATTTATAATACCTAATATTTGAATTTTATTAAAAACTAAAAAATTATTTTAGAAAAATTTAATTAAAATTGTATTAAAAATAATTGAAATCCTGCAATGAATTTTAGTATTTATGAAAATAATTGAATTATTGAGAAAAATTTTATTAAAATGTTTAAAAAGAATTGAATTTTCGGAAATAATTTTGTTATTTATCGACATAAATGAATTCTTTCGAAGAATAATTTATGTAAATAATTGAATTCTAGGGAAGAATTTTATTAAAACCTAAAAGAATAATTCAATTATTTCAAAAATTTTTTATTAAAATTGTATTTAAAATAATTGATTTTTTTCGAACAATTTTATTAAAATATTTGAAAATAATTCAATTCTTGTGAAAAATTCTAATATTTTTGTAAATAATTGAATTCTTCCAAAGAATTTAAAAAAAATATTTTTTTAAATAATTAATTTTTTTGAAGAATTGAAATTAAATTTTTAAGAATTACATTTTTTGAGTAAAATTGTGTCAAAAATAATTGAAATCCTGCAATGAATTTTATTATTTATGAAAATAATTGAACAGTTGCTCAGAACATTATCAAAATTTTCAAAAATAATTGAATTCCTGAGAAGAATTTTATTATTTATGCGAAAATAATTGAATTATTGCGAACAAATTTATTAAAATAATTGAAAATTTATTTTAAGTAATTGAATTCTTGTGGAAAATTGTATTTGTGAAAATAATTGAATTTTTCTATTAATTAATTTAAAATAGTATCAAAAATAATTGAAATCCTGCAATGAATTTTATTATTTATAAAAATAATTGAATTTTGAATGATTTTTATTAATTTTTTTTTAAAATAATTGAATTTTGAATATTTTTTGAAAAGAATTGAATCGTTTTAAAGAATTTGATTATATTTTTTGATAATAATTTTTTGATTCCTAGTATTAGCGAATTTAAAGTGGTGGAAATTCTCAAACCAAAAAACAAATTTATGTTCTTATATAAATTGAGACAAAAAAGAAATCAAAAGCAAAGCAACACTTTTGATTTCTTTTTTGTCTCAATTTTATTTCCAAAAAAAAAAAAAAACTCTGAGTATAAAATTTCGAAGATAGTTAATCAAAGTTCAAGTAAATGCTTCTAAATAAGTTTAACGATGTGGTACTTTCTTCTCCCCGACACACCCACTTTTAATATCTAATTTTTAAGGTGTGACTCTCAAAGTCAATATTTCAGAAACCTCTCATTACTGCACTCTACACTAAGTAACACTATTCACTAATAAATTGCCCCAGTTTTAGTCGAAAACTTCCTTAATCAACGCCTTTCATTGTCATGTATATTTAACTTAACATCCTTAAAAATAATTGGCAATAAATTTTAATAATGCAACTAATACGATATAAATTTTAAATTCTGCAAAATAGTTGACGTCATTGAAATTCACATGTGTCAAAATTTCATATAAATTCAAAAAGTAAAAATAGAAAAATCAAAAGAAGAAAGAGAAAAAAAACAAAATCTCAAGGAAAACTTGCACTTTATGGTTTGTACAGAACAAAAACGGAAATCATTAAAATTGGACAAATGCAAATGTAGCAAGAAACTTGTGCTAATCAAGATATAAATTTTCTTCAAAATATTAAAAATAAAACAAATCTATGGAAATATTGTTAGCTTTGCTCAAGAGGCCAAGGGAAATTAACAGCCACTCAAAGAACATGAACTAAAATGACAGGAATTCCAGCGCTCAATTATTATTTTTCATGTAAATTTTAGTAAAAATTTGTAAAATTCACTTCGAACGCTAGCATACTTCGGAAATTGTAAATTGGTGGGAAATATTAACAATAAGGAATTCGCAAAAATTTCAGTTTTGGTTGTACTTTGTAAATATTTGTTTTGGAGAAGTAAAGAAATTAATTTTTCACTTAAGAAATTAAGTTGAATGCAATAAACGTTTAAATGATTGTAATAAAAATGATTTTTCAATCATTTTCGTTTTAAGATGTAAACGGTTTTAGACTTTCCTTCCTCTGTGTGTTTACAGTCAAAAAATAATTTACTCGTTTCAAATAAATTATTTTATGACAGTAAACACACAAAGAAAGCAAAGTCTGAAACCGTTTACATCTTAAAACCAAAATGATTGAAAATTATCCTATTTTTAAGCTGAAAACCAGATTAAGTCAATTTCAGAACTTAAAATAATTCTCCAAAGGCTACAATTCAGTCAAAAATGTTTCTAGTGTAAACTATTTTATTTAAATGTAGAAAACTTAAATTGGAAAAGTAAGATTTATTTTTGTAAACAAAAGCAAAAAAAAAACGAATCGTCATGTAAAAAATTGAAATGATAATTCATCAATAATTCAGCATGACTCTTCTTATATTACTAATTTCTCATGACTCGCGTGAATCAAACGATTCCACTTAGACATAATGAATAAATCATTCGACTTTACCTGAGAGAGAGAAGGGAGTCATTAAATGACCCCTGGAGAGATCACGAAACCTGATGTTTACACAAAGCACGTGGCTTTGCCAAGGGGGATTGGTGGCGGCACCTGCGTAACCAAACGTGACAAAATAGTAGGGGGATGAAATGGACTCGTACTTAACCTCCCCCCACTCTGCAAAAAATTTCAGGGGAAATTTAATTGTAATTGTGGTGGGATTCAATAGTGGAGATATTCAAATATAGTGTAAATGGTTGGAAAATTAAATTCTAGGGGATGTGGAGTTTGCGCTCTAAAACATTACCGATTAATCCCCTTCCATTGTAATTTCTCCTCATTTTCTTTTCCCACCCAATTTCTATTTTCCCACTCTCCCTCCCTCTAGGGACTCCCAATTGAAAGTAGATCGCGATATATCCCACCTTTCTTTATATTCTTCAGATTTGACATGCCAACGCGGTTTTATCGCCCTCGTCACTGATTTCATTTGTTTAATCGTTCGATCGAGGGTTCCTCACTGTCTTATTCTCGACATGTCCAATATTTTTTAATTATTACCGTAATTAAAGTAGCAATGACTTTTAATTTTGTAATAGCAAAATTGGTTTTTTAAAACAGTTGTTGCATTTTTTAGGTACCATAAGAGTATTTTAGAGTTTTCATTCCAAAATACAGTTCTCACTTTTGACGCCATTTTTAATTTCCGAAATATCTAAATGAAAAATCTACCACATATTTAAACTAGAATTGAATTAAGGATAACAATTTTTCTAATAGTTTTTTTCGTGATTTCTTAATTTACCCCTTAATGGCAAATATTCCCGTGTCCACTGAGAAAGTTTTGCTCAAATGGCGTGTGTGAATCACGTGCGGGGTGTAAGGGGTCAGACACGACTTCCGTTTAAGGAGGTTTTCGAAGAGGGCGAGGGATAAG